GGTTTTTGCAGGCACAACCCAACCTGCGGAGGAGCCCCGCGAGCCCGGGGCGCGAACGCGATGTTCTGGCGAGCGCGCAAAAGCAAACAGATCGACGGGGAGAAACCTTGGCAGGGGAGGGCGTGCAGATAAACAGGACGGGATCATGTTTCAGGGCAGTCTGGGGCAAACCAGGCTCCGTGCGCTGCGCCCCGGCTCCGAAGAGCCCCCAAAAAAGTCCGATGAGGCCGGGCTCCCCTTGGAGCACGGATATCCACGGATCCGGGGTGATGGGCATCGATCAGCCCGTGCTCAGGAGCAAGGAGCAGGCTCAGCCCGGCCATCCCGTTGCCTCCAAGTCCTTGTGGACCACGAGCATCGCTCCGGGGCCATCCAGGGACCAAATTGGGAGCGGGTTCGGAGGCAGGGAGCGAGCCGCGCTGCCCCGGCCACGCACGGAGGAGGCGTCACCGGGGCACGGCCGGAGGAGTGAGGTTTCAAAAGGTGCATCCCGGGCTTGGGCCAAGCCTCCGGGGTCGTAAAGCCTCGGAGTCACCGGGGCAGCATCCCACTGGCTCGGCGGAGCCGTTAAATATGTGAGGAATGCTCCTCGCGCCTCCCCCTCGCTGCCTCGCGCCAGCCCAGCTGCACCCGCAGCGAGCAGCAAAACACGCCGGGGCCGCGGCAGGAGGAGCGGGCGCCGCGCTCGGACCCCCCCTGGGACCCCCTCGGGACCTCCCCGGGACCCCCTCGCCTTGGGGTCTCATAGCCGGGTGGAAGGGGAGAGGTGCTGAGCATCCCCGGGAGCGCAGCACCACAGTGGGGGGGGTCGAGGCCTCATCCTGCACCCCCTGACCCCGCAGGGACCCCAGGGGGACGGATCCTGAGCCTTGAGTCCCCTCTGGGCACGGTGCTCAGCCCCTCTCCCGGTGCCCCCCGGCCAAGCAGGCGGCGGGGGGAGGAATATTTGCTTTCCCAGAGCACCTTCCTAGAGCGCAGCGGGCACAATACGGGAATTCAGCCTCGCAGCCACGCCGGGAGCCCAGCCAGAGCACGGCCCCGCTGCGGCCAGGGGGGAAACTGAGGCACGGGGAGGGGGACGCTCTCCTCCTGCAGCCCCCCAGGGTGGTGGGGATGCTGTGGGACACCAAGCCGCGGAGCCATCCCCGAGCTCAGCACCCAGAGGAAGGGGAGAAGCAGGGCGAAGCGCATCCTGCCCGGGCACAGCACCCTCTCCAAGGGGCTGGGCGCTGATGGGGTCGGCACAGGGGTCCTGAGGGGCTCCAGGGGGAGCCTGGCCCCTTCTAAACACAGCTCCTGAAGGTTCGGGGGCAGGTTGGGAGCAGGAGGCACGGTCGGATCGCTGCCGGGGAAGATTTTCCTCCTGCTCCTCTTCCGTGACAGCGAGCCGAGGAGAAAGCCTCCTCCGGGGCTCGGCGAATCCTAAAACCTCCAGCGTGTCAGAGCCTCCGGGACGGAGCCCAGCCTCCCCTGAACTCCTTCCCAAGCTGAACCCGAGCTCGCCGCCTCCTGCGCTTCTCCCCTCGCCATCCCCACATGGGATTCGCCCACCCTACAGCCGTGTGCTCCCCGGCCCCGAGTCCGGACCCGTTTGGGAAGCTCCCGCCACGTGAACCGGCAGCGGGAGGCTTTCCCAAGGGGGGCTGCAGCCCCCTAAACCCCCCTCCAGCACACCCCCGGCCCCCCGCTGCCGCGCCGAACGGGTGAGTGCACAAGGATAAAGCCGAGCCCGGCACCGGGCTGAGATTTACAAGGTCTCCGCGCCGCCCCCGGCCCCAAAGCCCAGGCCTCCCGCCGGCCCCGGCTCGGCGGGTGGATTTTAGCCGGCCTGAATAAGTGACATATAACGGCTGGAAAATATTCTCGGGCACCCTGACAAGTGTGACTGCAACCAGTAGCCTCCGCTGACTACACCTGGAAAGTGTAATCTAGGTGAAACCCCAGGCGGACGCAGCCAGAGCGCTCCAGGCACGGCTGGGAAGCTCGAGACCCCCGTCCCGGTGCTGTGCCCCCCCCAAAATCACCCCAATGCCCCCGTCCCGAGGCTCTGCTGTCACCCTGCGGGCTGGCGGTGCCGTGCCTGTGCCCCTCTGAGCCCCCACCCCAATGAGAGGGGGCAGTAGGTCACGGTTAGCCGGGTCCCCCCCACGCTGCCCCATCTCTGTAGGTGCTGGGGGGGTCCCTGGGGGGAAGCCAAGCATGGCCATCAGGGCTGGGTGGGTTTGGTTGGTGCTCCTGTGGGGTCAGCAAACACAACCGGAGCGGCTCCTCCAGCGGCAGCAACCCCGGTGCCGTCCCCGGGCATCCTGCTGGGACCACGGGCAGGATGCGACCCCGGTGTTGGACCCCCCACACCCCGGATATCCCGCTGGCTTTGGAAGCAGGGCCACGGCTAAATCCCTTTCCCCAAGGGCCGTGGCTCGCCGCTGTCCCATTTTGGCACCCGAGGAGCTGGCACCAAGTTGGTGGCATCGCCCCGGGGGCGGCCGTGGGCACGAGCGGCCTCAGGATCCCCCTGGCGTAAAAATCGTGCAGAAAAACCCCAAATCCCTCTCCCGGTGCTGCTTCCCCTGACACGGGACGAGGCCTCGGCGCTCAGCTGTTTCCGGCGCTGCCCAAATCCCCGAGGGAAAAACATCGCGGGGATGCCGGGAGGGGGGGGACGCGGTGCCCACCCCAATTCTCCCCAAATTCTCCCCCTGCCGTGCCCGATCCCCCCCAGGGCCCCCCGGGGAAAGGCTCCGTGGTTGAATTAGGCACATGAGGAGCTCGTAAAGGCAGGAGGGGAAGGCAGGGAGGGAAGGGTCGGGGGGCTCGGCGCGCGCGGGAGTGGTGCAAGGAGCGGGGACCCCCCTTGGGGGGCCGGGTTGGGCGGTGGGTGAAGCCCCCCCCTGGGTGCCGGGTGGGAGAGGAGCGGAGGCTCCAGCCGGCTGTGCCCGGACGGTTTTGCAAGCCGAGCTGTTTCAGCCCGGGAGGGCAGGAAGGGAAGGATTTTTGGCCCGAAAAAAAGCCCTCATGGAGACGCGGAGTTGGAGCAACAGCCGCCTTCCAGCGCAGACAATGCCATTAAAGAGAAACGTGATCCTGCAGCCCCGAGCCGCCAGGCACAAACCCTCGCCTCCGCGCTCAGCGCTGGGTGGGGGGGGGTTCCCCTGCCGTGCCTCAGTTTCCCCCCCCCTCCCCTCGGTCCTGTCCTTTCGCCCCCTTTATCTCGCTCTCGCGGCCGGGGACCGTCTCCCCATGGCGCCCAGCCTGGGGCCTCCGGCCGCTTCCAAGCCATGAATAACAGCTCAGCAATGCCCTGAGCCAGCACCGAGGTAACAAACTCCCCACGGGGGGGGCACCGACAGCGGCCGGCCCGGGGGACAAACCCCCCCGGGGGCCAAAACCCAGCGTCCCGGGACGGCGGCGGCGCGGCCGGGACCGAAACCTCCCCGTGGCTGCTCCAGCCCCGAGCCTGGCTCCGGCCCTCGCCCCGCTGGCACTTTGGGAGGGGGGGGGGCTCGAGTGGGCTGGGGGCTTCTAGGGACCGCTGCCAGCCTGCGGCACGGCGGGGGCCAGGCGGAGAAAACGGGGTGCCAAGCGGGTCCCCCCCCCCTTCCCCTCCGTGCGCTCCCCGCTCGGAGCGCAACCCCCAGGCTCCGAGTTTCCCCTCGCCAAACCGCGGGGTGCGCGCTCGCCCACGGCCACCCACGGCCACCGAGAGCCACCCACGGCCACCGACGGCCACCCGGGCTCCCCCCCCCCCCACGGCCACCCCACGCTCGCCCCGTGCCACCCACGCTCCCGCGGCACCCACGCGCGCTCCCCTTTGTCTGCGCCCTCCGGCCGCCCCGGCGCGCATCCCCCTGCCCCACCGGCTTTGCAGGGGTCCTTGTAGTCCAGGGGCTCGGGGTCCTCCTCCTCCTCCTCCAGCACGTAGGAATAGTCGGGGACGTGCATGGCCCGGGCCAGGAGCAGGCAGAGGAGCAGCCCGCAGCTCCGCAGCCCGGCCATGGCTCTGCGGGCAGCGGGCGGGCAGGGGAGAGAGGCGGGCGGCTTTTGGCTTTGGGCTTTTTCTTTTTTTTTTTTTGCCTTTTTTTAAAAAAAAAAAAAAATTCCCTTCTCTTCCCCTTCTTTCCTTCCCTTCTTCGCTCCCTCGCTCTTTTTTTTTTTTCTTCTTCTTCTGCCTTTTTTTTTTTTTTCTCTCTTTTTTTTTTTTTTTTTTTTTTTTTTTTAGGGAAATGAGATCTGGCGGGGGCGGGTTCAAGAGCGGAGCTCGGCCCCTGCAGCCCCGCCGGGCGCAGGGCTGGGAGCGGGGCCAGCGGCGAGAGGGGGGGGGGGGCGGAAAACTGTGGGGCCGAGCCGGCTACAAGGGGACCCGGCCCGCAGCCCCCCTTCTCCTGCCCCCCGCAGCCCCCGGCCCCAGGTCCCCGGAGCCGTTTTGCGGCCCCCAGCCCCGGTCCTGCGCCCCTCAGTCTCGATCCTGCGCCCCCCAGCCCCGATCCTGCATCCCCAGCCCCGGTTCTGTGCCCCCCAGCCCCAGTTCTGTGCCCCCCCGTCCCCATCCCACACCCTCCAGCCCCAGCCCTGCGCCCCCCAGCCCTGCTCCTGCACCCCCAACACCCGCTCCTGCTCCCCCTCCTGCACCCCGCACCCCCCCCGATCCTGGTTTTGCACCCCCCCCATCCCAGCTCTGCCCCCCCAGCCCTGTCCCCCTGGTCCTGCACCCCATATCCCCCATATCCTGCCCCCCATTTCCCCCCCAAGCTGAGCTTGGAGGAGGAGGAGGGCAGCTCCTGCAGCCCGGGCACCCTTCCCGGGTGCCTGTGAGCACCCAAAATGTGGGCGAGCACCCTAAGGATGATGGATGAGCACCCAAAGATTGGGGTGAGCACCCCAGGGATGACAGACGAGCACCCAAAGAACAGGGTGAGCACCCCGGAGGTGACAGATGAGCATCCAAAGATCAAGGTGAGCACCCTAATGATGATGGATGAGCACCCTAAGAGTGGGGTGAACACCCCAGGGATGATATGAGCACCCAAAGAGCAGGGCGAGCATCCCAAAAATGATAGATGAGCATCCTACAAATGGGGTGAGCACCCCAAAAAAGATGGATGAGCACCCTACAAATGGGGTGAGCACCCTGGAGATGACAAATGAGCACCCAAAGAGCAGGGCGAGCACCCCAGGGTGCCCGGATGGGGAAGCAGGGGAGAGGCAGCCGTGGCTGGGCCATGGGGCCGCGTGTGCAAGCGTGTGTGCACGCGTGTGCACGCGTGTGCGCCGAGGTCTGTGAGTGACACCTGCTGTCAGAGCCCTGCCATTTCACGCCGGGCCCATTCCCGCCAGGTCCCCACGGGCCACCAAACCCAGCCAGAGCCACCGCGGGCCGAGCCGGAGCTCCACGGGCACCCAGGGGTGCGCCGGGGGCTGTGCGGGGCCAAGCAGCCCAAGCCCTGCGTGGTGAAACCAGGGGGTGCTCGGGGGAGGTTTGGGGGGACCCTCTTGGTGCTGTCCCATCGCTGTGCCATGGTTTGGGGTCACAGTCCCCAGCTGAGCATCCACGGCAGGAGATGGGCACAGCGGTGTCCCCGCGGTGCCATCCTGCTCTCCTGTGCCCCATGGAGCTGGGGGGGGACAGGGCTGTGTGCCCCCAGCTGGGTTCGGGTCCCCCCATCCCAGGTGTGGGACGTGGGGTGCTCAGCACCAGCTATCCCCTCCCCATCCCCAACCCCAAACCCTCCCAAAACCTTCTCCTCTTTCCCTTTCTAGGACTTCCCCATGCTCAGGGCCCGACGTTCCCACCCTGTAGGGGAAAAATCTCCTCCGTGCCTCGCCTCCAGGCATCTTTTTGCCCCCCCCCCAGGCAGCAGACCATCAGGGATGTGCTCTCCCTCTCAGCCCTCCATTGCAAAACCTCCTCCGCACGGCCGCGGCAGCCAGTAAACTTTTCCCCTTCGAGCGAATAAATAAACCTCAGCAAACCGGTCTCGCTCTGCTTCCCCACGCCGCCCCCGGCCCCCACATCGCGGGGCTGGGAACTGGCGGAGGAGCCGCCGAGCTCAGCCCCAACCTCTCCCCGGGCTCCCGAGCAAACAAACTGAATCCCCCGTGCAAAACAAGCCGGGCTTTTGAAATGTTTTCCCTTTCCATCCCGCTCTTCTGCTTACACCGCCGGGGAGGATGTGCGAGGGCTGAGGCCCCGGGTGATGTCAAGCCATTATGTCAGGGGCTGGCCGGGTTTTTCGGCCCCGCTGTTGCCCCTTTTCTCATGGAGACCTCCGGGGACCTGGCTTTTGTTTTTCCCCTCCCTCCACGCAAGCTCCTGGGCAGCGTCTCCCTTTTGGAGGGGGTCCCCCAAGCCCCGCAGCCCCCCGCTGGGTGCTCAGCCACGAGCTCCTCATCCCTTCCCCAGGGTGGGCAGCGGTGGGGGCTCCGCCGCCCTGCGCCCCATGGCGCACAGCTCGCCCGCCCGCCCCACGGAGCCCCGGAGGCTCTGGTCTGGCTGCGAGGCTGCTCCCCCTGACGTCTCGGCCATCTGATGTTTGCTCGAGCCCTGGGATAAATAAACCTCGGATCTCACAGCCTCCCACGCAGCCGGCCAGCTCCCGCAGCCCGCGCTCCGCCGTGCCGTGCCGTGCCGCGCCGTGCCCGTCGGTCCCCCGCTGCGGCCCCAGGTAAGAGGTTGGCCGACCCCTGCTGCGGGTTTAGGGTGATGTTGGGGTGATGCTGCGGGTTCAGCTCCCTCCTGGGCTCCCACTGTGGGTTTTTGGTTCGTCGCTTTGGCAATCCCAAAGGTGTTCGGGCTCCGGGTGCCTTCTGCCTGCCTGCTCCGGCGAGGGCGCGTTGTGTCCAGCGGGCAGGGCGCAGGGTGGTGGGCACGGTGGGACAGGCAGGACGTGTTCCCGGTCCCGTCCTCAGCTCCTTGTCACCCCATTCCTCCATTCCCCACCTGCACAAAGGCTGCCAAGCCCCAAAAGGCCTCCCCGAGCCCTGGGGATCACTGAATTTCTGCAGCGCGCCCTGCACTGCCCGGGGTGCTGAGCTGGCAGGGCAGGGCGCTGCGTGGCATCCTTGCCGCATCCGCAGCTGAACCCAAAACCACATCCCAAAGGCCAGCCGGGGGTTGTTGAGCCCCATAACAAGTGAGGGTGCTCCACGCATCTCACCCGCATCACCCCGAGCCCTCCTCAGCCCCGCTGCAGCTTGCGTTGAGCGCCGCGGCGAGCCCCGGGGGGAGCAAAACTCACCCCAGCGCCGCCCGCGAGCGGCCAAACAGCCGGGCAGGATGAGGCCAGCGCTGGCTCGGCTCAGCATCCGTGGCCCCCGGCTGGGCTGAGCTCCACGCCGGAGCTGTCAGCGGTGATGGATGGGGAGCTGCAGCAGCTCTGGGCCCGCCGGCTCCCCGAGGCAGGTGCCGCGCTCTCGCCGCCGCTCAGCCCTGCCTTGGGAGGACGAGCTGCTCGCGCAGGACCAGCCGGCTCCCCGAGCCACGCCGGGGCCATGGGGCTGTGCCGGGGCCGCTTCCTCGCCGTTCTGCTCATCCTGGTAGCCACCGGGGCTCGGAGCCAGGAGGAGGGTGAGTTTGGGCATCGCCGTGCCCAAAACTTTTGGTGCCATGCTGCCGTGTTTGTGCACCCTGGTGGAGTTTCAGGCTGTGTCTCCACGCTCCCCCCCTCGCAGCGCCGTGCGCCCTGCACGTGCTGGTGGCCCTGGACGTCACCGATTTCCAGCAGTCCAACCTGCAGCCCTACCTGGAGCGCGTCCTGCGGGACCTGGCCGCCTTGGAGAGCCTCACCTGCCGCCCGCTCAGCCTCCACCTCAGCCTGCAAAGCGTCGGGCAAGGGGGGGACACCATCTTCCAGGGGGGGCTGCAGGAGCCCTGGGCAGACGTGCTGCGGCGCCTGGCGCGGGCGCACGCCTTCCAGCGCTCCTACTTCAACCAGCTGGCCCTGCAGAGCTTCCTCGGCACCCTGGCACGCCAGGAGGAGGACACCAAGGTGAGGGAGCCAGCAGCTCGCCGGGAGGACCCTCTCCTCGCCCAGTTTGCTGCTGGTGCACCCGGTTTTCCCCTCGGCCAGGCGCTGCTGGTGCTGACGGACGGGCTGGATGACGAGGTGCAGCGGATGAAGGAGGTGGCCACAGCAGCCTGGCTGCAAGGTTGGGGCAGAGAGGGGTTGGAGGGGACCTGGGGACGCCCCCCAGTATGGCGTGCCACCCCTGGGCACCTTGTCCCACCCCAGACCAGGCCGACCTGCTGCTGACCGTGGCCGTGAACAACGCCACGAGGCTGGGGGAGCTGCAGCAGCTGGAATTTGGGCGGCGGATGGGGAACGGGCAGCAGCTCTCCATCGACATGCCCGAGGCTGGAGGGCACGTGGCGCAGGAGCTGGTGAGGATGGGTGGTGACGGCGGGGTCCCCGTGGGGGCTGGGGTCCCCCTGGGGGGCTGGGGTCCCCCATGTGGGTTGGGGTCCCCGTGTGGGGATGCGTGGGGACCCCAACACCTCCCCGCAGCTGGCACTGGCGGAGAGGACGTGCTGTGGGACGTGTCCCTGCACCTGCGTGGGGCTGCCCGGCCTTCGGGGCCCCAGCGGCCCCTTGGGGAGCAAGGTAAAACCCCGGGGGTGCCCAGCGCTGCGGGATGCTTTTGGCCTCGACCTTTTTCCCTTCGTGGGGGGGCCCCAAAGCCCGGCCCCGATCCCTTTCCCAGGGCCACCAGGCGCCCTGGGAGCCGGGATTAACTCCGGCCCTTGCCCCATCCGGTCCCAAGCCGCGGCTCCTCGCTCCTCTCCCCTTCCTCCCCCAGCTGGGAACGGAGCCCAGGAGCTCTGGCTCCCAGCCCGGGGTCCCTCCTGGAGCCGGGGGGGTTGGGGGGGTCGTGGCTGCTGCCCCCGGGGTCTCTCTGTCCTAGGGGGTGGCCGGCAGCAAGGGACGTGCTGGAGACGAAGGCGAGCACGGGCACAGCGTGAGTCAGCCGTGGGACCCCCGGGGAGGGGGACAGGGGTGGTCCTGGGGGGCTCGGGGGTGCTGTGAGCACATTTTGTGGCCGGGCACGCCGTCTTTTTGATGTTTTTTTTTCCCCTCCTGAGAGCAGGGGGAGCAGGGACCAGCAGGTCTGCGGGGCAGCCGAGGGATGCAGGGATGCCCGGGGCAGTGTGGAGCGAAGGTGAGTGTTTGGCACAGCCTGGCACGGCTTGGCACAGCCTGGCACAGCCTGGCACGGCACGGCACAGCTCCAGCCCGTGGTGCAGGTGCCTCCTGTCCCTCCTGCTCACCCTCATCTCCTTTAGGGCGCCGTGGGTCACCCCGGGGAGCAGGTACGTCCCCGCCTCGCTGCTTACCCTCCGGCACCAAGGGCACGGACACGGGGGAAGCTGGCAGCAGCAGGGAGACCTCCAGGGGGATGGAGAGGGAAGGGATGGGGCTGGGGAGGGGGCTAGGGGGTGGTCCAGTGGTGCTGGGGGAAATCGGGCAAAGCCTGGGTGCTCACCGCCGTGCCCTACACCCCGTGCCATTTTGCAGGGACCTCCTGGAGAAGCCGGCTCCGACGGGGTGGACGGGGAGCAGGTGAGCTGAGCAGCGGGGATTTGTGCCCCCTCCTCTCCCAAGCAGAGCCGGGCAGGGGCTCAGCCTCCTCTCTCCTTCCCAGGGTGAAGCGGGGACCCCCGGGCACCCCGGAGAGAAGGGGACCCGCGGGAGGCAGGTGCGGGGGTGCCCCACTGAGCCTCAGGTGCTGCTGCCTCCTTCGCCCTCCACCCGCACCCTAAATCCTTTCCTCTCACCTCCACCCAGGGGCAGAAAGGCTCCCGGGGTGCCCGGGGGGAGAAGGGACCCCCAGGTCCCCGCGGAGCGGTGGTGAGTGTGGGTTGGGGTCCCTGGGGGCTCTGGGGGTGCCCATGGGTGCTCGCTGACCCCCCTCTGTTCCCCAGGGACCACCCGGGAGGAGCAGCCTCGAGCCCGGCCCCCCAGGGTGGAGAGGAGAGGGGGGCCCCCAGGTAAAGGCTGGAGGGGGCCGGGATGGTGTGTGGGGGGGTGCTGGGAAGCAGTTTTTGGGGGAAAAACAGCCCTTTAGGATCATTTTGGGGACTGGAAGGTTTCCTTTTGCAGGGTGACCCCGGTCCAGATGGTCCCCAGGGACCACCAGGGCCACCGGGCCCCCCGGCTCACCTGGTAGGTGCTGGTGACAACGGGGGGGGGACACGGGGGGGCCGTGACAACACCACGAGCTGGGGACGTGGCCGGTGACCGTGCTTCCCCCCGCAGACCTCGTGCCAAAAAGGGCAGCCGGGAGTGCAGGTAGGGGGTCCGGGGGGGGTCCCATTTGGGGTCTTCCCCCCCCCCAGAGGGCTGGGGACACCCGGAGCCATCCCATCCCCTCGCAGGGCAAGAAGGGGAACCGCGGCAGCGCCGGGCAGGGGGGCGAGAAGGGGCACGAAGGCGCACAGGTGAGGCCGGGGTGACCCCCCCCCGCCCCGTGTGGGTGCCCCTATTGCCCCCCACTCTCCTTCCGCAGGGGGTGCCGGGGCCACGGGGGACAAAAGGTGTCAGCGGCAGCCCGGGGAGCAGAGGAATTCAGGTGCTGACCCCCTCCCCGTGCTGGGGGTCCCCCTGGGGGTCCCGCTGGGTGCCCGCCTTGAGCCGCTTTTGCCTCTCGCCCAGGGTGCGCCCGGAGCCGAGGGTCCTGTGGGAGCTGCGGGGCCAACCGGCCCCAAAGGGGACAAGGTGAGCTGTGGGGTGGTGAGGGACATCGCAGCCCCCCCCCTGTGCCCCCAGCCTGCTGCCCCGTTGTCTCTTCCAGGGCCAGGAAGGAGCCAGTGGGCAGGAAGGGGAGCGCGGGACCTCGGGGACCCAAAGGTGCCCTGGTAAGGCTGGGCGGGGTGCCCCTTGGGGACAGGGCTGCCCGGTGGGGACAAGGCACCCGCAGCCCCTTGGGGACACTCTGAGGCTTTGGGAACGCAGATATTTGTGTAGATCCTGCAAAAAAAAAAAATGGTTTTGGGTTTTTTCTCCCCTCCTAGGGCGAGATCGGGTGCGACCGGCGAGGCGCCCCGGGGAGACAGGGAGCGAAGGTACCTGGGGGGGGGGGGGACAGAGCTGGAACCGTGCCCCTTGGGGCTGCCAGGAGGGTGCTGTGCTCACTGGTGCTGCTCCCCCCAAGGGTGTTCGGGGGCTGCCGGGGTTCCCGGGGGTGCAGGTGAGCGCACGGGGCCGGGGAAGGGGGCTGGGGACCCGGCCAGCCCCCCCCTGAGCCTCCCCTCCAGGGCCAACGGGGCGAGCGAGGAGCCCGCGGGGACAAGGGCAGGCGAGGGCTGCCTGGGCGCATGGTGAGTAGGGGGCACAGCCCCCCCGGGACCCCCCCTTTGGCCGTGCTGCTGGCTCAGGGAGACGAATTTTCCAGGGAGAGCCTGGGAGCAAAGGAGAAGCCGGCAGCCACGGCAGCCTGGGACCACCGGGGGTGATGGTGACGCTCTGCAAATTCCCTTTTTCTCCCTTTTTTTTGGCCCTACCCAATGGGGACACCCCTGATGGGGACACCCCCAATGGGGACACCCCTGATGGGGACACCCCCAGTGGGACTTGTTGCTCCTGTCCCATCCCTCAATGCCTTTTTTCTCCTTATTTTTCTCCTCTCCTCCTCCTCCAGGGCCCCAAGGGCTCTCCGGGCATCCCCCCCTCCACGGTAAGGGCCGGATGGGGACGGGACCCCAGCCCCAAAATCTGTAGGACCAGGGGCTGGTGGGGGGGGGAGTTCAGCACCCCCCTGGCTGCAGCAAGCTTTGGGGCTGACCTCGCTCCCTGCTCCCCTCCAGCCCTGCGAGCTGAAGGCTTTCATCCGCCAGCGCTGCGGTGAGCGGGGATGGGCTCAGGGGGTGGTGGCAGAGGGGACAGGGAATGGGGGAAAAATTATGGAAAATGCTCAGGGGGTGGCCGTGCAGGTGGGGGCCACCACAGGGCTTGTCCTGGAGCTGCCCAAATCCCCCCACAGCCTCCAGCTCGCCCTCCTGCCCCCTTTTCCCCACGGAGCTGGTGCTGGTGCTGGAGACCTCGTCCACGGTGCCTCCGCCTCTCTTCTCCCGCATGAAGGAGCTGCTGGCCCTGCTGCTGAGCGACCTCCACGTCTCCCCGGCCGGCTGCCCGGCGGGGGCTCGCGTGGCCGTGCTGTCCTACGCGGCCTCCCCCAGCTACCTGCTGCGTTTCGGGGAGGCGCAGAGCGGGGCCGCGCTGCTGGGGCGCCTCCGCCGCCTCTCGCCCAGCCGCTCGTCCCAGCGGGGCCGCCTGGCCTCCGCCATGCGTTTCGTGGGGCTCCACACCCTCAAAAGGGTGCGGCGGGCCGTGCTGGGCAGGAAGGTGGCCCTTTTTGTCACCAGCGGTCGCAACCAGGCTCTGGAAGGCGTCGGGGAGGTCGCCCTGCAGTACGAAGCGCTGGGCATCGTGCCCGTGGTGCTCACCTTCAGCCCGCTGCCCGAGGTGGTGCGAGCTTTCCAGGTGAGGTTCTGCGCCCAGAGCCACGTGGCTACCAGCCCCGTGCCCACCCCGAGCTTATTTTTTCCCCCCCCCGCAGGTGAACAGCCTCTTCCAGGTGCTCCAGCTCTCCACGACAGATCCGGACAGGGACGCGGAGCTGCTGCAGCAAACCCTGCTGCCCTGCGTGCTCTGCTTCGGTAAGGCAGCGGGGCTGCCACGGGGCTCAGCACCCCCAGCACCCCTCTTTTGGCTCATCCTGTGCCCCCCCTTGCTTCCCCCCAGACCTCTGCCACCCCTGAAAGCTGCCCCGCAGCCGCGCCGCCCCGCAACCCTCTGCGCCTGGACGCTGACCTGGCCCTGGTGGTGGACAACGCGGCGCTGCCGGCGAGGAGCCTGGAGGCCGTGGCAGAGCTTTTTGGCAACCTCTTAGGGCGCCTGCAGCCGGCGCAGCGGGGTGCCCGCGTCACCCTGGTGCTGACCGGCCCCACCACCCCCCAGCAGGGTTTGGGGGAGGTCGATTTGGGGCTGCAGAGCCCCGGGGAGCAGCTCCGGGAGCGCCTCCGCCTCGCGCTGGTGCCCAGGGTGGCCGCGGTGGCACCCGGTGGCGCGGTGGCGTGGGCGCTGCGGCACGTCTTCCCGGGGGGCACCCGCGGCCGTCTCCGCGTCCTCTTCGTGGTGGGGACGGGGGACAGGGCGCTGTGGGATGGGGAGGCGAGGCAGGCGCTGGTGCCCTTCTCCCGCTGCAGGGATTTTGGGGTCTTGGTGCTGTCCCTGGGTCGGAACGGGACGGAGAGGCCGGAGGCGGCGGTGCCAGAGGTGCTGGCGGGGTGGCGGCACCACGAGCTGCGCCTGGGCTCGGTGCAGGGTCCTGAGATGGGGTACGCCGAGAGGATGGCGCTGGGCTTCCTCCGGAGCCTTTGGGGTGAGCCGTGCTGGGGGCTGGAGCACCACCGGGTCCTGCTCTGGGTGGGGACGGGTTCCCAGGAGGCAGCTTGGAGCCCCAAACCTTATTTTTTTTTCCCTGCCCCTCCATCATTTTTCTCTCCTGCGTCGCAGCGGAGAGCAGCCGGCACCCCAGCACCCCAGGGTGCCCCCAGGGGTCGTCTCCCTCCGGTGCCAACACCACCGAGCCGTCCCCGGGGACCCCCGCGCAGTGAGTGAGCAGCACCGGGGCCACCCCCCGGCGGGTGGGGGCTGCGCCTCCTCTCCCCCGGGCGCATACCAGGGGGGGGGCTGGCACCCATCTCCCCTCCCAGGACCCCCGAGAGCCTCTCCGTGCCCCTCAGGGGGCTGCCCACGGCATCCCCCAGCCCCGGGAAGGGCCGGAGGGCGGTGGTCGTGCCCGGGCTGTGCGCCCTGGATAAGGACCCCGGCACCGCCTGCGCCGATTTCTCGCTGCGCTGGTACCACCGGAGGGACACGGGGACCTGCGAGCGCTTCTGGTACGGGGGCTGCGGGGGCAACGCCAACCGTTTCGGCACCCAGAAGGACTGCGTCCACACCTGCGTGGGCACCGGTAGGCGTGGGGAGGGCGTGGGGGGGCGTGGGGAGGCGCCCCCCTCCCCAGCAGGGCACCCCCAGCCGGCTGCGCTGACGCTGCGCCCACCTTGGACAGGTCCCCGTGGAGCCGGAGAGGGGAACGCGACGCGGGGTGAGGAGAATTTGGGGGGGACCGGGAGCTGGGGGTGCAGCCCCCGTGCACCGGGGAGGGCGCAGGGGGCGGTTTATCCCCTCCCCAACCCCCCCGGGGGTCCCCTGGTGCCTTGCAGCCGCCTGCCTGGAGGCTCGGGACGCGGGGCCGTGCCGCTCCTACTCGCCCAAGTGGTTCTTCGAGGAGCCCGGGCGCTGCTCCCTCTTCTGGTACGGGGGCTGCGGGGGCAGCCGCAACCGCTTCGAGAGCCGGGAGCAGTGCGAGGCCCTCTGCGTGGCCCCGGGCGCCGGGGGGAGCCGGGACCCCCTCCCCAAAAACTCCTCCGCCTGCGCTCCCGGCTGCTGACGCGCGCTTTGAGGGTACCCCAAAAAAAATAAACCATCCCCTGGAGACGCTGCCGCCCCTCCTCACCTCTCCCGGCCTCCGTGGTGTGGGGGGAGGAGGATTTGGGAGGATTTTGGAGGGTTTTGGAGGATTTTGGAGGGTTTTGGAGAGCTCCGGCACGGCGAGGGGGCGCAGAGCCCTGGCACCGCTCCGCGCGCCCCTCTGCCTGCGAGGCTGAGGAAGGGGTTTGGGGGGGGGGTTAAAATAAAACCTCGCGGCCCGTTTCACGCCTGCTGGTGCTGTGGGGCCGGGGGGAGGCGAGGGGATGAGGGGGGGGCGCCCCGGAGCTGCGGGGAACCCCGGCCAGGCGCGCCGCGTCCCGGCCAGATGCAGCTGCAGCGTCCCGGGGGGGAGCTGCGGGGGCCGGAGCCAGGCGAGGGGGGAGGCAGCTGCGCTGCTGGCCGGCTCCCATCCCGGAGGGGGGGGGCACAGCTCCCTGCTCCCACCCCCCCCCGTCCCCTCCCCGGGCTCCTTTCCCTGCTCCAGCCACGATTCTGCGGTGCTTGGGAGCGCAAAGCTCCTCCGGGGTGTGGGGAGGGAGGGGGGCATAAATGGGGGCGCTCTGCTCTCCGTGGGGGTGGCAGGGACCCCCCCCCACAGCCGGCTCCGTCACGGGGGTGTCCCCAGGAACAGCTCCGGGACCTGGTTTCTTCCCCTCGTCCTTTATTCGGCTCCGAGGGGACACTTTTGGCACATTTGGGGACATTTTCAGCTGGGCATCCAGCTGGGGACTGCGGCGGAATCGCCCCCCAGGCCGGTGCTCCAAGCCCCAGCCGAGGTCACTGGGCAAGCAGAGAAGCAGAATGGAGAATTTTGGGGGTTTTAAATGTTTTTGGGTTTTTTTAAGCTCATTTTGGCACTTGGGCTCGGAGAAGCTGAGAAGACAAAGTGACAAACCAGACGTGTCACAGGCGCAGGCGGCGTGAGGCGCTCGCCCCAGCAGACACCCCCGGCCCCCCTGCCACCAGCCCCCTCCCCAAATTTTGCAGCCCCCTGGGATGTGGGGGCTGGCAGGGGGGGTGCTGCTGGCGATGCTCCCGTCCCGGTGCTGTGCAGGAGGAGGGCTGGAGGTGACGCCGTGGCCGTCGGGGCTGCTGCAAGGCAAAGGTGACGCCGTGAGGGTGCCGCCGCGTGGGTGGGGGACCCCTAAAACCCCCCCCGTACCCCAAAACTCACCCAGCCTGCCCTAAATCCAGTAAACGGGGACGATGCTGCAGAGGATGCTCGCCGTGGTGCCCAGCAGGGAGCGGTCGTCCAGGGGCATGGCCAGCCTCTGCTCAGCCTGGGGGAGAAACGCAGGGCACCCCCGTCTCCATCCCTCACCTTTGGGGGGCTCCTGCGCCCCCAGGGAGCCTCCTGTGCCCCCATAGAGGCTCCTGTGCCCCCCCAAAACCTGATCCTGCCCCTCCAGAGCTCACCTGCCGGCGCTGGAAAGCCTGGGTGGCCGCATCCAGCCCCGGGATGTTGTCCTTGTCCATGCGGGTGACGTAGCAGGCGTGGTGCAGCCGCGACCTGTAGCTCACCAGCAGCTGTGCGCACGCAGAGCCGGGTGGGTTTGACCCCAAATCCCACCCTACGGACCCCCACCCCTCTTCCCTTCCCCCCCCACTCACGTTTTTGTAGTCGTAGACCACCGTGGCCGGGTTTCCAGCTCCGCCATCCACGTAGAAAGTGGCCGCGTCCTCTTCCCACGCCCTCCCCGCGCCCAACCGCAGGACCTGGGGACAGGGGGGGGAGCTCAACCCCTGCCCCCTGCCCGTCCCCGGGGAGCCCTGGGGACCCTACTCACGGCGTCGGGGTGGCCCCGCTCCACCTGCAGCCACATCAGCAGGGCGCCGGCGATGATGACCACCAGCAGGACCACCACCACCACCACGATGAGGAGGCACTTGAGGTGGTGGCAGCTGCTGAGCAGCTTGCGGGGCAGGTAGCAGAGCAGGCGAGGCACGAAGCACAGGCAGCCCTTGAGGCTGCAGCAGCCGGGGCGGCAGCAGCGCGAGCATTTGGGGCAGCAAAGGGCGCAGGGCAGGCAGCAGGAACCGCAGCAGCCCTTGTCGGCGTCCTGGGGGGGTGAAAAAGGTGGAGAGATGTTGATATAAGGGTAAGGAAACGGGGTCAAGGGGTGAAATGGGGGTGGGAAGGGCTCGCTGGGGTTCAGCTCCCACCCTGCTCGCCTTTGGGGGTGCGTGTGGGGGGTGCTGGGTCTCCACGAGGCACGCAGAGGGGGGGCGCAAGCGTGGCACCGCTCCGTGGGGCGCGGGGACTCACCAGCGGCTCCTCGACTGCCACCTGCTTCATGCTGCTCTCCATCTCTGCCTCCTCCTCCTCCTCTTCTTCCTCTTCCTCCTCCCAGCCCGGGCAGCCCGCAGCAGCTGGGGCAGTGGCTTTATTTGGGGGGTTTTGGGGTGGGGAAAGGGGCGGCCCCCACGAGCAGCCTCGTGGTGCCACTCGGGTGTGCCGCCCGCTCCCGGCGGTGTTTGCCCAGCGCCCTGCCCACAGCTGCTTTCCCCTGGGAACCCGCAGCTCAAGAGGGCCTGAGGACACTTGTCCCCAGGGCACGGGGACCTCTCTGCTGCCCCGGAGCGGGATTTGGGGCCAAAGCAAACCCTCCTCAAGGGCTTCAAGCTGCCCTCCAGGGTGGAGCATCCGGGGACGGAGGCAGCCAAAGGGGAACCTGGCCCCGTGCCCGTGACCTTTCGCCACCTCGGGCACCTGGAGGTGCTCGGGAAAGGGAAAACAAAGAGGGGACATCAAAAGGGTCCCCACGAGCCGCAGCGTTGGGGCAGGAGTGGGGTCACCATGGCAGGGGGCCACGGAGCACGGATTGGGGCCAGGTGCTCCAGGGCCTTGGTCCCGAGGGTGCTGGGCCCGCATCGGTGACGTCTTGGCCACCCTGGGTCCCCAGCATGGTCCCCAAGCAGCCGTGGCTGTGGGTCTGCCCCACATCTTGCCCCCTGCCTCCTCCCCCGGGGTGCTGAGCAGGATGGGGACCCCCCCGGGGGGCTCCTGCCTTGTGCAGGGGGGGCACAGAGCCGCTGCATGGCTGCGTGCGCCCCTTCCCAGCCAGGGGGGCACGGGGCAGGGATGGAGAGGTGACGGTGACATGTGGGGAGGTCCAACGCCCCTGGGGGGCTGGCACGGGTCCCCCCCAGCCTCTTTTTTGTCCCTTCGGATCCCCAGATCCCCAGCAGGGCACATGGGGGTGAGCCCCGAGGGTGCCCCTGGCTGCTGTGGGGTTGAAGCAGGGGGACGTGGGGCACACGGAGGGCGCAGGGGGCAAGCCGGGGTGGCACCCATGGGTGCCCTGCTGGCCCCGGGGATGTGACCTGCGGTCCCTCTGTCCCTGTGTGGGTGAGGACGGGAGAGGGACGGGAACTTTTTCTGCACTTTGGGTGCTGGGTGCCCCAAAGGGCTGGGGACGCCGGGGCTGGGGACGCCGAGCCCTCCGGTGCCCCTCGGCTGGGGCTGGACCTGACCCCCCCCTGATTAAACCAACACCGGGGGTGCTCCCCCCACGCCGGACCCCTCGGGGACCACCCCAGGCGCAGGGAGAGGAGGAGAGCAGGACTGGAGGCAGCGCCCAGCTTTACTTTGCCGACAGCAGCGCACATCCCGCAGCGAACCCCAATCATTTATTGCAAGCACCACGCGGTGCCGAGGCCGGTGATGAAGCCGACGATGATGAGGATGATGAGGATGATGATGAGGAGGAGGAAGGAGCCCAGAGGGGCACCACAGGGGGCACGGGGATGGCAGGGACGCCCCCTCCTCATCCCCAGCCCCTGCTAGGTCCAGTAAATGGGCACGGAGCTGCAGAGGACGTTGGCGGTGGTGCCCAGGATGGAGCGGTCAGCCAGGGGCTCAGCACCAGCCTTCCCCTCGCCCTGCGGAGACACAGCGGGAGCTCTGGCCACCCGTGGCCACCGTGGCCTGGAGGAAAAGCTTGCCACAAGCCCAGCGGCGCCCTTCCCAGGTGCCCAGGCTGCGGGCACGAGGCTGGGCTCACCTGGCGCCGCTGGAAAACCTCGGTGACGGCGTCCAGCCCGGGGAGGTTGTCCTCATCCACGCGGGTGATGAAGCACACGCGGTGCAGCCAGGACCTGTAGCTGACCAGCAGCTGCGTGCAGGCAGCCCCCCCGTCAGCCCAACCCCGTGCTCAGCCCCCCCCCAGCCCCCCGTGGCACCCGAACCTTGCCGTAGTCGTACACCAGCAGCGCGGAGGAATTGCGCCCCTCGGCCACGGCGAACGTCCCGATCCTTTCCTTCCTGCTCATGGAGAGGTGCTGGGGGGGCCCTTGGGCGCCCAGCCCCTCGATGCTCATCCTCAAAACCTGCAGGGAGGAAGGGGACGGAGTCACCGTGGAGGGGGGGGACACCCCTGGAAGCCCCCCGCTGGGCGCAATGCGTGCGCCCCCCCTCTTTGCGCACCGTCTCGGCGTGCGTCTCGGTGAGGTGCAGCCCCAGCAGGAGGAAGGCCCCCACCAGCACCACCAGGAAGACCACGGCCACCACCACCATCAGGAGGCTCTTCAGCTGCTGGGGGACGCAGGGGAGGCGGGGGGAGGCCGTGTACTCCTGGGGAAAGGGGGGGGGGAAACAGCGGGGTGAGCCCAGGCTCAGCCCCGTGCCGGCGGGGCCGGGTGCTGGGTGCTCCTTACCGGGGGGGCCTCCTCTAGCAGCGCCTCCTTGGAGCTGCCGTCCATCTCTGCCCTCACCACGCAGCTCCTGCCCCGCTGCCAGCAGGAACGGGGGATTTATAGGGTCCTCGGGGGGCGCTGGGGCTGCCAAGGTGCCACTCGAGCTCTGTTTGCCCAACCCGGATAAGAGCCGGGAAAGTGTGTGCGGGAGGGGGGGGGGGCGTGAAATCCTCTGAGGGCCTTTTCCCAGCATTTGCAGGTGGTTTGGGAGGGGGCCAAGGCAAACAGGGCGGGTGCCCGCCCTCCTCCTGCACCCCCTGCGCCCACCCCGAGCACCCTTGGGGGCTGCCCCCCGCTGCCACCCAGCCCCGCGGGCAGCTGCGCAGGGCTCGGAGCTGGCTGGGCTCATTGTTGGCCGCGAGCGCCGTGCCTGGGACGGGCAGCCCAGAGCCCCCCCCCGCCACCCCCAACCTCCAACCCCCCCCCAGGCCTTGGCAGCACCCAGGGCAGCCGGGGTGAAGCGCTGGGAGTGGGCAGCACCCCCCAAAAAAATCAAAGCAGAGCCTGAACGGAGCCACCGCCTGCCCTGGGGGTCCCCCCCTCCGTGGCACGCAGCCCCCCGTGCTGGGGGCACGTGTCCCCAAGGCCACCCGCCCGTGCCGTGCCGTGCCGTGCCGTCACGCTGCTGCATCCATCCCTCTGTCCCTCCCTCCCTCCTCCTGCAGCTCACAGGAGCATGGAGAGCTGCAGAGCAGCAGCCCCACTGCCGCCAGCCCCCTCCAGCACCGCCGCTTCCCCCCGGCGCTGAGGGGTCCTCGGGGAAGGAAGGAGAGGGGGCAAAATAAAAATAAAAAAAAGGGCTCGGCTGCGGCTCCAGGGGAAAAAAAAGGAGCAGGAGAAGAAGGAGCAGGAGCAGGAGCAGGCCAGGGCGATGGAGCTGCGGCACGGCAGGAGGATGCCCGGGGGCCAGCTCTCGGCTCTCCTGCTCCTCCTGGCCTCCTCTTTGCTCTGGGGGGCTGCGGGGGGCCGGCGGCCTCCCCGGCCACCCCCATGCCCCCCAAGCTGCTCGTGCACGCGGGACACGGCTTTCTGCGTGGACTCCAAGGCCGTGCCCAAGAATTTGCCCCCCGAGGTCATCTCGCTGTGAGTAGCCGGGGAGGGGGACGGGGATGGGGATGGGGACGGGGAAGGGGGGGGCGCACACAATCGGCTCCCCGTGGCGCAGGGCTGGCAGCGGGTGCTGGGGCAGGGCCAGCCTCGGTCTTTGTGCTGCAGTGGGGTTGTGCGGGGTGAGAGCAGCTTGGGGGGGTCTCTAGGGGGGTGAGGGAAGCTCTGGGTGGGCTGGGGACCCCCCCAACCCTGGGTTTGTTCCCATGTGGGGGTGCCCTGCGGTGCCAGCAGGTCCCCCGTGCGCACACGGCGCTGGATGGAGCAGGGCTGCAGCCCGGCCCCGCCGCACTGCCCGGCTGCTGTGACCTTGGGGACAAGAGTCCCGGGGGGGACACGGTTTGGGGGGGGGTCCCTGGGGGCACAGCAGGGCGCAGGAGCCTCGTAGGGGTGCGTGCGCACCCGTCTGTGTGCGCACACCCAGGTTTGGATGTGCCGCAGGGCACGCGTGGGGTGGGTGCCAGCCCTTGGGGCTGAGCCCCTTGTCCCCTACGTGTCCCCCCTGTGTCCCCCCCGTGTCCCCCCCCATGCCCATCACGGCCCCGGGGTCTCCTCCTCCCCGCAGGACCATGGTGAACGCGGCCTTCACGGAGATCCGAGAGGCGGCTTTCGCCCACATCCCCTCGCTGCAGTTCCTGTAGGTCAAATCCCAGACCGGTGACCCCCCCCTCTCCCAAATCCTCACCCCCTGGGTGCCCCCCCCGACCCAAATTCTGACCCTTTCTCCCCCTTTTTTTTTTTGCAGCCTGCTGAACTCCAACAAATTCACGCTGATCGGCGACAACGCCTTCGCCGGCCTCCCGCACCTGCAGTACCTGTGCGTGGGGGGGGGGGGGGACGGGGACGGGGACGGCCCCGAGGGGGGGTCCCGGGGTGGGGGCTGCTCCCCGTGCCCTCGGCGCAGCCCTGCAGCCTCTCCTCCTGCCCTAGGTTCATCGAGAACAACGACATCCAGGCGCTCTCCAAGGCCACCTTCCGCGGGCTCAAGTCGCTGACCCACCTGTGAGTAGCGGGCACCCCGTGCGCCCCCCCTGGAGGGGGGACACTTGGGGACAGCTCCGTGTCCCTCTGTCCCGCCGGGCACAGCGCCTCTCGTCCCCAGGTCTCTGGCCAACAACAACCTGCAGACGCTGCCCCGGGACCTCTTCAAGCCTCTGGATATCCTGAGTGATTTGTAAGGCTGCCGCGGCACCGGGGACACCGGGATGGGGACGGGGTTATGGGGCACGACCCCACGGGCACCTCTCTGCGCCCCCCAAATCGGGATAGGGGGGTCCCCGCTGGGGCTCGGGCAGGGCAGGGGGAGGACTCGGTGCCCTCCTCTCCCCAGGGACCTGCGGGGGAACTCGCTGGCCTGCGACTGCAAGATCAAGTGGCTGGTGGAGTGGATGGAGAGCACCAACACCACCGTCCCCGCCGTCTTCTGCAGCAGCCCTGGGCAGTTCGAGGGCCAACGCATCCGGGACCTGGCGCTGGGCGACTTCCAGTGCATCACCACGGGTACGGAGACCCCCCCCTTTAACCCCCACCCCAACTTAGCTCCCCGCGCCCTCACCTCCTCCTTCTCCCCACAGATTTCGTGGTGCACCAGGTGCTGCCCTTCCAGGCGGTGTCGGCCGAGCCCTACACCTACGCCAGCGACCTCTACGTGGCTCTGGCGCAACCCGGTGCCAGCAGCTGCGCCGTGCTCAAGTGGGACTACGTGGAGCGCAAACTGCGCGACTTCGACCGCATCCCCGGTAAGGTCGGCACTGTGAAACCCCCCCTTTTTTTGTCCCCCTGGTGTCCCCCCCCCAAAAAAAAATTGACGTGCCCCCTGCCCCGCAGCCCACTCGGCCGTGCACTGCAAGCCCATCGTGGCGCAGGGCCAGCTCTACGTGGTGGTGGCGCAGCTTTTCGGCGGCTCCTACATCTACCGCTGGGACACGGCCGTGGATAAATTCATCAAGATCCAGGACATCGACAGCCAGAAAACCCGCAAGCCCAACGACATCGAGGCCTTCCAGATCGAGGGCGAGTGGTACTTCGTCATCGCCGACAGCTCCAAGGCGGGCTCCACCAGCCTCTACCGCCTCGACCAGAACGGTTTCTACTCCCACCAAGCCCTCCACGCCTGGCACCGCGACACCGACGTGGAGTACGTGGAGAACGACGGCAAACCCCGGCTCATCATCGCCAGCAGCTCCCAGGCGCCCGTCATTTACCAGTGGAACCGGGCGCAGAAGCAGTTTGCGCCCCAGGGGGAGGTGGGCGAGCTGCTGGACGTGCAGATGGTGAAGCATTTCAGGGCGAAGCGGGAGCATTTCCTCTGCCTCAGCCGCTACATCGGCGACTCCAAGGTGGTGCGCTGGGAAGGGCAGCGCTTCGTGGAGCTGCAGACGCTGCCGTCGCGCGGCTCCATGGTGATGCAGCCCTTCGCCGTGGGGCAGCGGCGCTACATGGCCCTGGGCAGCGACTTCTCCTTCACCCACGTCTACCTGTGGGATGAGGAGAAGCAGAAATTCGGCAAGTTCCAGGAGCTGGCGGTGCAGGCGCCCCGGGCTTTCCGCTACGTGCCCGCCGCCGACGTGCAGCTCCTGCTGGCGCCCAGCTTCAAGGCCAACACGCTGGTCTACCGGCACGTGGTGGTGGACCTCAGCCTCTAGCCGGGGGGAGGCAGAGCCCCCAAAAAGCGGCTCTCACCTCCCCCGGGGGGCTGCTCGGGCACGGGGACACGCATGCGCCCGCCAGCCCCATCCTCACTCTGCCCCACGGTCACAGCCCGGTGCCTGCGCCCCTCCCGCACCCACACCCCTTTTTTTGGGGGAAGCCACTGCCCTCGTTTTTCCCCCGGTGCACCCACAGATCCCCTTCTCTGCCCTCCCATACGCAGCACCCACGGCCACCCCGTCCTGGCCGCGTGCTGGGACACCCCTCGCCCCGCAAAGTGACGCCCTTGGGTGCTGGCAGGGGGGGAGCACGGGCACGGGGTATGGGGGCTGCAGGCAGGGCCAGGGCTGTATGGGATGGTCCCAGGGCATGGGGCTGCTTCCAGGTGGGTGGGATGCTCGAGGGCAGCGGGATGTTGGCAGGCGGATGGGGTGCTTTGATGCCGAGGTGTGTAACGGGGAGCTCCAGGGTCAATGGGATGCCCCGGGGTGGATTGAGATGCGCCAAGGTGGATGAAATGCCCCAAGGTGGAGGGGATGCCCTAAATTGGGTGGGATGCCCTAAATTGGGTAGGATGCCCTAAATTGGGTGGGATGCCCTAAATTGGGTGGGATGCCCTAAATTGGGTGGGATGCTTAAAATGGATGGGATGCTCAAGAACAGCGGGATCCTCTGATGCCAAGATGTAATGGGATGCCCCAGGGTGGTTGGGATGTTCCAAGGTGGATGGGATGCTCTGAGTTGGATGGGATTCCCCAGGATGGTTGGGATGCCCCGAGGTTAACCATTAACGGGATGCCCCGAGGTTAACGGGATGCCCCAAGGCTAATGGGATGCCCCGGGTTTAATGGGATTCCCCGAGGTTAATGGGATGCCCCAATTTTAATGGGATTCCCCGGGGTTAACGGGATGCTTGAGGCCAGCAGGATGCAGCCCCAATTCCTGTCCCCCCTGTGCACACCCCGCAGCCCCTCTGCCCCATCCCCGCAGCGTGCCAGCCTCACCGGGGTGCACGCACCCACCCAAAACACCCCCAAATAAACAAACTGTGACCCCCCAGCCGTGCCTCCACCTCCTCCCAGCGGCCCTACGAGGCTGAGGCCAGCCAAGAGCCCTGCTCGGGGCTCTCCCGGGCGTTTTGGGGGAGCAGCAGAAGCCGTGGCCCGAGGCGGGGAAGCGGGAGGTGTTCCCCCAGGCTGTGGGGTTTGCTCCTGCACCCCGCCCGCACGGCTGGTTTTCCAGGGGAGCTTTTCCAGGTCCCACGGGCGCGTGCATATGCATGGGGAAAAAGAAAAACCACTAATTAAGCTCACGAATAAAGAGCCTCTCTTCGGGAACAGGCAGCCTGGGGAGAGGGTTTGTTCCCGGGCGGCTGCGGATCCTAAACCCGGGGCTCCGCCACCCCGCTCTGCCTCGGTTTCCCCAGCAGGAGAGGGAAGACCCCAAAAGCAGCCGTGGTAGGGGTCTGGGGAGCCCCAAGGCCACCACTGGGGACGTGTGGCCGGGGGAAACGTGGCCTGGGGCAGGTGCCGAGCCCACCCATGGGGGCTGGAGAAGCCCTCCAGGATCCTCTGCTCCATCCATCCCCAACCACCACCGAGCCCTGACCCCAAGCACCACGTCCAAGCTCTCCTTGAGCACCCCCGGGGACGGTGACGCCACCACCTCCCTGGGCAACCCGTCCCAACGCCCGGCTGCTCTTTTTGGGAAGAAATATCTCTTTATTTACAACCTGAACCTGCCCTGGCACACCTCGAGGCCGTTCCCTCTGCTCCTATCACGGTTATCTGCGAGAAGAGGCCATCCCCGAAACCAAAATAAAACCACGAGGTCACACGAAGGCGCCTGCTTCTCCTTTTTCCGTGTGCTAAAGGCTTAAAACAAAAACAAATAAAAAATGGGTGGGAGAGGGAGGGGCTCACCCTTTGCACTACTGGGCGTTACCCTTTTAAGACGCGGCGTTACCCTTTTAAGAGATGGCATTGCCCTTTTAAGAGATGGCATTGCCCTTTTAAGAAAAAGGACTCGCCCTTTTAATAAGCGCCGTTGCCCTTTTAAGGCGCGCCGTGGCCCCCGCTGAAGCCGCGCCGTTGCCCTTTTAAGAGTAGCCCCGGCCCCTTTTTAAGAATGGCGGGGCGGGGCCGCGTGGGCCGTCGGGCTGGCTGCGCATGCGCAGAGCCCGCGGCCGCCCCATTCAAGCCGTTGGGGCCGCTGCGGCCCCCCCCGGGCCCCCCCCCAGCCATGGTGGCCTGGGTGCTGAGCCGGGCCGTGCTGTGAGTGGGGGGGGGCTCTTGTGGGCCCCCCCCGGCCCCCTGTGGGCCCCCCTGGTCTTGTGGGGGGGTGGCCGTTTATTTGGGATTGGGGCGGGGGGGGCGCGGGGGGGGTTTTGGGGATTTTGGGGGGGTTTGGGGGGGTTTTGGGGTGGGGGGGGGTTGGATTTGGGGTGGGGGGGAGGTGGTGCCCCCCCCCCCCTGGGTGTGGGGGGTGTTAGGGGGTTGTGGTGGGGCTGGTATGGGGGGGGGTGTGGGGGGGGTATTTTGGGGAGGGGGGGGTCATTTTGGGAGGGGGGGGTCTGGGGGGGGGCAACTGCGGGGGTGGGGGGGGGCTTGGGGGGGTGTTTTGGGTATGGGGAGGATTTTGGGGGGGGGCACCCAAAAGGGGAGGGGGAGATCTGGGGGGGGGGGAGGGCTCCTCGGGGAGGGGGAGATTTTGGGGGGAGCCCTAAAAGGGGAGGGGGAGTTGGGGGGGGGCACATTGGGGAGGGGGAGTTGGGGGGGGGCTCCTTGGGGAGGGGGAGAATTTGGGGGGGGGGCCTAAAAGGGGATGGGGAGACCCTGGGGGGGGAGAGGGTACCTAAATGGGGAGGGGGAGACTTTGGGGGGGGGGGGAACCTAAAAGGGGAGGGGGAGACCCTGGGGGGGGTGTCACCAAAAAAAAGGGGAGGGGGACACTTTGAGGGGGGGGGTGTGACGCTTACTGCCCCCCCCCAGGCTGGTGTTCGGGATGCTGTACCCCGCCTACGCCTCCTACAAGGCCGTGAAGAGCAAAAACATCCGCGAATACGTGAGTAAGGCCCCCCCCGGTGCCCCCCCCAGGCCCCAAATTGGGGGGGGGGGCTGACAACCATGCCCCCCCCCCCCCAAGGTGCGCTGGATGATGTACTGGATCGTCTTCGCCCTCTTCATGGCCACCGAGACCGTCACCGACATCTTCCTCTCCTGGTGAGGGTGGGGGGCTGCGGACCCCCCCCTTTTTATTTTTGGGGTCTGGGGTCCCCCCTTTTATTTTTTCTAGGGTTTTTCCCCCCCTTTTCTTTTTTCTGGGCTTCTCCCCCCTCTTTTCTTTCTTTTTGGGGTTCTCCCCCCCCTTTCTTTCTTTTTAGGTTCTCCCCCCCCTTTTCTTTTTTTCTGGGGTTCTCCCCCCCCTTTTCTTTTTGGGGGTTCTCCCTCCCTTTTCTTTCTTTTTGGGATCTCCCCCCCCCCTTTTTATTTTTTTTTAGGGTTCTCTCCCCCCCTTTTTTTCTGGGATTCTCACACCCAGTTTTCTCTTTTTGGGGTTCTCTCCCCCCTTTTCTTTTTTTTGGGGGGATTTTCACCCCCAGTTGTTTTTTTTTTCTGGGGTTCTCCCCCCCCTTTTCATTTTTCTGGGATTCTCACCCCTCTTTTCTTCTTCCTGGGCTCCCCCCACTTTCTCTAGACTCCCCCCCTTTCTCTGCCCCCCCCATTTCAGCATACCCCCACTTTTGGGGTCTCCCACCTCCTTGGGGGGGGGGCAACAATTAGTAGGAAGACAGATTTAGGGGGCCAGCTGGGCTGCCATCCCAATACCAATCCCTGTAGGGAATCAGGACGTACCTGGGCCCCCCCCCCTGATATTTTTCGCCCCCTCCCCATTATTTTTTGCCCCCCCCCAGGCTCCCCTTCTACTACGAGGTGAAGATGGCCTTCGTCCTCTGGCTGCTGTCCCCCTACACCCGCGGCTCCAGCCTCCTCTACCGCAAATTCGTGCACCCCACGCTGGCCCGCAGGGAGCAGGTGGGCCCCACCCTTATCCCTGTGGACCCCCCCAGAATTGTGGGCCCCACCTTCGGCCCCTACGCTCACCCGGTGGGCCCCACCCCGTAGGAGATCGACACCTACATCGTCCAGGCGCGGGAGCGGGGCTACGAGGCCGTGCTGAGCTTCGGCAAGCGGGGGCTCAACATTGCCGCCACCGCCGCCGTGCAGGCGGCCGCCAAGGTAAGGGGGGGGGCACGGTTATGGGGTGGGGGGGGGACACGGTTATGGGGTGGGGGGGACGCGCCGTGGGGTAAGCAAGGGGTTGTAGGGCCAGGCTCGGCCCCGCTGGTTCTGTTCTGTGGTTTCGGGTGCAAGGGGGGCAGCGGGGTCCCCCCCCCCAGTTGGGTTGGGGTCTCCCCTGATGGGGCTGGGGTCCCCCCCATTTGGGTTGGGCTGGGGTCCCCCCCCATTTGGGTTGGTCCCCCCCACGGGGCTGGGGTCTCCAAAATGGGGTCAGGGGTCCCAATGGGGTTGGCATCCCTTGTGGGACTGGGGTCCCACCCCAATGGGGCTGGGGGCCCCTATTTGGGTTGGTCCCCCCCCTATGGGGTTGGGGTCTCCAAAATGGGGCCGGGGTCCCCCCAGTAGGGCTGGGGTCCCCTCCATTTGGGTTGGTCCCCCCCCCCATGGGGTTGGGATCTCCAAAATGGGGCCGGGGTCCCCCAGTGGGGTTGGGGGTTCTCAATGGGGCCAGGGTCCCACCCCAATGGGGTTGGCATCTCTTGTGGGACTGGAGTCCCACCCCAATGGGGCTGGGGTCCCCCATTTGGGTTGGGTCCCCCTATGGGGCTGGGGTCTCCACAATGGGGTTAGGGTCCCCCATTTGTTTTGGTCCCCCCTCCAAGGGTTGGGGTCTCCAAAATGGGGCCGGGGTCCCCCAGTGGGGTTGGGGGTCCCCAATGGGGCCAGGGTCCCACCCCAATGGGGTTGGCATCCCTTGTGGGACTGGGGTCCCACCCCAATGGGGCTGGGGGCCCCCATTTGGGTTGGTCCCCCCCCTATGGGGCTGGGGTCTTCAAAATGGGGTCGGGGTCCCCCATAAGGTCAGGGCTTCCCAATGGGGCCAGGGTCCCACCCAATGGGGGTGGCATCCCTTGTGGGACTGGGATGCCCCCCAGTGGGGCTGGGATCCCCCCATTTGGGTTGGTCTCCCTCTGTGGGGTTGGGGCTCCCCAATGGGACCAGGGTCCCCCATGGGGTTGGGGTCCCTCCCAGTGGGGCTGGCATCCCTTGTGGGACTGGGGTCTCACCCCAGTGGGGCTGGGGTCCCCCATTAGGGTTGGGTCCACCATGGGGTTGGGGGCTCCCCAATGGGCTGGGGACCCCATTTGGGTTGGTCTCCCCAATGGGGTTGGGGTCTCCTGTGGGGTTGGGGCTCCCCAATGGGGCCAGGGTCCCCCATGGGGGTCCCCAATAGGGCCGTGCTCCCCCATAATGGGGCCGCGCTCCCCATAGACCACCGTTACCCCATTGCTTCACGTTCTGCCCCATAGAACCTCACCCCAACCCCACTCTTTTTCCCCCCCCCCCACCCCACAGAGCCAGGGGGCTCTGGCCGGGCGCCTGCGCAGCTTCAGCATCCCCGACCTGCGCTCCCTCCCCGACGACGCCCCCCTACACTACCGGGACCCCCTTTACCTGGAGGGCGAACCGGGACCGGGGGGGGCCCTGCGCACCCCATGGCCGGGAGCTTTAGGGGATTCGGGGGGGGGCTGCACCAGAACCATCGGCTGGCCCCTACCCCGCGGGGCACCCCCGCGTTGTGACAGCGAGGAGGAAGAGGAGGAGGAGGAGGAGGAGGAAGGGCGCTGGTCGGATTCGCAGCTCCCCCCCGAGCCCCCCCCTCAACCCCGCGACCCCAAACCCATCTCCCGGAGCCAGAGCTTGCGCACGGCGAAGAAGAAACCCCAAAACAAAGAGGTATTGTGCCCCCCCCGCCCCCCCCCCCCCCAGCACCCAGCTGTGCCCGGCAGGAGCTCACCCCTTTTTTTTTTCCCCCCCCCCCCTCACCCCAAAATTCCCCCCCCCCAGGGCTCTTCCCGGCTGGTGCGCGGTCGGATTCGGAAGAAGCCGGCACCGACGGGGCAGGAGGATTAATTTAATGCCCCCCCCGGGGGGAAAAAAGCATCGCCAGGAGTCTTAACCTGTTGAGTTTGCTGCTGCATTGCCGGGGGGGGGGGCAGGATTTGTGCCGTGACCCCCCCCCAACACCAAAGGGTGAGGGCTCCCCACTGCCTCGCACCGCCTGTGCCTTAGGTTTTGGGTTTGGGGGGGGGCCTGGGGGGCTCCGTCCTGCTCCCAGCTGTGACCCCCCCCCCTCCACTTTTTCCATTGCCCATCGCTGCTGCGGGGGGGGCGCCGGCGCCTCTCCCGTGGGGGCTCAGCTCCCCCCTCCCCAAACACTACAGGAGCCCCCTCCTCGGCACGGGGTGCCCGGGGGGGGGCCCTGCTGTCCCCTTGCCATTTTGCCTTATTCCCGTGTCCCCCCCCCCACAGGAGCCCCCGTGGGGCCATCCAGGTCTCCATCCATCCCCATGAAGCCAAAGACCCCTCCCGTGCCCCCCCCCTTTGCCAGGGACCCCCCCCCTTTTTTTTTTTTTCCCCCCTCTCTACTTGAAACCGGAGCGCCGGTGCCGACCATGCCCCACGCGGCTTTTAACGCCCCCCCCCTCCTCGTGGGGGGGGGCATTTTTTGTACACAGACGAATAAATCTGATTCCAGACTTTCCAAAATCGCTGTCCCCATCCCTGTGGGGGGGGGATATTCCTTTGGGGGGGGGGGTCATTGATCCATCCCTCGGGGGCTTCGCCCCCTGCCTGGGGTGGCACGAGGTGACGGGCTCCTCGCCTTGAGGGGGGGGGGCTTCCCGGGGGGGGACAGGGAGCAGCTTAGGTGGAGGTGGCCGGATTAGCCGGGTAAAACTGTCTCAGAGACGATTACTTCGAGCAGCGGGGAAAACGGGGGGGGGGATTCCGGGGGGGGGGCACAGGGTGAGGGCCAGGGGGCTGCCCGTAATCCCCCCCAAAGCCGCTTAGGGCGCACGGTTCCTCCAAGGATACGGCCCTGGGGGGGGGTGTGGGGGGGGTGGGGTGGGGGTGGACCCCTAGAGTGGCTTTTGGGGAGGGTGGGGGGGTGCTGGGAGCCCCCCCGGGGGGGGGCACGGGGGGGTGTGGGAGGCTGCTGGGTTGGGAATTGGGGAAACGGGGGCGCGGAGAGGGGGTACCCGCTGCGGGCTCCTCATTTTGGCACCGTCCCCGTGCTTCTCCCCCCCCCCCGAGGGACAAAAACCCAAAAGAGGGGCACGAGCAGCCCCCATCCTGCCCCCCCCCACCCCCCCCATCCTAAGGGGGGGCTCCCAGCTGTGTCAGCTCGCGGGGCCACTGCCAGGCTGCAGTCAGCAAAGCCGTAATCTGCCCCGGCTGGCAGCGCCCCAGCGCAGCAATTACGGGGCTGACCTGAGCTCGCCCCCCTCGCCTCCACCCCCCAGGCTTTGGGGGGGGGAAATGCCCCCCCCCCGCCACCCCCCCAAGCTTTTTGTGGGGTCCCCGGAGCTCTCCGTGGGGCAGGGTTTGACCCCGCTGCGCTGCGCCCTCTCCGTGCCCATGGGGTTGTGAGGGGCTGTGCGAGCTGCAGCCCCCCCCCTTAATCAGCTTCCCCATGGGGATGGTGTTAATGGGGGCGAGGGGTGGGTTTGTGCCCCCCCCCGGCACTTTTTGGGGTTTCCTTGCACCCGTCCCCAAGAGCTGGGGGGGGGACACGGGGGGGACACAACGGTGTCACCTCGCCCCGCTGGATGCACCCCCTGCCCCAGGAGGGGTGACCCCAAATATTTGGGGTAGCTACGGGCCGAACCCCACAACTGATGGCACCACCCCCACACCTCGACCCCCCCATTTCCCTCCCGACCCCCCCAAACCACAACCAAACCCGACAACCCCCCCTTTATTTTTTTAGAGATGGGGGATGCCGACACCCCCCTAAACCCCATTAAAACCCCCCAACCCCCCTTTTTTTGGGGACACCCCCTTTTTGGGGACCCCCTTTTGCCACATCCCCCTTCCACCAGCCCCCCCCCAACCCTGCAGCCCCCCCCGGGTGCCGTGTCCCCCCCCCCCCCCCCTGTGGCCCCGCTGCCTGACTCAGCCTCTGCAGCCCGGAGCCATGTGAGGCCGCGCACACATGGCTCCCCGCGCGGCGCGGGGCTGTATTTTTAGCAGACGGTATCAAAAGCATAATTATGGCTGTTGTTTAAACGCAGCCTCTTTTTTTTTTCCCTTTTTCCCTTTTTTTTTCCCTTTTTTTCTTTTTTTTCGGGCGGTTTTTCAGCTCCCTCCATCCCCCCCCCAACCTCTCCAACCTCTCCAACCTCTCCAACCCTTTGCGCCCAGGGTGCGCACGGCGTGGGATGGGGCTGAGAGCCCCCCAGGTCTCCCGGGGGGGGCAGGTAAGGCTCCTTGACCCACCCCCCCTTTTTTTTGTTTTTTTTTGTTTTTTTTTGCGGCCCCCTCCCCGTGACGTCTTCATCCCCGCGGCGAGGAAGAGGAGGGTGGGTGGGGAGCGTGGGAGCGCCGTGGGGAAGGGGCGCGCGAGGTGACGGGGCCGCGGGAGGACACGGCGGCTGCTGCCGGAGGAATGAGCCCCCCCACACACACTCAGTGCCCCCCCCACGGCCCCCCCCAGCAGATTTCCAACCCCCTGGCCCCTTGGGGACCCGGCTGTCCCCACGCAGCCCGGCCCTGCCCTGCCCTGGCACTCGGATCCCATTCAGCTTCCCCCCCCCTCCCCGGCCAGGGCACGTGCGCTGGGGCTGGAGCGCAAACGGGGTCACCGAGCCCCCCCCCCCCATCATCATTTTGGGGACAAACCCAACGGGATCGTGCCCAGCGGAGCCCCCCACGTCGCTCCCTGCTCGGGGCCGTCACCACCCAAGGGACCAAGGGACGCCGCGGCCCCATTTGTGACTCTCCTCTCCCCACGCCAAGGAGCCGTGACGCCCCATCGTGTCCCCCCCCCGGGCCACCTCTGCTCGTCCCCCGTCCCCTGCCAGCCATGGGGGGGCCCCGGCAGCGGGGTGGGGGCTGGAGACCCCGACTGCTCCCAGGTAGGTGCTATGGGGCCAGCGGGTGCCATCTGTGCCCCCCCCTTTTTCCCTGGCTGCCATCCTAAACTTTTGGCGATGCCCAAATATCCCGGGGGCTGCGGGCACGGGGCCGTGGTGGGGGCTGGCTGCGAGGTGCCCCCATTTTTGGGGACAGGGCTGAGATTTTGGGGTTGTTTCCACACCCTAAAGCCTCCCCCAGGGTGGGAGAGCTGCCCGGAGAGGGCTCGATCCTTTTGGAGAGGTGACAGAGGGGGGGGGGTGGTCCTTCGGTTTTGGGGCCGGATTCCCTCCCGGCCCCGCAGAGGGGACCCCAGCGTGGCACAACGGGGTCCCGCTGCCCTTCCCCGGGGGGGGAAAATGCCTCTCCTCCCGGGGGGGGCAGCGGGATTAGCGCCGCTTTACTCACCTCCCCGGGGACGCAGCAGATTAGGGCCGGCCGGGGCTGCGGGGAGCCGCTCGGGGGCCAGCTCCTGCGGGGTTTTTGTGCCCCCCAGGCCGGTTTCGGGGGGTTTTAGGGGAGCGGGCGGCTGGCAGAGCAGTTGGGCCGTGGCCCTAATTCCCAGAAAGCTGCTCGTGTGGGAGTGAGTGTCCTCCCGTGCCCTCCGCTCCGCCGCAGCCTCCAGACTCCTGAAGGTTTTTGACGTGGTTTTGTGTTTTTTTTTTATTTTTTTTTGTTTTTAATTTATTTTTTTTTTTTAAGCACCGGGCGCAGATTAGCCAAAGCTCGCCGCGCTCGCTCGCGCTCGGCCAGCCGAAAAAGAGGGGGGGTTGGTTGGAAATTAAGGGGGGGGGGGGGGGGGAAACGGGCAGCCTTCCTCTGCCGTGCGCCCTCGTCTTCCTCACCTGAGCAGCGGCGGAGGCAGGTAGGTGCGTGCCGGGAGGAGGAGGAGGAGGAGGGAGGAGGAGGAAGAGGAGGAGGAGGAAGGGCTTGGGCTGCGAGGATGGAGCTGGAGGGGGACCCTGGGTGATTTTTTTTTGGGGGGAGGGGGGATTTTGAGTGTGTTTTGCATGAGGAAATGGTTGGATTTTGGTGTTTTTGGGGTTTTGGGGCTGGTGGGGCTGCGGAGCCCTCTCCAAGGGGGCTGGGGGGTCCTGGGGTGCTCGGGCAGGGCAGGGGACGTGGGCACCCCCCTGGGGACGTGGGCACCCCCCTGGGGACATGGGTACCCCCTTGGGGATGTGGGCACCCCCCCAGCTCCTCTGCACATCCCCACACAGAGGGGGCTGAGGGGTCCCCCTTCTCTCCAAGACCCCCATCCCGCAGCGTCCCCCGTGCTGGCGGACCCCCCCCCAGCCCTCCTGGTCTCCCCCTTCCCTCAGCCCCCCCCGGTGCCAGGGGGTGTTTTGGGGACGGGGTCCCCCCTCCCGGTGTCGCCCCGTGCATCCTGCAGGGATGCCAGGGTTTCTAATTCGGGAGTTTCCGGCCTCCTGCTGCCTGCTTTTGGCCAGCGCTCGCCTCGGGGGTGTTCACAGTCCCTCAAATTTAAGGCAAAAAACAGTGGGATCGGGGCCGTGCCGCACCGGGGGGTGCAGGGATGGGGGGGGCAGCACCCAGGGGAGATATCGGGATGCTTTGCAGAGCGGGGTGGAAATGCCCCCCAAAGCCCCCAGCCCCCCAGCACCTCCCCATTTGTCGTGCGCCCTCGCTGTGATTTGGGGTCTTTTTGGGGTCCGTGCCAGTGCCAGTCCTGACCCCGCAGCCCCCAACCCCTCTGCCCCACCGTGGGCTCTCTCCACCGCTGTGGGACCGCCCTGGCCCTGCTGCTGCCTGCCCCGGGGAGGGAAGGGAGGGCAGGGAGAGCTCTTTCAGCACCTTCTCATCCCGCCGAGGCGCTGGCTCGCCCACACCCCGCTCCCCGGCTCATCCCCTCCCTGTTCCTGGCACCCAACGGGAGCCGCCAGCCCAGCCGGGATCCCACGGGGACAAAACGAATCCCCTACAGCTAACCCACCCCGGAGAGGGACGGGGGCTGGTGCGAGACCCCCAGCATCAGGAACCCCCCCGTTGCCTCCCCAATTTTCCCCCCAGTGGGGGTTAACGCACGGTTTTCGGGGCCAGGGCGCACGCAGCAGCTGCTGAGCCGGCACGAAGCCGCGCTCCGGTGGCGAGCGCACTGCTCGTGGCCTGCCTTCACCCCGGCGTCCCCCCCCCGGCCCCGGAAGCCCCCCAGGGAGGTTGTGTGAGCCGTGCCGAGCCGTGCCGAGCCGGGGGAGGCCGTGTGGTTTATGTAACGCGCGGAGCGAGCAGCGCGCAGGGTGTCCCTGGGACAAGGCACACGTTACATAAAACCCCTCCGGCACTGCCAGCGCTGTGGGTTCCTCGTTCAGAACCTAAAAACGGGGTCCTCACCTCGGGGACCCCCCTGGCGTGCTTCTTCCCCCCCCTCCAAGGGCTGGAAAATCCCCCCCCGGGAAGTGGCCGGCGGGGCGCACGGAGACCCGGTGGGCACGGGGGGGGACCTGGCTCCTTGGCACCCCTCCAGCCTCGGTGTTGGGTGCCCGTGGCTCTGTCTGGGCACCTTTGGGTCCCTTTTGAGCCTCGCAGGGTGGAGGGGAGGAAGAGGAGCGCTGCCTTCATCCATGCCGGGTGGAGGAAGGGTGGTGGCAGGGTGACGAGGCAGAACGGGGCGAGCCCGCGGTGTTGCAAGGCCGAGCGGTGCCGGGCTGGGGGCCGTTTTACCCCCCCAGCACCGTGTCCTTTGGGGTCCCCAACCCCTTTGGGGCAACCGAGCCATCCTCTATTGGGACACAACTCCCCAAAAACACCGGGGCCGGGGCTCTTGGCGCGTTTCTCCCAACCCGGTTTTGCCCGGAGCGCGTGGCCGGCGTCTTTCATCGGCGTCGGCGGTGGGGTGGCTCATCTTTTTCCCCCCCCCTCTGGAACAAAGGGCGCTTTCTTCGCGCGGGGCACAGCACACCTGCCCTCCTTGGCACGGCCCCGCACCGTGCCGCCGCCGGTGCCCGCGGGGCTGGGCGTCCCGCCGGCATTCCCGGGCGTCTCCAGCAACCCCAGCTCCTCGCCTCGCCCTCCCCAGTCGCTGCGGGAGCCCGCCGAGGCTGCACGTCTCTCCCGGCACCTCCGTCGCCTCGCTTTTCACCCCAAAAATGCCCGAGGCTGCTTAGAGCCGGGGCGCCCTCCCTCTTGCCCTCTCCATCGCCGTCGCCGCCGTCGTCGTCGTCGCTTCCCGGGTGCCCCCCGTGCGCCGCCGCCCGCCCGTCCCCGCTCGAAGGCTGTTGGGAAGGAGGAGCACGGAGCCCCCCAGGAGGAGCACGGAGCCCCCCAGGAGGAGCACGGAGCCCCCCAGGCCAATGGATCGCAAAATCCAGCTCCAGCCTTCGGAGAAGAACGTCCCCAGGGCAGCCCAGGCGGTTTTCTGCCTCCTTCAGATCCCGGAGCCAGACCCCTTCAGTCTGTGGGTTTAGGCGCGACGCCTCGCCGCCACCCGCTGCCGGTTGCCGTGCCGCTCGCTGCGTGTGTCCCCCCCACCGTCCCCGGTGCCTGGGGGGGGGTGGCGTGTCCCCCCCCAAATGGACCGAGCCTGTGCTGTGCCAGGTAGCTCGCCGGGTGCCTCGGGGATGCTCCCCTGGGGACAAAAAAGGGGAGCCCCGAGGAGCTTGGGGACGCCGTGCGGTGGTTTTGGGGTGCTGGGAGGGAGCGGTGCTGGGGTCACGGTGCGGGGTTGGGGAAGGGGAGGGGAGGTGGCTCCGGGTTCCCCATGCCCCGTTCCGGTTCCGTGCCCCCAGCGGGGGCTTGGGCAGCAGCAGGGGACGGGGACTTTGCTCCGCTCTGTGCACGGGACGTGACGGGAACGCTGGGGGCCGCGCGGCGCTCACGTCCTGCCCCCGGCACGGCCCCGGGGTGCCCGTTGGGGTGGCTCCGTCCCACCCCGGAGCCGGCTGAGCTTTTTGGAGAGCCGGCTGAGACCCAAAGTGCCCCGGAGCCGGGTTGTGGAGGGCAGGGGATGGCTTTGAGCCCCTCGGGAAGGGCTGGCACCGCAACGAGGGACGGCTCCGGCTCCGAAGCGTGCGTGTGTGGCCCGGCTCCCAGGGAAGTGTTAATCCAGCAAATCCCCCCCGGCATTTCTCCCAGGAGGGGCCTCTGGGAGCCGGGAGCTCCCCGGGCTGGCTGCAAACCCTCCTGGGAAGCTGTGCCCGGCCCTGGCTCCAGGCGAATACCTGCGCGGGGCAAGGCCTCCCCACGCCGGGTGCCAGCGGGCGGGGCGCGCGGCCAGGCTGGGGGGGGCGCAGGGTGCGTCCCGGAGGGGTGCAGGGCAAGGGGGAGGGGGGGGGGACGCCCCTCTCCAGCTGCGTGCCCCCACTTGGGTTGCTCGACACCCTTGGGACCCCCCAGGGTGTGAGGATGGAGCTGGGGGGGGCACGGAAACCGTGCCTCAGTTTCCCCCACTGCGTGCGCCGGCAGCTCATAAGGGTTGGGGGTGCCCTCAATGTCACCCCCCCACCCTGAGGTCCCTTTTTCTCCCCCCCCCCTGCAGGATTTGGCCGGCCGGGCACGGCGCTGAGCACCACATGAGCCCATGGCCAGCGAGGCGAGGATGGGGGAGGCCGTGCCACGCTGGAGGAGAGCCCCCGAAACAGCGCAGGACCCCCGGGGGCTGGAGAGCAGCGGGGTGCCGGGGGTCCTGCCCCAAAACACGGCCACCAACCCGGCCCTGGGGGGCTACCAGGAGCCCCCCAAGCTGAGCTACAGCCCCGGGCTGCCCACGGACAAGGGGTGCCCCTGGAGGGGCTCCGAGGGCTGCGCGGAGCCGGCCAGCTTCCCGCTGGGCTGCCCCTACCCCCCGGCCCCGCAGCGCCTACGGGACGCCCTGTGCCACCCCAAAGACTCCTCCGAGCTGCCTCTGCTGCTGGCGCCCAGGAACGGGCAGCCCAAGGAGCCCCCCCCCGGGTGGGCTGAAGCCGTGCTGGCCCCCCTGGCTCTCTACAGCCACGCGTACCACCGCTACCCCCTGCCCTTCCCCGCCGCGGACACCCAGCGCCCCGGCAAGCCCCGCGGGGACGGGGACCCCCCGGCTTTCCGCAGCTGCCCCTTCCTCCTCTCCTCGCTGTTCCCCCCCCCCTGGTCCCCCAAACAGAGCCCGGATTTGGTGGCGGGGGGCCGGAGGGGCCCGTGGGTGACTGGGCGCTTCGCCGGCACCGAGTGGCGCCTGGGTCCCTACGTGCCGGCTTGGGGGGCGCAGCCCCTCTATTTGGGGGTCCCGCCGAGGTGCAAGGCGGCTCCGGGAGCCTTCGAGGGGAGCTGCGGCTTGGGGAGCAAGGTAAGGGGGCGTCCTCGTGGCTCTGGGCCCTGCTCCCCCCCCCCCGGCCTTCGGGGGTCCCTTGGGTGAACCCAGCCGGGAGCGGCTTCGGCATCGGGGTGGGGGTACCCAGCACACGCAGCCCCCAGTGGGGTGTGCCCCCGTGCTCGCTCCTATAACTCGCCCAAAGGGCAGGGAGGAGCCCCAGGGACCCCAAAATCCCCAAAATGTGGTGATGCCCCCTCTGAGGGGGGTAAGGGGGGGGCTGCTCTCCTCGCCCGGGTGGCCCGTGGCGGTGCCGGGGCTGAGTCACGGCAGGCACGGAGGCGGCGGGAGGCAGAGCGGCCCCTGGGTGCGCCCCATTCCTTTCCCACGCGGATATGGGGCGGGGGGGGGGGGGGGCACACGGGGACACCCCAGGGATGGGATCAGCTGGGAAAAGCAGCCGGGGGGCTGCCCTGGCTCGGTGGGGAACTGAGGCAGGGCCGTGGGGCGCCCCCCAGCTCCATGCGATGGGGGTCAGGAGCGCAGGGGCAGGGATGGGGACCCCCCCCCAGGTGGATTCCAGCCTTAAGAGCCCCCCCTTTGCTCCCCCCCCAGGATATTTACCCGAAGAAGGAGCCCGGCTTCCACCTCCAGGCCGAGGACCCCCACGGGCAGCCGGGGCACGGCGGAGATGGGGAGGGGGCCACGGGGGTGCCAGAGCCCCCGGGCGCCCCGTGGAGGGATGGCAGAGCGGGGGCCCCCCCTCCTCATCCTCACACCCCCCCGCTCAGCACCGCAGCCCCCCTGCTCCTCCCGCAGCCCAGCATGGCCCCGGGGGGGGCCTGGGTGGGCGCAGGGCCCCACGCCCCCCCGTGCAAACCCAAAGACGAGCGCCCGGCGTACCAAAGCCTCAACCCCGGCTCACCGCCGGCACCGGTGGGCGCAGACCCCAGGGTGGACAGGCACTACCCTACAGGCCCCCCCTGCCCTCTGGGGGGGGTCTGCGGGGGGCTGAGACCCTTTGATGCGCCGGGGTTGGAGGGGGAGAGCACCCCGGGGGGCAGCGGGGGCCGTTTTCCCGTGCCGCGCCCAGCATCCACACCAAGCTGAAGAAGACGTGGCTGACGCGGCACTCGGAAGCAGACGGTGCCAAGGTGCAAAGGGGGCCGGGGGGGACGGTCCCGGGGGGCTGCAGAGCCCAAACGCTTCAGCCAAACGCCCCCACGGCACCGAAAACGGGCACCGCGGCGGTGCCGATGGGGCCGGAGCGGCCAAACGGGGAGCCAAAACCACCGAGAGCCCGGCTGGCACCGAGCACCGGGGTGGCACCGGGAGCCGAGGGGGCCCAGCGGAGAGGATGGAGCTGGGAGAGGGAGGGTAAGGGGGCTGCGGGGGGGGGCTGTCCCCCATCCGTGGTGTCCCCAAAGGGCTATGGGGGGGCTCCCCAACCATGCTGGCTCTGCTCCCAGCCCAAATTTCCAGCCCTACTTTTAGCACGGAGCCCCCCAGGCCAATGGATCGCAAAATCCAGCTCCAGCCTTCGGAGAAGAACGTCCCCAGGGCAGCCCAGGCGGTTTTCTGCCTCCTTCAGATCCCGGAGCCAGACCCCTTCAGTCTGTGGGTTTAGGCGCGACGCCTCGCCGCCACCCGCTGCCGGTGCCGTGCCGCTCGCCTGCGTGTGTCCCCCCCACCTCCCCGGTGCCTGGGGGGGGGGTGGCGTGTCCCCCCCCAAATGGACCGAGCCTGTGCTGTGCCAGGTAGCTCGCCGGGTGCCTCGGGGATGCTCCCCTGGGGACAAAAAGGGGGAGCCCCGAGGAGCTTGGGGACGCCGTGCGGTGGTTTTGGGGTGCTGGGAGGGAGCGGTGCTGGGGTCGCGGTGTGGGGTTGGGGAAGGGGAGGGGAAGTGGCTCCGGGTTCCCCATGCCCCGTTCCGGTTCCGTGCCCCCAGCGGGGGCTTGGGCAGCAGCAGGGGACGGGGACTTTGCTCCGCTCTGTGCACGGGACGTGACGGGAACGCTGGGGGCCGCGCGGCGCTCACGTCCTGCCCCCGGCACGGCCCCGGGGTGCCCGTTGGGGTGGCTCCGTCCCACCCCGGAGCCGGCTGAGCTTTTTGGAGAGCCGGCTGAGACCCAAAGTGCCCCGGAGCCGGGTTGTGGAGGGCAGGGGATGGCTTTGAGCCCCTCGGGAAGGGCTGGCACCGCAACGAGGGACGGCTCCGGCTCCGAAGCGTGCGTGTGTGGCCCGGCTCCCAGGGAAGTGTTAATCCAGCAAATCCCCCCCGGCATTTCTCCCAGGAGGGGCCTCTGGGAGCCGGGAGCTCCCCGGGCTGGCTGCAAACCCTCCTGGGAAGCTGTGCCCGGCCCTGGCTCCAGGCGAATACCTGCGCGGGGCAAGGCCTCCCCACGCCGGGTGCCAGCGGGCGGGCGCGCGGCCAGGCTGGGGGGGGCGCAGGGTGCGTCCCGGAGGGGTGCAGGGCAAGGGGGAGGGGGGGGGGACGCCCCCTCTCCAGCTGCGTGCCCCCACTTGGGTTGCTCGACACCCTTGGGACCCCCCAGGGTGTGAGGATGGAGCTGGGGGGGGCACGGAAACCGTGCCTCAGTTTCCCCCACTGCGTGCGCCCGGCAGCTCATAAGGGTTGGGGGTGCCCTCAATGCCACCCCCCCACCCTGAGGTCCCTTTTTCTCCCCCCCCCCTGCAGGATTTGGCCGGCCGGGCACGGCGCTGAGCACCACATGAGCCCATGGCCAGCGAGGCGAGGATGGGGGAGGCCGTGCCACGCTGGAGGAGAGCCCCCGAAACAGCGCAGGACCCCCGGGGGCTGGAGAGCAGCGGGGTGCCGGGGGTCCTGCCCCAAAACACGGCCACCAACACGGCCCTGGGGGGCTACCAGGAGCCCCCCAAGCTGAGCTACAGCCCCGGGCTGCCCACGGACAAGGGGTGCCCCTGGAGGGGCTCCGAGGGCTGCGCGGAGCCGGCCAGCTTCCCGCTGGGCTGCCCCTACCCCCCGGCCCCGCAGCGCCAACGGGACGCCCTGTGCCACCCCAAAGACTCCTCCGAGCTGCCTCTGCTGCTGGCGCCCAGGAACGGGCAGCCCAAGGAGCCCCCCCCCGGGTGGGCTGAAGCCGTGCTGGCCCCCCTGGCTCTCTACAGCCACGCGTACCACCGCTACCCCCTGCCCTTCCCCGCCGCGGACACCCAGCGCCCCGGCAAGCCCCGCGGGGACGGGGACCCCCCGGCTTTCCGCAGCTGCCCCTTCCTCCTCTCCTCGCTGTTCCCCCCCCCTGGCCCCCAAACAGAGCCCGGATTTGGTGGCGGGGGGCCGGAGGGGCCCGTGGGTGACGGGCGCTTCGCCGGCACCGAGTGGCGCCTGGGTCCCTACGTGCCGGCTTGGGGGGCGCAGCCCCTCTATTTGGGGGTCCCGCCGAGGTGCAAGGCGGCTCCGGGAGCCTTCGAGGGGAGCTGCGGCTTGGGGAGCAAGGTAAGGGGGCGTCCTCGTGGCTCTGGGCCCTGCTCCCCCCCCCCCGGCTTCGGGGGTCCCTTGGGTGAACCCAGCCGGGAGCAGGCTTCGGCATCGGGGTGGGGGTACCCAGCACACGCAGCCCCCAGTGGGGTGTGCCCCCGTGCTCGCTCCTATAACTCGCCCAAAGGGCAGGGAGGAGCCCCAGGGACCCCAAAATCCCCAAAATGTGGTGATGCCCCCTCTGAGGGGGGTAAGGGGGGGGCTGCTCTCCTCGCCCGGGTGGCCCGTGGCGGTGCCGGGGCTGAGTCACGGCAGCACGGAGGCGGCGGGAGGCAGAGCGGCCCCTGGGTGCGCCCCATTCCTTTCCCACGCGGATATGGGGCGGGGGGGGGGGGGGGGCACACGGGGACACCCCAGGGATGGGATCAGCTGGGAAAAGCACCGGGGGGCTGCCTGGCTCGGTGGGGAAACTGAGGCAGGGCCGTGGGGCGCCCCCCAGCTCCATGCGATGGGGGTCAGGACGCAGGGGCAGGGATGGGGACCCCCCCCCCAGGTGGATTCCAGCTTTAAGAGCCCCCCCTTTGCTCCCCCCCCCAGGATATTTACCCGAAGAAGGAGCCCGGCTTCCACCTCCAGGCCGAGGACCCCCACGGGCAGCCGGGGCACGGCGGAGATGGGGAGGGGGCCACGGGGGTGCCAGAGCCCCCGGGCGCCCCAGTGGAGGGATGGCAGAGCGGGGGCCCCCCCTCCTCATCCTCACACCCCCCCGCTCAGCACCGCAGCCCCCCTGCTCCTCCCGCAGCCCAGCATGGCCCCGGGGGGGGCCTGGGTGGGCGCAGGGCCCCACGCCCCCCCGTGCAAACCCAAAGACGAGCGCCCGGCGTACCAAAGCCTCAACCCCGGCTCACCGCCGGCACCGGTGGGCGCAGACCCCAGGGTGGACAGGCACTACCCTACAGGCCCCCCCTGCCCTCTGGGGGGGGTCTGTGGGGGGCTGAGACCCTTTGATGCGCCGGGGTTGGAGGGGGAGAGCACCCCGGGGGGCAGTGGGGGCCGTTTTCCCTGCCCGCCCAGCATCCACACCAAGCTGAAGAAGACGTGGCTGACGCGGCACTCGGAGCAGACGGTGCCAAGGTGCAAAGGGGGCCGGGGGGACGGCCCCGGGGGGGCTGCAGAGCCCAAACGCTCGGCCAAACGCCCCCACGGCACCGAAAACGGGCACCGCGGCGGTGCCGATGGGGCTGGAGCGGCCAAACGGGGAGCCAAAACCACCGAGAGCCCGGCTGGCACCGAGCACCGGGGTGGCACCGGGAGCCGAGGGGGCCCAGCGGAGAGGATGGAGCTGGGAGAGGGAGGTAAGGGGGCTGCGGGGGGGGGCTGTCCCCATCCCTGGTGTCCCCAAAGGGCTATGGGGGGGCTCCCCAACCATGCTGGCTCTGCTCCCAGCCCAAATTTCCAGCCCTACTTTTTGGCCCAGTTTCCATCCCCTCCATGTGCGCAGTGCCGTGGCCGTTCCAGCCCCAAATTTCCCCCCTATTTCCCCCCCCCCCCCCAGGACCCCCGGTGTGTGCCGGCCCCGAGCCGTGGTGCCTGCAGAGCGTGCCCTGCACCGCCCTACCCAAAAGCATCCCCCGCTGCTGCGCCTGCGCTGCCCGGCTGCGGGGAGCCCTGGGGATGAAGATGAGGATGAGGAGCTCCCGGAGAGCACCTGCAGGCTGCTGCATTTCCGCAGGTGAGATGGGGAGGGCTCCGGGGGCCTTTTTTTTAGGGTCCCCATGGAGCATCCTCCCCGATAATCCTACTTTGGCCCCCTCAGGCTCGCCTTCGGGGACGGCGGGGAGCTGAGCGTCGACGGCTTCTGCACCGTGGACGAGGCAGAGGGGGAAATTTGGGGCTGGGGGCGGCCGGGGGCTGGGGCAGGAGCAGCAGCAGCAGCCTGTGCCTGGCCAAGTACCTGCTCTCCGTGCTGGGGGGGCCCTTCTGCGCCGCCGTCCGCAGGGACAGGGACGCCTGGATGGGGGCTCAGCGGCCAGCCCTGGGGGTAAGCGGGCACCCATGGGGGGGTCCCCAAAAGCTCGGGGGGGTGGGTGGCTGAGGGTGGTGCGTTGTTGCAGGGCTGACGGCTTGGAGGCGCGGGGAGGGAGCCCCCCAGCTCTGTGACGTTTGCCAGCGCCGCTTCTTCAATTCCCACTGGAGCTGCGCCGCCTGCGGCTTCCAGCAGTGCCCCCAGTGCCACCAAGGCCAGCAGGAGGAGGACGGGCACGGTACGGGACCAGATCCAGGCGGTGACCCCCCCCCGCAGACCCCGCAGGGTGTCTGGGGGTGTCACTTTGGGGGTGTCCCCTCTCTCGCAGGGCACCCGGCACGGCCGCGGCACTGCGCCCCGGGGCAGGAGCACGCCCCAGCAGCCCTCATCCCCACGCAGTTCGTCCCCACTCACGGTGAGCAACCTTAGGACCCCCCCCAGGACCCCAAAAACCCTTCCCCTGGGTGCTGACCCCCCTCGTTTCCCCCCCCCTCCAAGTCCTGGCCCGGCTCTGGCAGCAGCTGCACGAGGTGTGCGCCAAATTCGACGTCAAGTGGCACTGCCCCTGCGGGGACGGGGACACCGAGCAGGGGGCTGCGGAGCCCCCCGGGGGCAGGCAGGTAGGGGGGGACACAGGGGACATGGAAATCTCCGAGGGGGGAGCACCCCGACCCCCTGGCACCCACTGCAGGAGGGCGGGGGGGGGATGGTGCACGGTCCCAGCCCCCAGGAGCAGCGGGGGCGCTGGGGATGTGCCCCCCTCCCCGCATGGTTTGGTGGCACGGGGGTGTTTTAGGAGAAGCTGGGGAGCGTGGCCCCCCCCCTCGTGCCCAGCACCAACGGCGAAACCACGGCCAGAGCTATCAAGGAAGGTACGGGCGGCACCAGGGGGGGGGGGGGGGCTGCACTTTTGGGGGTCGGAGAGGGGGGTGTGAGGAAGAGGAGGCAGCCTCATCCCTCAGCCCCCCGTTTCTTGGAGCAGAGAGCCCCGAGGGGGGGTCACCATCACCGCCGGGGCCACCGCCGCCCCCCCGGGGGGCCGTGCAGACCGCCACCCTCTGCGACCTCCTCGCCTCCACCGCCGTCAAGCTGTGCCTGGGGCGCAACGGGGTGCGCATGGCCTTCGCCCCCGTCGCGCCCCCGTTGCCCAGCGTGAGTACCAGCACGGGGAGGACTGGGGGGGGGGGCTAAAAAGGGAGGTGGGCAAGGCGGGGTGATGCCCTGTGCCCCCCCCACGCCGCCCCAAATCCCCCAGGACAATCGGCTGACCAGCATCCTGGACAGCATCATTGCCCGCGTGGTGGAGAGGAAGATTCAGGAGAGGCACGCGGGCTGCGAGCTCAGCTGCCCCGGCCCCCCCAACCCCCCCGGGACCCCCGGGACCCCCTCTTCCCACTGCATCCTGGCCCTGGGGGGGCTGCTGTGGCTGCAGGACCCCGGCCACGCCACCAATTACCGCCTCTTCCAGGAGCACTGGCGGCAGGGCCAGGTGAGCCCCTTTGGGGATGGGGACGCACGGACACCCCCTCCCCGGCTTCTCCCCCCTATACTGACCCCCGAATCCCCCCCCCCGCAGCCCGTCCTGGTTTCAGGGCTGGAGAAGAGGCTGGACGGGAGGCTGTGGGGGCCCGAATCCTTCCGCCCCCCCGGAGGGGAGCAGGAGGTGGAGGCGGTGAACCTGCGGGCGCAGCCGCGGCGCGTCAGGATGGGCAGCGGGCGTTTTTGGGACGGCTTCGCCGCCAGCCCGAGTAAGCAGCCGGGAGCCACCGGAGGGTTAGCATCGAGGGGACGGGGACAGAGGGGACAAAAGGGGAACCCGGACCCCCCCGTGGGATGATCCGAGCCCCCCTCGGTGTAAACTGAGGGGCAGCAAACCGCCCCCGCGCATCGATGGCCGGGGACGCGCCGCGCGTTGGCACCGCGGGGGGGTCCCGGTGCGTGACGCCGTGCCCCCATCCCACAGCCTGCCCGGTGCTGGAGCAGGGCACCGGGGACATGTTGAAGCTGGAAAGTGGCTTTGGGGACATGCAGCTGTGCCGGTAAGTTGGTGGCAGTGCCCTCCCCACGGGGGCTGCACCCGTGCGTCCTTGGCACCATCGATGCGCCCTCGCCAACCCCACCGGGGCGCCCTCGCCAACCCCCCCGGTGCAGGGTGCAGGGGTTTGGGGACACGGTGCCGGCCCCACACGAGGTCCCCAAGCTCGGAGCGTCCCCTCTGTGCCGCAGGGCCACCAACCTGAGCTCCAGCTTGCCTCTGCCTGAGTACTGCGGCCCCCACGGCCGCCTCAACCTGGCCTCCTACCTGCGGGGTGAGCGGGGCCGCCGCTGGCTGCGCCCCCGCGTGTGCGCGGCGTACGGTGAGCGGGGGAGCTGAGGGGTTTGGGGGGGGACACCGAGCCCCTCCCTGGCCACGCCGTGCCACCCCCCTGCTCCCCAAATCGCAGGCGTGAGGCCCCGGGGTGGCAGCATCGGCACCAAGAACCTGACGGTGGAGGCAGCCGACACCATCAGCGTCCTGGTGCACGCCGCGGCGCGGCACGGTAGGGCTGGGGTGTGTGTGGGGGTCCCGTTGCACCCCCCCTTGGACCCCCCCTGATCTTCCCCTGCACCTGCAGAGCTGGAAGCCGAGGAGGATGGCATGGACGAGCTGCTGCAGGAGAGGCTGCGGGGTGCCGGCAGCCGCCCCGGCGCCCTGTGGCACATCTTCCGCGCCGAGGACGCCGGCCGCATCCAGGATTTCCTGCACAAGGTGGACCAAGAGCAGGGGGGGCCCGCAGAGGACCCCCCCGGGGGGCTCTACCTGGACTCGGAGCTGCGGCGGCGGCTGCGGGAGGAGTGCGGGGTGAGCGCCTGGACCCTGCTGCAGTGCCTGGGGGACGCGGTGCTGGTCCCCGCCGGGGCTCCGCACCAGGTAAGGCGCAGCCCCGGCTCCTCCTGGGGAAACTGAGGCAGGGGGCACGTCCCCAACGCCACCACCGCCACCACGGCGTGCCCGCAGGTGCAGAACCTCAGCAGCACCATCAGCGTGGAGCAGCGGTTCCTGTCCCCGGAGAGCGCTGCCCGCCTCGGGGACATCAGGCACCGGTCCCCCGGAGGGTGGCACGCTGGCTCCAAGGCTCAGGTGGGTGACATTTGGGGACCCGGGACGGGGGTCCCCGGGGTGGCTGCGTGGTGCTGAGCCCCCCATGCGTCCTTGCAGCTGGATGGCATGATCCTGGCCGCCGTGAGGGAGGCCGTGGGCGTCCTGCAGGGCTGCAAGTGAGGCGGTGGCACGGCACCGGGATGCCCAAGGCAGCGCCGTGCCCGTCCCCTGCTGCGCCGCCCGGTGCTGCTTGCTTGGTGCTGCTTTGCTCTGCCAGGAATAAAGAAAAAGGGTCGGCTGCGCCGCCAGCTCCTGCCTCCGCGTCTCCCTGGGGTCTTCGGGGCAAAGGGGGGGCCCTGGGGTGCGTGGTGGGACCCAAAAAACAGAGCTGAGCACCCACCAGGGAGAAAAGCCAGCCCAGAGGGCAGAGAGCAGCCCTGTCCCTGCCCGCAGCGGTGTGCACCAGGATGCCCAGGAGCATGGCCTGGGCGTTAATGGGGGAAAAAAAAGGGGGCTGGAACATGTGCAGCAAGCACCGAGCAGTGTACGCAGCCATGCACCATGCACCGTGCACCATGCACCGTGCAGTGTAGGCCACCATGCACTGCATCAGAGCGAGCAGGGCCGTGCAGTGCACGCAATGCAGCGTGCAATTAGAAGCGTGCAGCAAGCACCGTGCAATGGGCACCCTGCATTTACAGCCCTGCAACGGGCACCGTGCAAGGGGCAGCATGCAAGGGGCACCAGGTGATTGAAAGCGTGCAGTGGGCACCGTGCAGTTAGCGCCATGCAATTAGCACGGTGCAATGGGCACCATGCAATGGGCACCGTGCAATTAGCACTATGTGATTAGCAACATGCAATGGGCACCGTGCAATGGTCATCATGCCATTAGCACCGTGCAATGAGCACGGTGCAACAAACACCATGCAACAAGCACCGTGCAATGGTCATTGTGCCATTAGCACCGTGCAATGAGCAGTGCAATGGTCAGTGTGCAATTAGCACCGTGCAATTAGCACCACCTGGTTAGCACCCTGCAATGAGCACCATGCAATGGTCACCCCCAATGGCCACCATGTAATTAGCACCGTGCAACGGTCATGGTGCAATTAGCACCGTGCAATGGCCACTGTGCAATGAGCACCATGCAATGAGCAGTGCAATGGTCAGCGTGCAATTAGCACCATGCAATTAGCACAGTGCAATGGACACCATGCAACGGTCACTGTGCAATTAGCACTACGCGATTAGCAACATGCAATGGGCACCGTGCAATGGGCACCCCCAATGGCCACCATGCAATTAGCACCGTGCAACGGTCACTGTGCAATTAACACCGTGCAATTAGCACCGTGCAAATGAGCACTGCAATGGTCAGCGTGCAAGGGTCAGCGTGCAATTAGCACCGTGCAATTAGCACTATGCGATTAGCAACATGCAATGGTCACCCCCAATGGTCACCATGCAATTAGCACCGTGCAAGGGTCACCGTGCAATTAACACCATGCAATTAGCACCGTGCAAATGAGCACTGCAATGGTCAGCGTGCAATTAGCACCGTGCAATTAGCACCATGCACCGGTCACCGTGCAATTAGCACCACCTGGCCAGCACCATGCAATTACCACCATGCAATGGTCACCGCGCAATTAGCACCGTGCAATTAGCACCGCGCACCCCCTGCCCCCCCTCTCCCCTCTCCCTTTAAGGCCAAGCCCCGCCCCCATACCTTTCTCAGAGTGACAAGGGGCTCAGCCAATCCGAGCCGGCCCTGCGGGGCACCCCAACCAATCGGCGGCGAGCGGAGGGGGGCGGGGGGGCCGCGGCGGAGCGGCGGGGACGCGGTGAGTCGGGAGCATGCGCGGGGGGGGGGTCCGGGGGGGCTGCACCCAGCACCCAGCACCCCGCACCCCGCACCCCGCCCCCGCTGCACCCCCGCCGTGCCCCGGCCCCTCCCGTGCTGCCCCCTGCAAAAACCCGGCTGCTGCCCCCCCCCTGCACCCCCCGTACCCTGCAAACCCCATAACCAACCCTAATTGCACCCTGCAGACCCCATAACCCAGCCCTAATTGCACCCTGTAATCCCCATAACCCCTCCCCATTGCACCCTGCAATCCCCCGGACCCCTCCCCATTGCACCTTGGGGTCCCCCCAAACCACCCCTAATTGCACCCTGCAATTCCCCTGGCGCTTTCCTATTGCACCCTGCAAACCCCATAACCCGTCCCCATTGCACCCTGCCGACCCCATAGCCCACCCCTAATTGCACCCTGCAATCCCCTGGACTGCACCCTATTGCACCTTGGGGTCCCCATAACCCACCCCTAATTGCACCCCCCAATCCCTTGATCCTTCCCCATTGCACCCTGCAAACACCCCTAATTGCACCCTGCCGACCCCATAGCCCGCCCCTAATTGCACCCTGCAGACCCCATAGCCCAGCCCTAATTGCACCCTGTAATCCCCTGGACCCCTCCCCATTGCACCTTGGGGTCCCCCCAAACCACCCCTCATTGCACCCTGCAGACCCCATAACCCCTCCCCATTGCACCCTGCCGACCCCATAACTCACCCCTAATTGCACCCTGCAATCCCCTGGACTGCACCCTATTGCACCCTGGGGTCCCCATAACCCACCCCTAATTGCACCCTGCAATCCCCCGGACCCCTCCCCATTGCACCCTGGGGTCCCCTCAAACCACCCCTAATTGCACCCTCCAATCCCTTGATCCTTCCCCATTGCACCCTGCAAACCCCATAGCCCGGCCCTAATTGCACCCTGCAATCCCCCTGACCCTTTCCTATTGCACCCCAAAACCCCCTCAGACCACCCCTAATTGCACCCTGGGGTCCCCATAACCCACCCCTCATTGCACCCTGCAATCCCTCTCCCCTTCCCCATTGCACCCTGCCGACCCCATAACCCCCCCCAGCCCCCCACCCCCCTGCACCCTGCAGCCCAGCAGCCCCCCGTGCGCCCTGCACCCCACCTCGCCCCCCTACAGCCCCCCACCGTCCCCGGACCCCTTTCCCCTATGCTCCCCGCCCCCCCTGCACCCCTTCCCCTATAGCCCCCTGCAGTCCAGCACCCCCTGGCCCCCTCCTCCCGCCGACCTCCCCCCACCCTACAGCCCCCCCGGCTCCCCCCTTTTCAGCCTCCCCCAGTCCAGCAGACCCCTTTCCCCCAGTAGCTCCCAGTTTGGTGCCCCCCTTCCCCCCAGCGTCCCCCAGTCCAGCAGCCCCTTTGCCCCCTACCCCCTACAATCCAGCAAGCCCCTCGCCCTCCTCCGCCTCCCCCGCGTCCCCCAATCCAGCACCCCCTTCCCCTACAGGCCCCCCCCCCGCATCCCCAAATCCAGCCAGCTCTTCCCCTGCAGCCCCCCCTCCTGCGCCCCGCAATCCGGACGCCCCTTCCCCTCCTGCGCCCCCCCCTGCCTCCCCCAATCCAGCCAGCCTTACCCCTACCGCCCCTCCCCGGCCCCCCCCAAGCCCCCCGACCCCTTCCCTTTTTATTTCCCCCCCCCTCCGACCCTACAATCCAGCCAGCCCTTCCCCTACAGCACCCCGCTGGGCGTCCCGCAATCCAGCAGCCCCTTCCCTTACCGCACCCCGCCGGGACCCCCTAAGACCCCCGAACCCTTCCCCTATTACGCCCCCCCGCCCCCCCTGCAGCCCGGCAAGCCCTTCCCCTATTACACCCCGCTGCACGCCCCCCAATCCAGCAAACCCTTCCCCTACAGCCCCCCTTTCTCCCCGTGCGCCCCGCAACCCGCCGAGACGCGGCACCGGGGGTGCCCGTCCCCATCGGGGGCTCGGCTGCACGCCCGCCGGGTGCCCCCGCCACCCCAAAACCCCGCAGCCCCTTGAGCAGCAGGGGACACCATGGGGGACGCTGCAGGAGGAGCTGGACGCGGTGCTCAGCGGTCGGGGTTGGGATTTGGGGGGCACCTACGACGGCACCCCACAACCCGGAGACGCCGTGCGCTTGGGGAGCAGCGCCTGCTACGTGGTCCTGGCCGTGCTGTTCAACGACGAGGTGAGGCAGCGCCCTAAAAACAAATGTCCCCAATCCTATACATCCCCAGGGAGTCCCCAAAAACCCTATTTTTTGTCCCAAAAAGGATGGGGTGCTGCTGGTGCAGGAGGCCAAGGCGGAGTGCCGCGGGACGTGGTACCTGCCCGCGGGGCGCATGGAGCCCGGCGAGAGTGTGGTGGCCGCGCTGCGCCGCGAGGTGAAGGAGGAAACGGGGTTGGAGTGCGAGCCCCTCACCCTACTGGCCCTAGAAGAGAGGGGGCCCGCCTGGCTGCGCTTCGTCTTCCTCGCCCGCCCCACCGGTGGGTGATTTGGGGGAAAAAAATTAAGGGGGTGTGGGGTGGGGGTGGCACATGGGGTGCAGCCCCTGCTGGATCCGTGGGTGGTGGCCGGGTGTTGGGGTCCCTGTTGTTAAGGTCTTGGGATTCTGGGAGCCACAAGAAGGTTTGGGATGGGGGATTGGGGTCCCAAGATGTCCCATGATGGGGTATTGGGGTCCCAAAGAAGCCTCATGATGGGGTATTGGGGTCCCCAAGAAGTCCCAGGATGGGGTATTGGGGTCCCCAAGAAACCCTGTTGTAGGGTATCAGGGTCCCCAAGAAGCCCCGTGATGGGGTATTAGGATCCTCTGTCAGCCCCGGGATGGGTTACTGGGGTCGCCAAGAAGCACTGGGATGGGATTTGGGGTCCCCAAGAAGCCCTGGGATGGGATTTGGGGTCCCCAAGAAGCCCCAGGAGGATGTATTAGGATCCTCTGTCAGCCCCAGGATGGGTTATTGGGGTCCCCAAGAAGCCCTGGGATGGGGTATCAGGGTCCCCAATAAATCCTACGATGGGGTATTAGGGTCCCCTACCAGCCCTGTTATGGGGTATTAGGGTCCCCAAGGATCCCCATGATGGGGTATTAGGGTCCCCAAGGAGCCCCATGATGGGGTATTGGGGTCCCCAGCCAGTCCTGTGCCAGCAGCACCACCACCAGCTCCTGGCACCCCCTAAAAACCCCATAACGGTGCATCATCCCCGTGGCTCGGTGTTGGTGCCCCCATGCACCCCAAAAAAGCAGGGACTGGCACCCCGTGCTGGGACCCCAGTGCCCCTGGGGGGCTTCACAGCACAGGGGGGGCCCCCAACCATCTCCATACGGGTCACCGGGGCCCCCCACCTGTCCCCATACCGGGGTCACCTCTGTCTCCCCCCCCACAGGAGGAACCCTGAAGACCCTGGAGGACGCAGACGCCGAGTCCCTACAGGCCAAGTGGTGGGGGGGGCCCCTGGACCCCCTCCCCCTGCGCGCCCCCGATATCCTCCCCCTCCTCGAGCTGGCCGCCCGCTACCGCCGCAGCCCCCCGCACCCCCCCACGCTGCCCCAGGAGCTGCCCTGCGCCCACCTCTGCTTGAGGCTCTTGGTGGCCTTCACCCCCTGCCCCCCCGGGCACCTTTGGGTGCTGCTTGAATATCTCCGGCCCCCCCCGGCTGCCCGTGGTGGCGTGCGGCACCCACCCTACCCAAATCCGCCGGGGGCTGCGCCTGCCCGTGCTGGGGTTCCTGGGGGGCTGCCTGCCCCCCGACCCCCAAATCGGGCCCATGGGGTTGTTGGGGTTGCAGCACCGAGCCGGGGGGCCCGGGGGGGCTGACGGCGTTTGCTTGAATGTTTTGGTGAGCCTCCAACCCCGTGGCGCTGGGGAGGGCCCCCCCCCGAATTGTGCCACCCCGCTTTCCGCTGGTGGCGCGTGGAGGAGGAGGGTTTGAGGGGGCGCATCCTGCAACGGCTGCGGGAGGGGGGCACGGTGCCCATCCGCAGCTAGCAGCCCCCCCACCCAGCACCCTAGCACCCAAGGGTGCTGTTTGGAGCGATTATTTTTTTTTTGGGGGGGGGGCGCAGGAGCTGCTCCCACAGATTCGCTTTCCGCGGTGGTGGAGACGGGCTGGGGGTGGAGCGCGTTTTGCCCCCCAGATGCCAGCCCCAAAATGAGGACGGGGCTTGGGGAGGGGGGAGCAGAGCTGGAGGTGCAGGGGGGTGAAAGTGAGAGCCCCCCCCGCGATGTATGGGGCCTGGGGGGGGTGCTTTGGGGCAGGATCCGACCCCGTGTCCCCCCCTTTTTGTGGGGCGGAGAGCCAGCCCTGGTGGAAATAAATCAGCTGCTGCTTCCTCGCACCCACCTGGCTCCTTGCTGGGATGGGGGGGTCCTGGGGGGGTTTGGGGTGCCCCCCCAGGGGGGGGTAGAGACAGAACCAGAGCTCCCAGCTCAGGGCTTTATTGCGTCCCGTCGTGCCAGCTTGGTGCGCACCTGACCCGGCGCCCCCACGCGCCCCCTGCCCCATACAAACGAGGGGCTGTAATTAGCCCTGGGGCCAGCACCTGCCTCGTTAGCCGGCCCCACCTCGGGGTCCCGTGCTGGCGCATCCAATTCTTGCCAAAAATCCCCCCCCTCGAGGACTGGGGGGGCTCTGGGACAGCTCCTGCCACGGGGAGCAGGAACCCGATGAGGATGAGGACGAGCAGCGGGGTGCATGCCTGTGCCCTGAGGGGCCGCATCCTGCCCGGGGCTCAGCACCCCACACTTCCACGGGCCCCCCCAAATCCTCTCCCCACCCCATAGGGCCGGGGGCCGGGGTGCTGTCCCTGTGCCCGTTTTGGGGTCGTGCCACTCGGAGCGGGGTCGGGGAGCGCTCTCCATCTGCCCCCAGCAGCTCCCCTCGCAGCCCGGCCGAGGGAAGGGGGCTCCCGGTGGGGTTTTGGGGTGCAGCAGGCTCAGGGGGGGCCCTCGGGGGGGCCCTTGACCAAGGCGATGGCAGCCAGCTCCTTGCAGAACTCCTCCAGCACCACCACCCCCTTGAAGAGCGTCGCGTGCTCCATCCTGCGGGGAGCACCAGGGAGCCCCGTGGGGTGCGCGCACCCCCCCGGGGTCCATTTCTTTGTGCCCCCACCCCAAAAAAATATTAAAATCCCGACCCCCCCCAGCACTTACTGCTCGCCGGGGACCAGCCCCAGCAGCTGCTGGCGCACCAGGAGCAGCTTGGCCCTGAAGTGGGGCACGCGTTGGATCCTCTGCATCAGCTCCCCGATCACCTGGGCGCAGGGATGGAGAGGGTCAGGCCCCCGTTTCCTCGGTGTTCCCCCCCCAAAAAAATAATTAAAATTAAAAAAAAAACCACCCAGGGGGTGGCTTTACCCTGACGAGGACGGAGAAGAGCGAGCGGCAGCCGGGCGCCAGGCTGAGGTAGGGGTCCAGGAGGTACTCGTGGAGGTGGGGATGGGGGAAAGCGGCCAGGAGGGACAGCACTGAGGTCACCTGCAGGTTCAGGCTGTAGGGCTGGGGTGCACAGGGGATGCTCAGGGGGGTGCCAGGAGGTGGCCGGGCTCCCCCCCCCAGCTTTGTAGCAAGCCCCCGGCCCTATAAACAGCTGTGAAGGGGGGAGATGCTCTCTGGATGTGGGGTTTTGGGGTGCAGGGCTGGCGCCGCGCTCCATTGTGGGGTGCGGAGAGCACGGAGAGGTCCCCTGGGGGGGGGGGTTTATGGGGTCGGGGGGGCTCAAAGGGATATTAATGGGGGAGCTGGTGTGGCACCAGGGGGGACAGCACCACGGGGTGATGCTGCCCCCCCCTGGGGAGCCCCCCAAAGATCCCCTACCTGGTCCAGGATCCGCGCCAGGCGGTCAAACAGCACCTTGAGGAAGCGCCCCTCGTAAAACTGCCCCTCGGGGGGGCAACCGTCGAGGGGCCGGGGGGCCGGGGGCCACCCCCACGAGGCCGCCCTGCTGCGGCTCGCCTGGACCTGGGGGGACGTGGAACAGAGCGGGGTGAGGGCAGGAAAGGGGGGCTGGAGCAGTGAGCACCCCTCCCCAAAAAAAAACCCACCCTCACCATGCCCAAAGCGTCGTGCACGTAGGTGTCGTAGCCGCCTTCCTCCAGGCACGAGGAGGTTTTGGCTTCCTCGGGGACCAGGCAGAGGAAGCTGGAAGAAAGGTGGAGAGGGCAAGGGGAGGAGGTGGGGGGCACGGGGACGCAGCCCCCCTCTTTTTGGGGAGCCCTACCTGCTGACCACCTCGCTCACATGCCCCTTCCCCAGCGGGGATGAGCCCCCTGGGGGCTTTTTTCCCATCCCGAAGCCGTTTTCGGGGAAGCCGTCGGTGAAGTAGGGATCTTCCTCCTCCTCCTCCTCCTCATCGGGGTCCGGCTCGGGGGCTCCGCGCTCGTCGGGCACGGGGGGGCCGCGCTGGAGGTAGCCCCTCGCCTGCAGGTTCCTCAGCACCAGGCTCAGCACCACCTCCTCGTGGGGCACCCGCAGGAGCTCCTCGAAGAGCCGCAGGCTGGCCAGGCTGATCTGCGGCACAGAATAGGGTGGGGGGGGTTAAGCAGCGTGCCCCCCACCCCTAAAAACCACCCCACGAACCTCCCCGGGACGGGGCTGACCTCGTCGGAGAGGTGGTCGCAGCGGTCGATGAGGTGTGCGCGCAGAGGATGGGGGGGGTCCCCTGGGGTTTCGGGGTGCCCCCCGGGTCCCAGCAGGAAGAAAACGAGGCGCTGCAGCAGGGGGGGGGCGCGGAGCTGCCGCACCGTGCCCGACAGCACGGCCGTGGCGCTGAGGATGGCGAGCTCTGACCTGGAGGGACGGCACGGAGAGCTGAGAGAGGGGCCCCAAAGGGTTTTTTTCCTTATAAACTGCCCCCCCCCGAAATTATTTTGCCCCTCGTTGCAGGTTTGGGTACTCACATCTGCAGCAGCTGCGGCTGCAGGACGCCTCGGAAAAACTTCTCCTCCACGGCCTCTCCGAGGGCACCCGCCACCAGCTGTGGAAAGGGCACACCCTGAGCCCCGGGGTGGGCACCCCATGCTTGGGGGGGGGTCCCTTGGGTGCTCCCTACCGGGTGGGCGCCCGCCACGAGCTCATCCAAAAAATCCAACCAGCAGAAAAAAGCCACCAGGCTCTCCTTCCCCGCGAAGTCCCCGGCGCCTCCGGCATCTCCCGGCGACCTGCGGGGCGCAGAGGCTGCAGAAACGGGGGCGAAACCCCCCCCCCCGGGTGGGCAACCGGTGGCCACTTTTACCTCCAGCTGGCCCTGCCCATGGCCAGGACGTCGTCGGGGTGGGCGCAGGGGGGCACGGCGCCGTGGAGGTGGCAGAGGTGCTCGCTCAGCAGCTGGCACAGGGCGCCGCTGCGCACCAGGCAGGCTGCGGCCGCCTCCTGGGGCAGCTCCGTCAGCAGGAGCAAGTTTTCCCGAGCCTTCAGCGCCACCCTGCTCGCCTGCGAGGAAGAGGAGGAGGAAGAGGTGGTGGCAGGAGCCCTGCTGTGTTTATCAGCCCCACCCTTGCCTGCCTTCGCCCCCCCCTACCTGGCTTTTGCACAGCCCCACTAAGGAGGTGACGAGGTTGCCGTCCCTCCGTGCCGGGGGATGCTCCGCACCCTCTCCGGGGGGGGTGCCGGGCTGCTCTTGAGCCTTCCTCCCGTTCAGGATGCTCTTACCCTGGAGAGGAAGAGGATGGAGGCCAGGAGCTTCCTCCTAAAGCACCAAACCCCCCCGGGGAAGGAAGGGGGGGGGCTGCGCACCTCTAGGATGTAAGCCAGCAGGGTGGGATCCTGCTGGATCTTGGCACAGAGCACGGCGGTGAATTGCGCCTCCTCCTTCTCCGTGCCCGAGCCCAGGGGGTGCCCGCTGAGCTGCAGCAGCTTCTGAAATTATTTTTGGGGGGGGAGAAAAGAAGACAAGGAGCTGCTCGGCTGCCCTGCCCGGCACCATGCGCTGCCAGGGGTGGGGATCAGCATTTTGGGGTGACTCAGTGTCTGCGGCAGCACCAGGGCCAGTCCCGGCACGCAGCGGCACCGCCGAGCCCCTGCGCATGGTGGTTTTTTTTTTTTGGGGGGGGTAAACGCGGCGTTTCCCAGCCCCCTGGGGTTATTGTGGGGGGGCACGGAGCAGCCCCCTACCCACCCCACCACGCTCACCTGCACCGGCCTGTGCACGTTGAGGTAGTGCAGGAGGGGGTGCTGCACCTGGCCCAGCACCCGGCTGAAGAAGAGGAGGACCTGCTGCCTCATCCCGGGGGGGTACTGGAAAGGAAAGGAGGGGAGGGGGTCAGCCCCCTCATTTGGGTGCCCCCAAGCACCCACCGAGCTCCACAACCCCCCCTCGGTGCGGGTTTGCTGCTCCCCAAAGTGAGGCAACGCCCCCAGGACCCCCACCCGGGTTCCTTTCCCTTTGGAAATCACGGATTTTGGTTCCCTCATGCCAAAAAAAAAAAGAAAAAAAAAAAAGAGCCGCTCTATTTAGGCAACAATTACTTAAAGAGGCACCTCAAAAAAGCTCGTGGGAGCGCCGCGCCGTGCGCCCCCGCCTCGTGGCACCCATGGGTGCCCCCCCGGCCTCCTACCTCCGCCTTGCCCAGCGTGCTGAGGGTCTCCAGGACCTTGTGCTGCAGCAGGTACTCGAGGCACGGCCCGGCCTCCCCCGCCGGGTGCTGCTTCTCCTCGTACACCAGGATGTCCAGCATCTGCTTGAGGCGCCAGGGAATGTCGGTCTGCTTGGCGGGGGTGCTCTCGTCTGCGGGCACGGAGCGGGGTGAGAGGGGGGGATACGTTTTTTGGGGGTGCCCCCTCGCGCTCCCCAGGCTTTGAATTCTCTCCTCCAGAGCGGGAGCGACGCTAGATGGCAATGTGAGGAGGATGGAGACCCAGAAGCACCCGAGGTCGCTGCCTCCGCTCGGGGCCTAGCGAGTTGCCGCCGGCTTCCCGGTATCGGGGGCACAGTGCCGGTGGGGAAAAGGGAAGGCTGAAAAGCTCAAGGCTCTGTTTTGGTGCTCCGGGGGAATTAGGAGGATACGACCTCCAGTGGGATCCAGGAGAGGGTGCCCCAGCTGGAGCCCTGCCACCCAGGCCAGCCGCGGTGCAGCGGGGTCGGCACCGTGCCCCGTTACCGCACGGTGACCCCTTGCTGAGCACCAGGACCTCACTTCCAGGACTTCTGAGCCTGATTTGGGGTTTGGGGACCCCCTCCCTGGGCGTGGGAACCCAGCTCCCACACCACAGGACCCCACCTTGGGGCGTGGAGAACTCAGATTAAGGCACGGGGACCCCAGCTGAGGGCAGGGGGACCCCAATTTAGGGCGCGGAGACCCCAACTTTTGGCACAGGGACCCCAATTTAGGGCAGGGCGATCCCAGTTTAGGGCACGGCGACCCCCCCCCCGAAGCCCCCACTCACCCGTAGCCTCCAGGTAGTAGCCGGTGATGCCCTTCCAGTGCTCGGTGAACGCCTCCAGCAGGTCCACGCTGGGCTCCCGCTGCGCACACCGGGGCCGCGGTCAGGGGCGCACGGACCCCCCCCCCCCCCAATTCCCCGACCCCACTGCACCCCCCCGCTCACCGTTTCCACCGCCTGCTGCAGGAGAGCTCCCAAACGGCTCAGCATGGCTGTGCCCGGCCCTAAAACCGGCCCTATAAGCGGTCCAAGGCACCGGATCCGGTGCGCCCCCGGTGCGCCCCCGGTGCGCGCTGGCTCCGCCCGGCGCCGTGCGGGGAGGGCGGTGCGGGGACGGCGCCTCCCCCGGCTGGGATCTGGGGCGGGGAGAGGGGGGGGGGACTCGGGGAATGGGGCTGGGTTGGGGGCTGGAGGGGTCTTTGGGGTTAGGGGGGGGTGGGAAAGTGGCTGGCAGTAAAGCGGAGAAGGGTGGGGGTGGGGATGGAGTCATGGGGTGGCCCCCCCTGGGCACACAAGGATGGGGACAGCACCCCAAAACATCCGTATACACATGGGGACAGCCCCCCCGTGCACATCAGGATGGGGACAGCCCCCCCAAATGTCCATATACACATGGGAACAGCCCCCCCGTGCACATCAGGATGGGGACAGCCCCCCCAAATGTCCATATACACTTGGGGACAGCCCCCCCGTGCACACCAGGATGGAGAGATCCCCCCCCAAACACCCATATACATATGGGGACAGCCCCCCCGTGCACACCAGGATGGGGACAGCCCCCCCAAAACACCCCAAAGGGGACGCCCAGCCCCGCTGTGACCCGCTCCTCCTTGCAGGGAGAGCAGCAGCCGGCCAGCCCTTTGGCACAGCCCCGCTCACCTCCTCCCGTGACACTTTTTGGGAGAAGCCAAGTTTTATGATTATTTAATCCTTTTAAAAAAAAAACAAAAATAATAAAAATAATAAAAAAATACGTTTCCATGATTAAAAACAAGCCACGACAAACACAGCTGCCTCCAAGCAGCCTGGCGCAGCTGCAGCCACTGAGCGAAGCCCCGGCCCCACTGCGGGGTCAGGACCCCCGAGCAGCCCCCCCTGTGCTCCGTAGCCCCCCCGTTGCTCGGTCCTGGGGTCCACCCGTGCGAGAAGGGGTCCCTGGGGGGGGAACTGGGGGGGCCCAGTTTGGACCAGCCCCACAGGAGAGGCTGCAAACTGGGAAAAATCTGCGCCCCGGCCGCAGCGGAGAAATTGCAGCCCCATTTTTGGCGAGTTTGCGTGTGCGGATATATAAAATTGATATAAAATGGATCAAAAATGGATAGGCGGGTGTAGGCGCGGCGTCGATACTGGAGGCTGGTCCTGCACGATCCACGTGCAGCACGAGGTTGGGCTGCCAGGTGCCCGGCGTGGCGGGGGCTGCCCCGGTGCCGCTCACTTCGCAGCCTTCATCTCCCACTCCTGCGAGGTCCCGAAACACGAGGGGGTCACCCCAAGGGTGCTGGGCCCCCCAAAAAAAGGTCCCAGCGCTGTCGTTGTGCCCTCATCACCTGAACTCTGCCGTACCTTTCTCTGCTGGAGGACTTTTCCCTTCTCCACGACGCCCGCCGAGGGCGAGCACTTCAGGGCGCTGCGGGCGGACGCCGTGCGCCTCAGGAGCGGGGAGAGGAAGGAGCCCTGCTGGGAAAACCGAGCTGGGAGAGCCGAAAAAGGGCTATCCGCTCCCCAAAACCCCCCTCCGAGCAGTGCACGGAGCCCCTGCCCTCCCCACGAACCCCCGCCGTGGCTCGCCCGTGTCCCCCCTGCCCCAGGGACCCCCACCTCGGAGGCAGCCGAGCTGGCGGTGGCGGCGATGTGGCCCCTCAGGGACTTGCCGATGGCCAGCAGGTTCATCTCGGAGCCAGCCTTCATCCTGCTCTTCCCCCTGCGAGCCCTTTCCATCTGTCCCCACCTTCTCCTCCAGCTTGGGGAACGCTCTCCTCCTCCCTGCGGGGACAGCGGGGCGCTGCCGGGCACGGGCACGACCCTAATTTGGGGTTGGGTGCCCAAGCGGAGCCCCCGGGGGTCCTACCGATGAGGAAATCCAAACCATTCCCGAGCCCCTTTCCTCTCGGGCAGCGTCAGGGTGCGCTGGGCTGGGGAGAAATCCCTGCTGCGAGCCGGCGCTGGGGGAAGGAGGAAAGCTGGAGGGAGCACGGCGCGGCACCGAACCACCCAGCACCCCAAGGCGAGGGACCACGGAGGGTGTTTGAAGCCAGCCGGGGCCAAATCCCGCTGCTTCCCAAATCCTTCCCACCCCATCCAGCCCCTTCTCACCTCCCTGCGAGGGCACGGAGCTGCTGCAGGTGCTGGACGCGGGTCTCCGGCGCTGCCCGTGCACGGCTCCGTCCAAGCTCTGCTGCTGCTGAAGGAAAAACCAAGAAAAATTGGTGGCCGAGGAGCCAGTGGGGGGCTGGCCCCCTCGCCCCGACCCTATTTCGGGGGGCTGAGGGCTCTGGGCTGAGGTTACCAGCCGCTGCAGCCGCTCCGTGTTGGGGTGCCCGGAGGGGTCGTCCATGTAGGCGTTGGGGGTCGGGAAGCGGCGCAGCAGCAACCCGCTGCAAGCAGGAGAAAGTTGGGGAGGGGGCTTAATTAATTCCTTAATTAATATTCTTAATTAATTCCCCCGGGGCAGCAGCGGTCGTGCTCCATCCAAAATCTCCTCACCCTGCTCCGTCTCCCAGCCTGGGGGGCTCCTCCTGGGGGCTGGCAGCGGCCCCCCCCCGTCCTCCCCTGGCCCGCAGGGTTTTCAGCCAAGCCTCCCTCTCCTCCTCCGAGCGGGCCTGGGGTGGGGCAGAGGGGATGTGGGCAGGGGGTGCCCCCCCCCTCCCCAATTATTTTTTTTTTGGGGCACCCTAGGGTGCCAAAGGGGAGCCGCTCACCTGCAGCAGGGCGAGCTCCCGGCCCCGCTGAGCCACGCAGATTCGGAGGTGCCGGGGGGAGCCCCCGGGGGGAGCGGGGGTGACCTCGCAGCCGTCCAGCAGCAGGGCGCAGACGGGGCCCGGAGCCCCCCCCCCGTTTTCCTCGGGGAACCTGCGCAGGGCCCCCTGCACCGCGCACCACAGCCGCCGCCAGCGCCCGCGCAGCCGCAGCGCCAGGAACCCTGTGGGATCACCCCCCCAAACCCCACCCCATAACATCAGCAGCAGGGTCCTGGGGACGTGGCGCTGCTTGGGGACACCCCCGGGGGCACCTCACCTCCTTTAGGGTCCTCTCTGGGGTTTTGGGATGCTTCCTCCTGCTCCTCTTCCTCCTTCGAGCCCAGCCGGAGCGCCTGGGGATGGAGAGGGGGGGAGCCCCGTCCCCATGGGGTCTGGGCACCCCGTCCCCACCCTAAAACCCGCCCCAGTATGTCCCAATGGGGACAGCGGGGTGGGATTTTGGGGTGTCTGTGGTTTATTTGGGGGAAATGAGCGGCTCACCCTGCTGAGCCTGCTGGGGGGCGATGCTGGGGGGCTGTGGGGTGCCAGCCCGCTGGGGGAGTTGCTGCTGACCTCCTCGATCACCTGCAGAGGGGACAGGGAGGGGGCTGCAGCCCCTGCACGTGGGGGTGGGGATGGGATTGGGATTGGGATGGGAACTGGGAATGGGATGGGACAGGAACTGGGATGGGAGCTGGGAATGGGATTGGGATGGGAAATGGGGATGGGATTGGGATGAGATAGGGAGTTAGGGATGGGGATGGAATGGGAACTGGGAATGGGATGGGAAATGGGGATAGGACAGGAACTGGGATGGGAGCTGGGAATGGGATGGAAACTGGAGATGGGATGGGAGATGGGGATGAGACTGGAACTGGAATGGGATGGGGGCTGGGAATGGGATGGGAACTGGGAATGAGATGGGAACTGGGGATGGAATGGGAACTGGGGATAGAATGGGAGCTGGGGATGGGAACTGGGAATGGAATGGGAACTGGAAATGGGATGGGAACTGGGGATAGGACAGGAGCTGGGAATGGGACAGGAGCCAGAGACGATTTGGGATCTGGGAATGGCCCAGGAACCAGGGCCAGCCACGACACCCCCCAACCCATCACACACCCCCGCAGGGCTGCACCCCCATTCCCCCCCCATACCCCCTTTACCCCCCAGCCCCAAACCCTGCCCGCGCAGAGCCCTGCCAGGCTGCGACACCTCCAAACCTTCCTCCAGTCCTCCGCCTGCTGCCGGCTGGGGAAGCCGATGACCAGCGCCTCGCCCGCCGGCCCCGTCACCTTCAGCGCCCGCGGCAGCTTCTTGCTCCCCGTGCCCTTGGAGGCCACCCGGCACCCCCTCAGCTCCAGCTCCAGCACCGGCTGCGGGTCCGCGGCACGCCTGAAACCCTGGGGGGGGGTCGGATACACGGCGGGGGTCACCCTTGGCACGGGGAGCACGGGGACCCCCTCGCTCGCCCCGTGCGCCCCAAATTTCCTGCCTCGCACCAGCAGCGCGTGCTCGCGGACAATGAAAAGCTGCTTGGCCCAGCGCCCCAGCCAGCGTTTCCTCCAGAGGAAGCCGCAGAGCTGAGCCTCGGGGCGGCCGGGGGGCTCGTTTGGAAGGGGGGGGCCGCCGGCCGGTGGTCGCCGGAGGTAGTGGGCACGGTCCTGGGCACGGTCGGGCAGGGGCGCAGCGTCCTCGTCCTCCCCGTAGGACTCGTAGTGGCTGCTGTCGGTGTCGGCGCCGCCTGCGAGCCCAAGTGGGGGTCTCGGGAGGGTGCTGGGGGCACTTGGTGGGGTGGGGGGGGGCAAGGGAGGGGGTGTCGGGTGCTCACCGGAGCCGCCGCGCCCCCCGGGGCCGAAGGGTTCGGTGTCCTCGTAGGAGTCGTCGGGTGGTGGGGATGGAGAGGTGCTCGGTGAGGTGCTCTGTGGGGGGGGGAAACAGGGTGCTGGGGGGGTGCTGCTTGGCCCCGGGGGGGGCAAAAAATGGGTGGGTGCCCAAATGATGCGTGGGTGCCCAAATGATGCGTGGGTGCCCCAAAAAATGGATGGGTGCCCAAAAGATTGCCCAAAAAGTGGGTGGGGGGCTCATGCGCCACCCTCCCCAGAGCAGCCCCCCAGTCCCATATGAGCGAGGTTGCAGCGGCTCCTGGCACCCCCCTGTCCCCCCCCACGCCCCCCCTTTGCCCCCCCCCTCCGTACCCCACCGTGGGGGCTCTGGGTGCTGCCCGGGCGGTGCTCGCACGCTCTCCCTCCCCTTGCATCCTGCGTCCTGGTTCCTTGGAGGGGGGGGGGGGACACAGAAAAGGATTACACGGGGGGGGGCAGCGAGGATCTGGGACCCCCAAACGGGGTCGTGCATGACACGGGGAGGGGGGGGGCGCAGGGCTTGGGTCGGACTCACCCGAATTATCCCGGCCCTGGGGGGGTCCCGAGGAGGGCGAGAGGCAGCGCATGCTCATGTACTCTGCATCCTCTGCTGCGAGGGGGGGGGGAGAGCAGAGTCACGACCCCTGCCCCCCCTCCCCGGGGCCCTGGCACCCCCCCGGCCCCCAAAACCCTGCGCTCACACTGGGGGCTCTGCAGCCGCCGCAGGAGCTCGGCCACCGACTTCTTTTTGGCTCTGGCCTCGGCGCTGAGGCTCTCGCGGTCCAGGATGAGCAGGAAGGAGCGCAGGTCGCACAGGAGCCTGTCCAGGTCTGGGGGGGGGACAGGGATGGGGTTGGGGACAGGGTTGGGGACGTGCCAGTGGTGACTTCGTGCCCTGTGCCCCCCCAGCCCGGCACAATTCCCCTATTGATGCCCCCAGGGGAGGGGGCCGGGTGCTGAAGGCCCCCTCTGTGCCGGCACACAGCGGGGTTGTTCCAGGTTTGGGCGAGGGGAGAGCAGCACCCGGGGGGCTGAGCTGTGAGGAAGAGGAGGAGGGTGATGAAGGCTCCTCGGGGCATGCCCCAAAATCCCCTCCGGGGGCTGGTGAGGGCAGGGAGCAGCGGGATCAGTGCCGGGACCCCTGTCCCGTGCCGGGGTGGGGGCACCCTACAGGCCAAGGGGCTGCTTTGTGCCTCCTTGCCCGGCTGGAGCGCAAGGAGAGGACCCCCCCAGCCCCCAAAAGCTGCCCCCTATCAGCTCCACATCCCGAACCCCAAACCCTCCTGCTGCAGATGCCTCCCCCCCCAGCTCCGAGCCTCCTCCTGCTCTGGGATCCCCCCAGGAGCCAGGATTTTGCGCCCCCGTGGTGCCCCCCCTGGCACCCCCGTGCCATGCGCCCATCCCCGGGGGCTTTATCTGGATGCGACGCAGCCCCAACGGAGGGCAGCAGCCCCCCCAGGGAAGGGGGGCAGCCGGTGCTGGGGGACATGGGAGAAGCCCCCCATGGAGGCACGGGCACGGGGGGGGCCCCCTACCTCCCCTCCTGGCCTCATCCCATAGCCGGAGAGCCCGGGGTGCGCCTGGGGAAGGAGGGTGGGAGGGGGGGGGGGAGGAAACATCTGGCAGGGCAGCGAGGCTGAGCAATGCCGGAGCCGGGCCCAAACATCTGGATTGCCCTGGAAACTGGGGATGGAAACTGGGGGGGGGGACGGAGCTGGGAGCTCCCCGGGGTGCTGGGGGGTGGAGGAGGAGGAGGGGGGGGTGGGAGGAGGGGGGGGGGTTGGGGAAGGGCAGGGTGCCCGGTGTGCCTGGCTCTCCCTCTCCCTCCCTTTCTCCTCTCTCCTCCACCCAGGCCGAATTCCTGGGCCATGACATCTCCGGCCACTCGCTCCCCCAGCCTCCAGCCTCGGCCTCCACCCCCCCGGACCTTCCTCTGCTCCCTCACCCCCCCCTCATCATCATCATCACCACCCCCCCCTCATCAGCATCACCCCCACCCCTCGGTGCCCCCCGGCTTTCCAAAGGTGCCGTGCCCGGCGCGCCCTCGGGTGCGCAGCAGGCAGGGGTTTGGGGGGGGGGGCTGCCCTCGGTGGTGCCCCCCCCGTGCCAAACTCCAGCTCCTGGGGTTGAGGGGAGGCAGCAGAGGCAAAAAGCAGCCTCCTCGGTCTTTTGGGGGGGGTGGGGGGGCCAGGAGAACCCCCCCAAAACACGGAGCTGTCTCCTAGCACTGCGCCCTGCGCCCGCTGCCATCCCCGAGGAGGAAGAGGAGGAGGAGGAGGAAGGGTCACCCAACGGATGCCACCCAAAGGATGAGGTCTGGACCCCCACGAGGGGCATGGGGGGGGGGGTTTGAGGGTGTTTTTTTTTTTTTTGGGGGGGGGGAGCAGCAGCCCCGGAGCACCCCAGGGAGCGTGGAGGCTCCGGCCAAGCGCGGGGCGGGTGACTCAGCCTGGAGCTGCTCCCAGCCGCAGCGTGACCCCGTGCTGCGGGGGGGGGGGGCTCAGGGACACGGCTCCAGGGCGGGGGGGGGGTCCCTGTCCCACCCCCCCTGCCGCTGAGCCCCCAAAATTGAGGGAAAGAAGCCCACGGAGGGAGCAGCCAGCCCCACTTGGGGGCACCCCAATTCCCCCCCCCCCGTGTACCCCCCTCCCCAAAAACAGGCACCTCCTGGCCCCCTCCCTCCCCAGCGCCCCCCCCCCTTGCTCTCAACCCCCCCGGGACACCCCCATTCCCGGGACCCCCCCCCCCGCCCTGCTGCACCCTTTTGGCACCCTGCACAGCCTCTGCCCTCTCCATTACCTCTTTGCAAGCTCGCCCCCCCTCCAGCTTCACACACCCCCAGCTTTGTGCCCCCCCCCCCGTTTTGCACCAGTTTTGCACCCCCAGCTTCACACCCCCGACGTTTTGCCCCCCCCCAGATTTTCCCCCCCAAGTTTGCACCCCCCAGATCCGCACCCCCTATTTTTGTACCCCCAGGTTTGCACCCCCCTGGCTTACACCCCCCCAGTTTCCCCCCCCCCCAGGTTGCACCCCCAGCTTTGCACGCCCCCCCCCCGGGTTGCACCCCCAAGGTTCGCACCCCCCCCCGCTTCACACCCCCTGGACTTGCACCCCCCCGATTTTACACCCCCCGATTTTCCCCCCCCACCTTTGCGCCCCCACAGTTCGCACCCCCCACTTCCCCCCCCAATTTTCCCCCCCCACCTTTGCACTCCCCCGGTTCCCACCCCCCCACTTCCCACCCCCCACCTTCGCCCCCCCAATATTTGCACCCCTCAGATTTCCACCCCCCCCAGTCCCGTTTCACACCCCCAAATTTCGGGTCCCCCCCCCCCCCTCTCCACGGTACCTCCGTGCCGCGCCATGGTGCGCGCAGCGCTCACATTGCGCGCCCGGGGCCGGGGTTGCGCGCACCCGGCCGGGCTCGCACCCGCCCCGGGGGCCCAAAACGCCTCGGAGCCGGGGGGGGGGAAGGCGGAGAAGTCCCCCCCCCCAAAAAAAAAATTAAAATAAGCGCAGCACCGCCGCCTGCAGGGCTGGGGAGGGAAGGAGCCCAGGAGTAAAGCCAGGTCACCTTTAATCGGAAGCAACAACGCGCACCGGCACGGGGCGGGGGGGGGGGGGGGGGGCCGGAATTAAATCCCAGAAAGTGACTCGAGACCCCCCCCCCCGAAGACACCCCCCCCGGGGTGAAAATCCCGGATTTGTACTCCTGGGGGGGGTTGTGCAGGGGAATGGTGAAAGGCAGCGCGGGGGCCGGTGCGCAATTGGCGGGGTTTTGCCCCCAAAATTTACATTCGGAGCGGCCCCAGCGGGGGGGGGCAGCGGCTGGAAACGGGGGGGGGGGGCAGCGTGTATGGGGGGGTGCGGAGGGGGGGCTCTGCCCCCAAAATTGCGCCCGAGGAAGGTGCTGGGGGGGGGGGGGGGGGGGAAGTGCACAGGGGGGGCAGCACCCTAGTGCCCTGCTGCGACCCCCACCCCCCTAATTTCCCCCCCCCATTTCCCTATTTCACCCCCCCCCCCAAAAGGCCATCTGCACTCACACACACACACACCCCCCAAGCTCAGGAGCTGCCCCCCCCAGCCCTGCCGAGCCCCCCCCCCCCAATTTTCTAGCCCCATCTTTTTGTCCCCCCCCCTCCCCAATTTTACCCCCATCCATGCCCCCCCCTCACCCCCCCAGCTGGGTGCCAGGCAGGTTTTGGCAGTGTACGAGTGGTTGTGGTGCACGGGGGGGGGACACCAGGGTGAGGGGGGGGTAAAATGAGCTGGGGGGGGGTTAAATGAGCCTGGGGGGGGGGCATTAAAATGAGCTGGGGGGGGGACACCCCCACCATGAGCCACATCCTGCAGGCGTTCCCCATCCCTGGGGGGGGGCACGGGGGGGTGCTGAGCCCAGGGGGGGGGGTGCTGAGCCCAGAGGGGGTGCCACCCCCATCAGCGTGCCTGGGGGGGGGCGAGATGGGGGCAAATTCCTCCCCCCCCCCCGCAGAACCGTGCCCCCAGCCCCATCAGCTCACTGCAAGTTGGGCACGGAGAGGGGGGTCCCGGAGAGGATGGGGGGGGGGCACAAGGCTGAGCCCCCTGCAAAACGGTAGGGGGCTGGGGGGGGGCCGTGAGGGGTGTGGGGGGGTGCTAAAAACCGGCTGGGGGGGGGTCGTGGCGCCGGGGGGGGGGGTCAGAAGAGGAAGGCTTTCTTCTTCAGCTCGTTGCGCTTCCACAGGGCCAGCTTGCTGAATTCCTCGGGGGGCATCTCGAAGACCCGCAGGAAATCCTCGGGGGAGAGGTGCCTCTGGGGGGGCGAGGGGGGGTCAGAATGTGGTAAGACCCCCCCCCAAATATTGTCTGCCCCCCCCCCAGGCGCAGCCCCTTACCTCCAGCCTGGTCCTGTCCACGCCGGGGGGCAGCTTGACGCGGCCTCTGTTGGTCACCATCAGCATCTCGTAGGGGTAAATCTGGGATGGCGGGGGGGGAAAAAAAAGCCGTGAGACCCCCCCCCACGCACGCAGAGCCTGGTGCCCCCCCCCCCTGAAGCCCCCCCCCCCCAAAAAGCCCCCTCACCTTTTGCTCCAGCATGCTGGGCAGGGAGTTGCCTCTGTCCATGCGCCCGCGCTGCCCGTTCTGCGGGGACGAAGGCGGCACCATCATCATCCTCACAACCCCCCCCCCCCCCAAAAAAAAAAAAATAGACACCAGCCGCCCCCCCACACCTTCATCCCGCCCCCCCCAGCCCCTCCGAGGTGTCCCCATGTGTGTCCCCCCCCCTCCATACGTCACCCTCTGGGCGCTGGCAGCCGGCTGGGCACTCACCTGCACGCCTGAAAAAGAGGGGAGGGGGCTCAGCACCTCCCTGGCTGTGTCCCCCCCCCCAGATGACAACAAATCCCACCACAGGTGACCCCCCTGGACCCGAGGATGTCCCCAGGGGTGTCCCCAGGAGTGTCCTCCCCATGCCCAGGGGTGTCCCCCTGTCCCCAAAGATGTCCCCTGGTCCCCAGGAATGACCCCCCTGTCCCTAGGGGTGTCCCCCCGTCCCCAAAAATGCCCCCCCATGTCCCCAGGGGCGTCCCCCCATGTCCCCAGGGACATGCCACCATCCCCAGGGATGTCCCCTTGTCTCCAGGAGTGTCCCCCCATCCCCAAAAATGTCCCCACCCATCCCCAGGGATGACCCCCCTGTCCCTAGGGGTGTCCCCCCTCCCCAAAAATGTCCCCATGTCCCCAAGAACATCCCCATGTCCCCAGAGATGTCCCCCCTTCAACCCCAGGAATGTCCCCCCATCCCCAAGGGATGTCACCCCCTGCCCCCAAGGGATGTCCCCCCCATCCCCAAAGCTGTCCCCATGTCCCCAGAGGCTGTCCCCCCCCCATGTCCCCAAATGCGTCCCCCCCCCCATAAACACTCGGCTCTCACCCGGGCTCCCCTTCTCGCTGCTCCCCGAGCTGAACTCCGCCGACTGCAGCTGGCAGGGGACAGGAGGGGACAGCAGGGGGACAGCGTCAGGGGGGTGCCACCACCCCCCAGGACCCCCCCCAACACCACGGGGAGCCCCCCCCCGGCCCCACTCACCCGGGTCAGGGTGCTGCGGCCGGAGGCGGGCAGCGAGGAGCTCTTGTAGCTGCCGGTGTGCAGCGCTGGGAGAGAGCGGGAGGTCAGGACTGGGAGTACTGGGAGGGGACTGGGAGTACTGGGAGGGGACTGGGGGGGTACTGGGATGGTACTGGGGGGGGGGACAGAGTTACTGGGGGCTGTCCTGCCCCACGTACACGTGTGGAAGGGCGTCCGGTCCGGCAGCGAGCGGGTTTTCCTGCGGATGGGCAGCGATTTCTCCATCTCCTCCTTCAGGATCAGCTTCCCCAGGTTGGAGGTGACCTGGGGGGGGGGGGGACAAGGGACACGCGGGGGGGGGGGGTCAAGGCTGGCACCTCCCCAGCCCCCCCTGGACCCCCCCGGGGGTCCCATCACCTTGCTCAGCTCCTGCCGCTGGAGCTCCCGCAGGCTCTTCATCTCCTCCGTCAGATCCTCCTCCTCCTCCTCGCCTCTCTTGGAGGCCATCCTCCTCCTCCACTCCGTCTCTGGGGGAAAAAAGGAGGATTTTCGTCCAGCCCCAACCCCGACACCCCCAGAGGGGGGGGGGTCTCTTGTGGATTTTTTTTGGGGGGGGGGGAGAAAACCACCCCAGCACCTACCCACGACGGCCAGGGACGGGGGGCACGGCCAGTAGTCGGTCTCGATTTTGGCAGGCTGGTTGGGGTCGGGGGGCTGCGCGGCGGGGAATTTGGACGACTCGATGATCAGATCCTCGATCAGGTGCTTCCCGTGGTGGGGGCCGCTGTGGGGCTCTGGGGGGGCACACGGGGGGGGGTGAGATAATTAAAGGGGGGGGGTCCCCGGTGCCGCGTGCCGTGCGCCGCGCTCACCTTTCTGCCGGTAAATCGGGGGCTTCTTGTAGATGTTGAGCTCCGTGGTGTCGGTCTCTGTATGGGGAAGGGCAGGGTTAGCCCCCCCCAAAAAGGTCCTCGCCCACCCCCGTTTGCCCAGTTCCCCCAGTATGGGGGGGGGCAATGGGATTTGGGGGGGTTTTGGGTGCGTACCGGGGCGGTGGAAGTGCTGGACGCTGCTGCGGGGCGTGCTGGCGGCCGGCCGAGGGGGGGGCTGCGAGGTGCCGCCGGGGGTCCGGCTCTCCAACCACTCCCGGATGACCTGGGGGGGGTCATGAAGGGGTGTGGGGGGGCGAAATTTGGGGGTGGGCTCGGCGCTCGGCGTCACCCCCCGTGCACAAATCCCCCCCCGGTGCACTCACCTCGGGGGACGGAGGAGGAGAGATGGATTTGGGGGACAGCGAGCGCTGCAGGGGGGGGGGGACAAAAAAGAGGGGGGGTTAATCCCACAGCCAGGGACTCCCCAAATCCCTGGGGGGGGGGATTTTGGCCCCCCTCACCTCCCGGCTGCGGGGCAGCTCCACGTGCTCCATGAGGGAGTAGGTGAAGTGGGGCTCGTAGATCATCAGGTCGGGGCGCTCGATGTCCAGGATGGCCTTGTCCTTGGGGATGGCGGCCAGGTCCTTGTAGCCCAGCACCTCGTTGTCCATTTTGGCCTGGAAAAAAAGAGGTGAAAAACAGCGATTTTGGGTGCGGGAGGGGAATCTGGGGGTGTTTTCCCAGCAGTTTTTGGGGAACGAGCTCTTACCACGATGCTGGAGGGCGAGCCCGGGACGCTGGAGCCGCGCGAGGAGCAGACGCTCCCAGGGGAGGTCAGCGGTTGCTGGAAGGAAGGGATGGGGAATTTGGGATTATTTAGGATGATTTAGGATTATTTAGGATTATTTAGGATTGGGATTACAGATTTAGGACGATAGATTTCGGATCTGGGATTTGGGATGGTAGGTTTGGGAGCTGGGATTTTGGCAAACCCAAATTTTGGGCTCTGGGCTGGAGCGGGGCCATGGCACAAGGGCGCACGGGGGCACCCCAAAAAAAAAAAAAAAAAAAAGGGGGGAGACGCCCCCGGGGATGGGGGATTCCTGGGTGGGCCCTGGGGGGGGGTCTCCTCGCCCCCAATTTTTAGGTTTAGGGTTTGGGGATGTTTGGGAGGGGACGGGGACACGTTGCCACTAGATGGTGCTGCCAGGCCGGGAGGAGGAGGAGGAGGAGGAAGGCAGGGGAGGAAGGCAGCCCAACGGGGGTCCCCAAATTCCGGCACCCCCCCCCCAAAGCCCCCTGCCCCCCCCCTTTACCTTCTGCAGTCTTTCCATTCAGCTGCGCACCGGAGGGGCCGGGTCAGTCACAGGGTCCTGTGATGGGGGGGGGGCAAGAGCAGAGATTTTGGGGACCCCCCCCCTAAAAGGTGGGCACGCAGCACCCCGGGGCGAGGTGCCACCCACCCTGGGGGGGGGACACGAAAAATTCCGGGTCCGTTTGGGGTTAAGGGGGGGGGGATTGGGGCCCCCCACTCACCTCTGTGGCTCCGCATCCCTCTGGGTGCCGACGCCGGGCTGGGGGCTCGGGGGCTGCCTCTGTAATAGGGGGGGGGGGGTGAGGGGGGCAGGGTTGGGGGCTCCCCAATTTTGGGATCGATCCGTGACGCTGGGGGCTCGCCGAGAAACCCACGGGCACCTGCCCCAGCCCCTAAACCAGGGGCAGCACCCACCACGAGGGACCCTGAGGAACCCCAAAAGGACCCCAAGGAACCCCAAAGGGACCCCGAGGAACCCAAATGGACCCCAAGGGACCCAAATGGGACCCCAAAAGGACCCAAAGGGGTTTATAGGGTGGCAGTGGTGCAGCTCCCAGCCCCGGCACCCCAATGGCCCCCGCCCCGTGGCCGGGTGGCTGCTGACGAGGGCTGAAAGCCGAGGGCACGAGGGTGCCGAGGGCTTTTGTCCCCCAGAAGGCTCCAGCAGCAGCGGGACGCGCGCTGCGCCCAGCCCCTGCCCTCAACCCCCCCGGCTGGAAAAGCCCCGAAAAGGTTTTTTTTTAAAAAAAAAAAAACACAAATCCCCCCGGACAAAGGAGAATATTCCCCATTTTTTTTTTTGCCTCCCAACTTTCAGGGCGGGGAGCACCTGGAAAATAAAAATAAAGCAAACCTCGTGCCGGCACGGTGCCCCGCTGAGCCCCAAACCACCCCAAAACCTCCCCAAAACCCCCCTCGGGGCATGGGGCTGGGGGGTGCCAACCACCCCCAGCCCCCCCCCGGGACCTCAGCCCCAGTAAAAATAGGGAAGGGGGAAATGTGACATCCCCTAGCTCCTTGGGGGGGGGGGTCGAGCTGCCATAAAGGGGTTCGGAGCCTCCCCAAAAGCCCCTTTTGGAGGTGACCCCATAAAAACCAGCCCCTATTTTGGCACGGGGGGGGGGTCAAATCTGCTCGCCCCCCAGCCCAGCAGCTCGGGGGCACCCTGGGGGCTGGGGGCCCGGTGCTGTTGGCACCCCCGGAGCGTGGCCGGGCACGGCACAAGGCGGCTTTGTGCTGGCCCCCCCCGCGCCCCCCCATGAGCTCACACTTTCCATCCTCCGAGCCAGGGAGGGCTTGTTCCTCCAGCAATGCCCCCCCCCTCCCTGCAATTTGGGGACCCCATGGGTGCCGTGGCGAGAGGAGGGGACACGCGTGGGACCCCCCCAGGAGCTGCTGGTGGTGGTGGTGGGGGGGGTCCGGGGGGGGGGCGAGCAGATGGATGAGCCTGGAAATAGAGGCAGAGGAAGGGTGGGTGCGGGGTGGCTGCGGATGCTGGGGAGGAAAAAGGAAAACAAACCCGAGAGAGGGGCTGGGGGGGGGGGGGGAACATTGCAGCCCCCCCCCACGGTTGGGTTAAGGGATGTGGGGGGGGGCAGCTTATCTGCTGCGGGCAGGGTGGGGGCCACCGCCCCACGGCACCCTCGCGGCTCCCCGAGATAAGGGCGGCTCGGGGACGGTGCCGCCGGGGGATTTTGGTGGCCAAGAGCCAGGAATAGGGTGGGGGGGTGAGGGGGGGGGACACACGTGCCGAGCCCCCCCCCGTGGGTACCTGGGGGGGGAATGGGGAGAGGGAGAGCGAGGGATGGACGGACAGACGGATGGACGGGTGGATGGATGGGGTGTGGGAGACCCCCCCCCAAAGCGTCACCAAGCCCAGGGGCTGTGGGGGGGTGGGGGGGGGCATGGAGAGGTCGGTTCCCCCCCCCCAGACCCCCCCCACCCCGCCCCGAGGAAATCCGGATTTGACTTTTCACAGCCGCCAAAGCCATCAGCGCGCGGGGCCGGGCGAAAGGCCAGGCTGCACGGCCCCCCCCCCAAAAAAAAAAACACCTAAAACCCCCTAACCAGGGGTGGGGGGGAGCAGTGAGGACCCCCCCAGCCTTCCTCCCCTCGCCCTCCTCCTCCTCCTCTCCCTCGCTGCCTTTCCCTCCCCATAGCAGCGTGCGCGGGCCCCCTGCCCTATCCATGCGCGGAGAGGGAGGGGGGGGGACACCCGGGGGGGTCACAAGTTCCCCGAACAGCCGGTTCCTGGGAACGGCTCCGGCGTTTCCCAGCCTCCTCCTCCTCCTCCTCCTCTTCCTCCCCTGCTCGCAAACACCCGGCTGATGGCGAGGCCCCGAGCGTCCTCCCCGCAACTCGATCGGGCCTGGGGCGCACGGGGCGCGCGGTGTCCGGTTCCTGCGCCCTGCTTCTCGCCCTTTCTGTCCCCCCCCCGGGGGCATCACCCACAAAGGGGGGGCTGTTTCTGGGCAGCCCCTTCGCCCTGCACCCAGCACTCGGGGTTTCGCCATCCCTGGCGTGGCTGCGCCCCCCCCGTGCCTCAGGTTTCCCTGGGGGGCTTGTGTCCCCCCCCGCCACCCCCACCCCATTTAGGGGACACCAGGGACGTCGCCACCTCCTCCCAGTGCACCATTTCTCCCCGATCTGGGCCAAAACCTCACCTACCCACCCCAAAATCCCAACCAAACCGCCGGTTTTTAATCCAGGATGCGCGGCACCTGCCCAAAAGCCCCCAAAACCCTTGTTTTTTTTTGGGGTCCGATGCCCCCCCACAGGAATCCGATGGCCACACCGCAGCCCGCTGTGGCTCACGTGGCACGTAATCTGGGATTAGGATGGGATTAGCCTGCTCATCCCGCACGCGGAGGGGCCGCCGGGGACCCAGCGGGGTCCTGGAGATGCCCACGGCCCCCCCAAGTGAACCCCAAAATCTCCCAGCCCCCTGGGACACCCTGTACCTGGGTGTCCATGGGGACCCCGGATGCCACCACAGCGTGGCACCTGCCCAAAATGTGGCCGGGGGCTCTCCAGGGCCGAGGTGGCAGCTGGTGGCCCTGGTTTTACCGGGCTTAGCCCTGCCTGACCACCGACCCCGCACGCCCACGGCCCCATAGCGGGGTTGGGGCGCCCCAAACAGGAGCCACATGCGGGGCCGGGGGGGTGCCAAAATCTCAGGGCGTGCCCCAAAACCACAGCGAGACCCCCAGAGCATCGACCCCATCACACCCAGCACCCCTGGGAGCGGGGGATGAGTGTGTCCCCCCCCCCAAAAAAAAACCCTACAGGGCTGAGACCCCCCCAAAACTCACTCCACAGGTGGGGCCGGGAGCGCCCAGGCTCCTCCTCCCTCGGGGGACGCGGTGCCACTGCTGCTGTCCCCAGGGAGGGACTGGGATGTCCCCTGTCCCCAAAACCCCTGCTATGGGGGTGTTTCGGGGAGGGGGGGCATGGGATAAATCAGGTGCACCCTGGGGAGAGCCGCCCCCCCCCGGGGAGGGGTATTCCCCCCGTGTCCCCACGTCACCGCCCTCCTGTCCCCAAGAGCCCCCCGGCAAGGGCAGCTCTGCCCCAAACGGGCACGGGACACGGGGCAGGGCTGCAGCCCCCTAGGAGAAAAGGGGGGACAATATTTTGGGCTGCCCCCACCCCTTATGACCCCCCCTCAACGTTGGGGAGGGCGAGCAGGGGAGCAGCGACAGGGGAACCCACGGGCGGTGGCCGCCGACCCTGCGCAACGCAGCCCCCCCCGGAGAGGGTCCCGACCCCAATCTCCCCCTTCCCTTCGTCCCCACAGCCGGGGGGGGCACTCACCTAGGGCTGGGGCCACCTCATGCTTCCCTCCAGGGGGGTGGGGACCCCCCGGCCTCCTCCTCCTCCTCCTCCTCCTCTCGCCGAGGCCGAAGCACGGCGCTGGGGCTCGCATCCGAGCGCCCGCCGCTATCGGGCAGCGCAGGCGGTGGCCGAGCAGCCCCCGGGGCGCTGATAAGGGGGAGCTCAGCACCCGGGGTGGGTGCGTGGGTGGGTTAAAGGAGGTTGGGGGGGGGGGTGCAGGGTGGGGGGGGCACCCGATGCCGCTCCCCACCTCTGCTGCTGGCTCAGTCCCTTTCGGAACAAGAGGAGAATTAGCCGGCATCATGACGAAGCACTATTGGCGCTCGCTCGCGCGCCCAACGCTTCCCCGGCACAAAGAGGGAGGAAAGCGCAGAGGGACCCGGCCTGCGCGGCCCCGCTTCGCATGGCAGGAGCGAGCTGGGGGGGTCCTGGAACCCCCCCCGTGCAAAGCAGCACCCTCAGCTAAAAGGTTTTGCCCCCCCCCGATCCCAATGCTGAGCACCCGCACGGTGCGGTGGGTGGCGCGGCACAATCGCATCCACGGATCCTGCCCCAAAGCTGGGGGGGGTCCGAGGGTGGCACCCCCGTTAATTGGAGGAGAACCTCTTGGAAACACAGCTCCGGGGCTGAGGGTGCTCAGCAGAGCCCTGGGAGGTGCTGAGCACCTGCCAAAAAATAAAAAAATAAAAATAAAACCTTGATCTCTGAGGGGAGCAGCTCTGCCCCTGCGCCGGCACTGGGCTCCCCTCCGCACCCCAATTCCCGGGGGGGCACCATCCAGCCCCCAGCCCTGGCGCTGAGCTGTGGGGCTGGCCCAGCACCGCAGGGTGTGCCGGGGCAGGGCGGGGAGGCTGCGGCCTCCTCCTGTCCTCCAGCAGGGAAATTTTGGGGTGGTGGGGAGGGAGAACCCAACCCGGGGGGGGGCGCAGAACCCGTGCCGGCGGTGCCGCGGCGCAGGAAGCCGGCAGCTATTCCCGGCTGTGTGTGGGAGAGCTGCCTGGAGACGGGGCCTCCGCTGCTGGGTCCTCTCCCCCCAGGCACGCACGGAGCTGGTTGCTGCCTCAGTTTCCCTCCTGGCTCCCCAAAAAACAGCTGGATGCGCTCACGGGGGGGCTGGATGCGCACACCGGGGGGATGATGCACACCGGGGGCTGCGCACAGAGGGGTGGGGGCACGCACGCACCCTTGGGTGCCAAGGCCGGCGTAATTCAGGAGGCCAAATCCTCCCGGTCCCAGCCGCAGGATGCCGACCTGCCCCATCCTGGGGGTCCCCCTGGGGCCGTGTCCGTCGCTGGCCGAGGCTGCAGCCGCCCCCCCCCCGGCGCTAACCCAGTTTCTCAAGCATGAAGCCAGCGCAGTGGCTGCTCGCCGCCTGCCTCCGGCACCCAGGGCACCCGATCCGGCTGCGGCTCCCGCAGCAGCACACCCAGCACCCAAGGGTGCCAGGGAGGGGGGGGGCTGGAAATACCCCCTTTCCTGCCCCCCCAAGCACCGTGCGCCCACCGAGAACCACGTACGGCCACGCTCCGGAGAGCCCCCACGGGGTCACCGCGCCGTGTCCTTCACCGCCAGCTCTGCGGGGGGCTGGGATGGGTTTAAAGGGGGGGGTTATGGGGTGGGCAAGAGGAGAGCAGGGCCCTACCTTCAAGGGAGCCCCCGGCCCGCCGCAGGCAGGTTCGCCCGTCCGCCGGGAGCCATGCCTGCGCCGAGCATCCCCTCCCTGCGCCACGGCGCGTTGCTACAGCGACCGCCTCCCTCCGCAGCCCCAGCGATGGAGGAGGATGTGCAGGAGCCGCCTTCGGCCTCACGGGAGCCGGGTTGGCCAAGGGGATGCTCCCCTCCGTGCCCCTTCCATGGGGCGGCCACGCCGGGACCCCAAAGCCAAGCCGTGCCCCAAGGGGTTGGGGTTGGAGAGGGGCACCCCCGGGTGCTGGGCGCAGCGGGGTGGGGATGGGGCTGGGGTGACAGCAGGGGGGCCCAAAATTCCCCCATCAGGGGGTGCCCAAAATTCCCCCATCACCCCCTAAATGAGCCCAGGGGATGGCAAAGGCTTGGGGAAGGCAGGGTGCATGGGTTGGGGGCCGGCGAGACATCCTCCAGTGCACTTTCTCCACCTCCGCCCCCCCGCCCCGGGTCTCACCTCAAAAAACAAGAAAGAAAACCCAGTGTGGGTTTTTTTTTTTTCTTCTTCCCCGGCCATAATTAAAAAGGACTCACCCTTCCGAGCCCTTTCTATCCCGGGAGGTCGAGAAGAAAGAGAGGGGAGGAAGGGGAAAAAAAAACTGAAAGAAAGGAGAGGAAGGGCTCGGGAAGGAGAGGAGAAGGGGAGAAAAAGGGACGGGGAAAAATTAAAAGCGGAGATTACACAAAGGGAACTCCTCTACCTTTGAAGCTTGGGCTAAATTGGGGAGGGGGCGGCGGGGGCAGGGAGGGTACAGACAGCTCGGCCCCTTTCTCAAAGCCCTCTCCTTTCAAGAAGGTCTCGAATTCCTGCGGAAACAAGGAGCCGGGGCTGGGGGGGCGAAGGAAACGAGGAGGGGAAGGAAAAAATTAAACTGGCCGCCCGGCTAATTCCTACCCAACACACCTGGGCAGGCAGCGCCGGGCGCATTGTTCGGCCCTAATTGCTGGGTGTTGCATTTCTCTCCTGCTTTTAAAGCTCCATTGAACTCAAACTGTTATAATTTTCTCCCCGTGCCCCCCCTCCATGCGCCCGCATTACGCTCGCGGGGCTTTGTAGGGGCTGGGGTGTGGGGGGAGATGTGGTTAAGGGGTGGTTTAAGGGATTACATCCTCCCCGCCGGCTGCCCAGGGCATTGTGAGAGGGAAAAGTAATTATGGGGAGGGGGCACGGCACGGGCTGGGGGCTGTGGGGGGTCAGACAGCCCCAAAATTGGGCTCTGTGATGCTGCTCCGTGGGGAATTTGGGCACGGGGATGTGCAAGGTGCCACCGCGGTGCTGTGGGGGACACGTGGGATGTCCCCAAGCATCAGGGCACAGGGTTTGGGGCACGGGGAGCTGGGTGCCCCCGTGCCAAGGGGAGCAAAGCCCCCGCTTGTGCTGGGGCCAGGCTGGAAATAAAAAAACAAAAAACTCACCGAGGCCGGGTCCGTCTAGACGCTGCTTTTATTGGCCTCGGGGCTTCCTCCTTTACACACATCAACTCCAAATTCTAAGCGTTTGGGCCTAAAACCGACTCAAAGGAAACAGCAGAGCTCGTAAAAAACACGACTGATAATAAAAAATAAATCTAAAAAGGTTTTTGCTGCCTGCATCCACAGGCACCCCCCGGTGCCACCACGGTGGCCAGGAGAGGGGCACGGGGCCCCCCCCTGCAATAAATAACCCCGAGACCTCGTGGCCACGGGGTACAAGTGCTGGCCACCAGGTCTGGGTGCGCAGCACCCCTCCAAGAGTTTTTGGGGACGGACTGGCACGGTGCGGGACCCCCGGTCACCGCGGTCACCTCGCAGGGTGACAGCTGGGTCACAGCCCTGGGGCTGGGGGTGGCCTCGGCACCCCCCTGGCAGCAGGACGGGGTCACAGACGTGGCCGGGGGCTTGGTGGCATGGGGAGAAGTCTCTAAAAAAAATAAAAATAAAAATAAAGGGGGGCAGACACCCCAGCCAGAGAGGGCAATGGGCAGAGGCACCGGGCGGTGAATTTGGGGTGCGGCAGGGGTGGCTCTGGGTGCGCTGGCCCCGAGTATAAAAATAGAGCATCTTTACGCCAAAAATAGAGATAAGTGGGGAAAAAACAGTGCTTGGGGGGCACGAGGAGAAGGAGAAAAAAGTCCATGAGGAGGAAGAGGAGGAGGAGGAGGAAGGCGGCCGGGGCGCTACGTGGGGGTGCGGGTGCGCCGGGTGCGGCGCGTGGGCGAGGAGGAGCCCACGAACTCGAACTGCTTCTGGCGCTCGGCGTTGGGGAAGGGCGGCTGCCCCCGGTACAGGCGCTTGATGAAATGGGCTTCCCGCTGATTTTGGCGGCTGCGGGATGCTCGGCGGGGCCGGCCCTTGCGGGTGAAGGCCATGTACCAGCCCTCGTAGCGGGCGTTGCGGAAAGCCGTGTAATTATTCTCCAGCACGATCTCGGTGAAGACGCAGTCTTTGCTCTTGCCGTTGGGCTGCTCGAGGGGAAAAAAAATTAAAAAAATAAAAAATAAAAAAAGAGGGGCTGTGAGCTGTGGGGATGGAGAGGAGAGGGGATGAGGCTGCCACCTCCCCGCCCGGACTCACTTTCCCCACCAGCTTGCCCCGTTTGCTCATGCAGATGTAGCGCTCGCTCTCGGCTCCCTTGATGCGCACGCGGCTGCCGAAGGTGTCCGTCTCCACCATCAGCTTGGCTGCGGGGAGAAAAGCACCAGGAGGTGTCCCGCCGGGGCTGCGAACCACCTCCACCCCAAAAATCCCCATCCCCGTGCCCGAGGGGACACCAAAAACCTTTTCTCCCCGTCCCCGTTTCGCTCCCCCCGTCCCTCAATCCCTCGCCACCCCTCGTGCCCGAGCCCCCCCCGGCACGGGGCGCACCGCGGGCTGCTCCCCGAGCCATGATGCTAAAAAAAAGGGTTTTTGTTAAAAGCCAGCAGAGGCAAACGGGGCGTTTGATGAAAGCCCCGTGGAGAGCAGCGGCCCCTTTCCAGCCCCCCCCCCATTTCATTGTCGGGGATTATTCAATGGGGTTTTCCAGGGCCAGAACCGAGCCCAGGCGCCCGGCGGGTTAATTATCCTCGTCCTCATTGTCTCACCCCAAAGTGGCTGCAAGGGCTGGGAGCCGACACCAAACCCCACAACCCCAACAGGTCCCGAGCGTAACCAGGCAGGGAGAATTTAGGGAAAGCCCTGGGAAGGTGGCAGGGACCTGGCGGGGCTGCAACGGGGCTGGGGACCCCCATAAAACACCCAGGGGATGGTGCCGGGGCTGGAGGGGCTCTGCCCGCTGCCCTCCACCCATCAATATTTTAGGTGCAGGATCCATTTCTTTGCCACAAGATGCTATAAACCTGATATTTAGGGTTTTTGCTGCACGATATTGGATGGAAACACATGAATTTGGAAGTTTTGAGGTCAGAACCAGCCGATTTGGAGCTGCGCTCCCATGGGCGCTCATTTTTGGGGTTATAAAACCAGCATCCCAGCTTCAGCACCCACCTCCCTGACCTCCCTGACACCCTACAAGCGCTTCTGTCCCCGGACACGCACCCACCTTGCCCCCATATCCCCCCGGGGGGCTGGCAGCGGGGCTCCTTACCGAATTTATTGCCGTCCTCGGCGGTGGCGGTGATGCGCTCGCCGGTGACCTGCACGTGCTTGCCGCTGGTCCGGCTGTAGAGCTGGTACTCCCTGACCTGCCGCCGGCTCAGCTGGTCGCTCACGGCCCCCTGGTCCCTCACGTACTGGTTAAAATTAGGAGACGGGTGATTCTCCCCCTTTTTTTTTTTTTTTTACAAAGGGAAAAATAAAATCAATTTGTTTCGGACAGCCCACGGCAAGGGGATGGAGAAAAGAGGGGACCCGGTGGGAGCGCTGCCGGCACGGGGTGAGCTCTCTGTGCCCTGTTTGGGGGTCCTGCGGGCAGCTCCAGCTTGGATGGGGCTTTTTTGGGGTGCTGAGACCCCCGAGAAGGTGTTTCAGGAGCAGGGAGAGGCAGGGAGCTCTCCTGGCACCCGCACAAGGGGGATGCGGGGAGGACGCTCTCCATGGTGCACAGCCTGCATCAGGGATGGGACCAAGCTCCTGGCTGTGTGCTGACCCTACAGGCACCCACCGACCTCTCCGCCCCATGGAGCACCCCCTGCACCCCAAATGGTGCTGAGGATGGGTTCGGATGCAGGGACAGCACTCAGCCCCCAGAGCAAAGCGCCCCAGGACCATCCACACATCCCAGAAGCTGGGGGCTGAGCTGTTCCCACAGTGCCGGGGGGATAAAACGCAGCGTGGACCCCAAATGGGATCATGGTTTGTGCCTATGGGGTGGCATAACCCCCCCCAAATAAAGGGTTATTGGATGTAAATGGGTACAGCCACACATTTTGGGGTGCTGCCCGCTCTGTGAGCGCACCCAGGACCCACCTCCGCACCCCACACTCAGTGGGACCGTGGGGGCTCTGCTGACCCCCCCCAGGCCATGCAGGACCCCAGCTCCCCACCACCTTTATGGGCACCTCGGAGGCTCATTTCCCACCGGGATCCACTTTAAAAACGCTTTGGGGGTGGCCGGGGAAGGGTGGTGATGAGCTGGGGGGGGGGCTCTCCATCAAAGGCGCTTCCCTTCCCTTCCCCTCTCATTTTCAAAGAAATAAAAGCAGTTACCTTGGGGAAAAAAATAAAAAGGAAGGAAAAAAATAAAAAGGAAGGGAAAAAAAAGGTCCCAAGCGTGTATTTGAGGCTGCTGGGGGTTGGTTTTGTTGGGGCTGGGGGGGGCAGAGGGTGCTGATATGGAACAGTGCGTTTTAATAGCCGCGGCCCTTCAGAAGCGCACAAAAAGGGATGGGGCAGCCCAGGAGGGGGAAAGGGGGAGAAGGGGAGGGGGGCACCGAGCCTTGAACACCCCCCCCAGCACCCCGTTAACCCCCTCAGATGGCATCGAGGGCAGAATCCGGCCTGGGGGGCAAGAAATGCACCCCCTGAACAGGGGGGGGCTCCCCAATGGCATCGCCTTGGGGACATGGGGAAGGCGCCGGGCACCCATGGGTGACCCCAACCCCGTGGGCACCCTCCAGCATCGCTGCCCTGCCCCGGGGCTGGCCCCTGCCACCCACCCGCGAGGAAAATCCCCAAAAATGAGCAAAATTAATTAACAGCAAAATTAATTAACAGCATCCCAAGTCATGGCCAGGAGGGACCCAGGGGCGAGCCGGGCTGCGACGGGGTTTTTTGGGGAGAAGCTGCTCGGAGACCTACCTGGGTCTGACAGGAGAAGATCAGGAGCTGGAAGCATCTGCGGTGGGGAGAGAGAGAAAAAAAAAAAAAAAAGGGGAGAGGAGCAGGGGGGGGGGGCGCTTGGGGTTTTTGGAGGCGAAATTTGGAAATTTTTGCCAGGAGAAACCAACCCCGAGGCACCCGGAGCGCGCCGCTTACATGGAGAGGTTCTGCAGGCGGAGGGGCTGCATGGTGCTGGCCGAAACCCCCCCCAGTTTTAGGGCATGAAAGGAAGGCAGGGAGCTGAGCTGCCACCCTCAAATGTCACCACGACCCCGCCGGGGGGGTGCCCGTGGCCCCCTCCTCCTCCTCGCTCGGGTGCCCCCCGAGACCCTGCCCAAGCGCAGGGAGTGGGGTTGGGGGCATGGGGCTCAGCTCCTCGCCTCGTCCCACCCCATCAGCTTCCCATTTGGGGGGCAGCTCCTGCCTCGCTGGCATCTGCTGGGGGGGGCCTGTGGGGGGGCTGATAATGGGGGAAAAGGGCTGGGCTCCCCCCTTTTTCCCCCCCCCCAACCCCAGCCCCAAAAAGCAGGGTGGCACCCGGAGCCCTGCGCCCCCCGCGCAGCCCCTGCTCCCCTCTCCTGGCGGCCTTTTAAAGGTGGGGGGGGGCTGTGGAGAGGGGCTGAGCCTCCCCTGGGGGGCCGGGGGGGGCTAAGAGGGAAGGAGGATGGGGGCTGGGGGGGGGGGGGGCGAGAGAGGAGGAGGAGAGGAGGAGGAGGAAGGGGGAGGCTGAGCAGGGATCAGGGGCTTGGGGTATCCAAGCCCCATGGGGAAGGGGAGGAGATGGAGAGGTCGTGGGGGGGTGGGGGGGGATTTTGGGGCATTAAATAGGGTCTGGGGGTGGGAAGAGCCCCCCCCAGCTCAGCCAGGCCTGGGGGGGGGGGACAGGGAAGGGGGGGGGGGGGGGGATGCGCTCACCTTTAGGATGCTTTTTGGCACCCTGCTTCCCAAAAGGTGCCCCCCCCTTGGTGAAAAAATCACCACGAGGGGTTTTTAACCAGCTGGTTCCACACCGGGGGGGCCTTCCGAGCCCCCCCCCCGCCCCAAATCCCACCCTATGGAAAGGATGGTGGAGATTTACCCCCCCCAAATATCTGTGGGGTCAGGTATCGGCTCCCCCCAGGGGGCAGGGGATGCGCCCCCCCCCTCTCTGCGCTCCATTTGCTGTGCCGAGGGGGTGCCAAGTGCCAATAAACACCCCCGGGGGGGGGGTCCTGGGGGGGGGCTGCACACCAAAAGGGGGGGGGTCCTGTAGGAACTGCTCCCCCCCCCCTCCTGCCTCAGTTTCCCCAAAGAGCCCTTTGGGGAAACTGCCCTTTGGGGGGGGGCAAAAGAGATGGAGAGGGGGAGACCCCCGCAGCCCCCAGCCGCAGAGGGTTTTTTTGGGGGGGCTCAATTAGTGCTAATGACCCTAATTAACCCCCCCCCCCGGTGTTTTCTCACCTCCCAGGCCAGGTCAATGGGTTCCAATCCCCCCCCCCGCTGCTCAATAATCCCCCATTGTCCCCATTCACCCGGCGCTTGGTGCCCCCCCCCCCACCCCAAATGGGACCCCCAGGTTGTGGGGAGGGACCCTGCAGCCCTATTGGGGCATGGGGGGGGGGACACAGCCCCACACCCCCCCCCCATCCCAGCATGGAGAGCCAGGGCTGCAAAACCAAATCCTTTATTATTATTTTTTTTTTTTTGGGGGGGGGGGGCACCAAAATCAGAAGGTTTCCAGCTTCTCCTGTGCCAAAACCTGCAAAAAAAAGGGAAAAAAACCTTAAAACCGGGCACCCCCCCCCGGGGAACACCTGAGCCCCCCCAGATGGGACACGGGGGGGGCGCACAGGGGTCCCCAAGCCCCCCCCCCCACTTACCTGGGGTCACTTCTTCGGTGCTGCCTTCTTGCCCCGGCCGCCTCCTCGCCCCTATAGGGGATGGGGAAGGGGCTGAGTGTGGGGGGGAAGCCCCCAAACCCCCCCCCCCACACCCCCTTTTTGGGGTTTTTCAGCCCCCCCCCAGGGTTAGCCACCCCCTTACCTTGCTGGGAAGGGGCTCCTGGGGGGCGGCGCTGTTCCTGCTTGGGGAAAACGAGGGGGGGGCTGAGGTTAGGGGGCTGTGACCCCCACCCCAAGCCCCCCACCCTATTACCCCCCCCCACCCCACCCCCCCACCCCATACTCACTGCTCGTCCTCCTTCTCCAGCCTCCTCTTCTAGGGGAGAAAAAGGGAAATTTGGACAACGGGGCCTGGGGGGGCTCCACAAATCTCCCCCCTCCAAGAAAAAAGGGGATAAATTGTGCAATTTTAGGGTCACAGCCCCCCCCACCCCAATTTTTTGGGGACCCCCCCTACCTTGGCGGCGTTGCCCCTTTTGGCACCTTGGGGTTTGGGGGGCTCCTCCTCTTCATCACCTTCATCCTCCTCCTCCTCCTCCTCCTCTTCCTCCCAGGACAGGTCGGGCATCACTGGGGGAGAGCCGGGGGGGTGCTGGGGGGGGGCGGCAGCACCCATGGGTGTTTTTTTTTTTTTTTTTGGGGTGGGGGGCACTTACGGGAGATGTGCTGCCCGCTGATGTAGACGGGGCCGGACCCCGCGCGCAGGCGGAAGGTGACGGGGGGGGTCAGCTCCACGCCCCCCAGGGTGGCCTGAAAAAGAGCAGGGTGGCAAAAAAATCCCAAAAAACACCACCCCTGATTTTATAGGGTCTTGGGGGGGGGGGGGGGGGGTTAAGGGGAAGCCCCCCCACCCTTGGGTGCTCACCATGGGCAGCACCGAGGGCTTGAGGGTGGCGATGGGCACGGGGGTGTCCTCGGGGAGGGGGGGCACGATCTCCACCACGTGGAACTCGTCGCGAGCCTTCTCCCCCAGGCAGACCTGTGGGGTCACAAGGAGCCCCCCCGGAGCATCCCCCAAAAAAAACCCAAATCTGGTTGTGGGGGGGGGTATTTAAAAGGAGAGGGGGGCACCTACTGTGCGCAGGGCCAGCTGCTGCTCGCAGTGCCACTCCTGGGGGGCCTGGAAGGTGTAGGACGGCCGCTGGCTGCTCAGCTCGCACCCTATAAATAATGGGGGGGGTCAGTGGGGTGGGGAGGGGGCTCGGCCCCATTTGGGGGTGTTATGGGGCAGGGGGGGGGCTCACCCCAGATGAGGGCCATGGGCTTCTCGGACTTGCTGTCGGTGCTGCCTGTCGTGGACATCGCGCCCTGGGGGCGCACGCGGAGATGTTTTTTTGGGGGGGGTCCCGCTTGGAAAAATATCCCACAGCCCTCCCCAAAAATTATAGGACCCCCCCCAAAATTACAGGAACAGCCCGCAGCCCCTTTAGGGCCCCCCCCAAGCAGAGGAAGCCTCACCCAGTGCCGCACCCCAAGTGCTCAGCAGGTTCCCAAATCACCCCCAGGACCCCCCCGCTCCGCACTTATAGGGCCGGGGGGGGCTGCGGCCCTATAAGACCCCAATCCCACCCCCCCAATGGGGGCAGTGCCCACCCAGGGTCATTAGTGCCTGCAGCTGTGCTGTGGTTAACGAGGGGGGGCTCATTAGGACCATGGCTAATGAGGGGGGGGCCCAACCCTGCTGGCATCATCCTGGGGGGGCGCGTCCCCAATTTGGGGGACCCCAGTGACACCGGGTGGTCCCCCCCCCGGTGACGTTGGCCTCGTACCTGGGTGGCCCCAGGGGCTCTGGGGGATGGGGAGGGGGTCACGGCCCCCCCCCCCCCCAGTGCTGGGAGTCACCTCCGTGCGCCCCAGGTCACCCCAGACCCCATCTGTCCCCAAAACCTATCCCCTGTCCCCATCCCTTGTCCCCAAACCCCATTTTCTGTCCCTATATTCTATCCCTTGTCCCCAAACCCTGTCCCATGTCCCATCCCCTGTCCCTAGACCCCATCCCTTGTCCCCACGTCCTGTCCCCATATCCCATATCCTGTCCCCATCCCTTGTCCCCATATCCCATCCTGTTCCCAAACCCTATCCCCATGTCCCATCCCTTGTCCCCAAACCCCATTCCTTGTCCCCATGTCCCATATTCTGTCTCCATCCCATCCCCTGTCCCCAAACCCTGTCCCCATGTCACATCCCCTGTGCCTATACCCCATTCCCTGTCCCCAGACCCCATTCCCTGACCCCAAAACTCATCATTTGTCCCCAAAACCCATTCCCTGTCCCCAAACCCCATCCCCTGTCCCCTGATCCCAGTCCCCTGTCCCTATGTCCCATATCCTGTCCCTGTCCCCACCCCTTGTCCCCAAACCCCATTTTCTGACCCCAAACCCCCCTTTCTGTCCCCAAACCCCATCCCCTGTCCCCCCCCGTCCCCGTCCCCGTTCCCCCGCCCCGGACGCGGCCCTTTTGGGGGGGGGGCGGGGCCGCGGCCCCGTTTCCGCCGTGGCCGCGCGATGGCGGCGGCGCTGGTGGGGGCCTGGGGGGGGTCCTGGGGGGGGGGTCCGGACTTGGGGGGGTCCGGTCCCGGTGTGTGGGGGGGGCTCTGAAGCCGCTTTTTGCCCCCACAGGGCCCCGGGGAGGCCGCGGCGGCCGCTCACGCCCTGACCCTGCCGGCGGAGGCTTACGGCAATGATGTGAGGGGGGGGCACGGGGGGGGGCACCGGGAATTTTGGGGGGGGGGTTTGGGACATGGGGGGGGGACCAGGGGGCGAGGGGGTGTCAGGGGGATTTTTATTTTTTTTTTGGGGGGGGGTGAGGGGGTATTTGGGGGTGGGGGGGCGATGGGGTGGGGGGGGGTACTGGGGGGGTAATGGGGGTATTGGGGGGGGTTGGGGCCTGGGGGGGTATTGGGGTGGGGGGGTATTGGGGTTGGGGGGGGCTGGGGGGGTGTAATGGGGGGGTTAGTAGGGGAGAAGGGGGGTGTTGGGGGGGTCTTGGTACTGGGGGGTCTGGAGGTGGTGTGGGGGGGTTGGTATGGGGGTGGGGGGGGGAATGGGGGGGTCTTGGTACCGAGGGGGGGGTCTGGGTATTTTGGAGGGGGGTGTTGGTATTGTGGGGGGGGTCTTGGTATCAGGAGGGGGCATAACTTGGTGCTTGGGGGGGTATTGGTACTAAGGGGGGGGTATAGGTGTTGTGGGGGGGGTCTCGGTGCCAGTGGGGGGGGCCTGGTGCTGGGGAGGGGGTACTGGTATTGTGGGGGGGGTCTTGATTCTGTGTGGGGGGGTCTTGGTATCAGGAAGGGGCATAACTTGGTGCTTGGGGTGGGGGGTCTCAGTACTAAGGGGGAGGTATTGGTGTTGTGGGGGGGGTCTTGGGACTCAGGAGGGGGTCCTGGTGCCGGGGGGGGGTCCTGGTGCCGGGGGGGGGGTCCCCAAAGACCCCTGACACCCCCTCTGCCCGCAGCCCAACGTGGAGCTGATGTGGGCCATGCGGGCCTACCAGCACGCCGAGGTCTACTTCAACGTAAGTTGGGGAGGGGGCTTTTTGGGGACCCCCCCCTGCAATAAAACCCCCCAAAACCAGCCCTACGAGGGGCGTTTTGGGGAGGGGGGCACGGCCCTGAACCCCCCCCCCCCGTCACCCCGCAGCTCATCTCCTCGGTGGACCCCAAATTCCTGAAGCTGACCAAGGCGGACGAGCAGATCTACGGCGACTTCAGGAAAACCTTCGGAGACCTCAAAATCGACGTCCTCGACCCCGAGGAGCTCAAATCGGAGCCGGCCAAGGAGGTGGGCACTGAGGGGGGGTTGGAATTACGGGGTTGGGGTCCTGGCACCCCCCCAAATTTCCCCAAAAATCCCATCCCCAGAAGTGGCGCCCCTTCTGCCTGCGCTTCGAGGGGGTGGTGGAGGACTTCAACTACGGCACCTTGCTGCGCCTGGACTGCAGCAAGGGCTACACGGAGGAGAACACGATATTTGGTGAGTCCCAAAACCTCCTTATCCACTTGTTTTTAACCCCAAATCCCACCCGGACTCCGTGCCGTGCCCTGCGGGGTGGTAACGGGGTCGGGAGAGGCGAGGCTGCGCCCCCCAGACCTGCTCCGAGCCCCCCAGATCTGCTCCGAGCCCCTTTTTTTTTCTCTTTTCCCAGCCACCAGAATCCAGTTTTTTGCCATCGAAATAGCTCGGAACCGAGAGGGCTGCAACAACGCCGTCTACAACAGCGCCAAGGAGCCAGCGAGGGCGTGAGGACGAATTCGGCTCCGCTTCGTTCCCCATGGGGTCAGCCCAGGGGCTGCTGCCCCCCTTTTTTTCCCCCCATGGGACAGGGGCAGGAGGAGGCAGGACAGCGCAGGGCGTCCCGTCCCTCCTGCTGCAGTGCCTCGGAGCTCAGCCTCTGCTTGCAATAAATAAAATGTTTTATTTAGCTGTAAATAAAATGTTTTCAAAGCCCTCTCCTCGTGCTGCGGGTGTTGGATGCGCCCGACCTGGTGATGGTGGCAGGAGGTCTGTAAGACCTAAAGGTTTAGGGGCTGTTGCTGAACCCGCTTTGGTTTTACTGCCGTGGTGGCAGCGGGCTCCAGCACCGCTGCTGGAGGTTTAGGATTTGGGTGTGAGCTACCAACTTGACTCTAAGGGGCTTTGTGACCCGATAAATGCCCATGAAACCATGATAAACGCCATCAAACCCCAATAAATACCCATGAAACCCCGATAAACGCCCATGAAACCCCAATGAATACCATCAAACCCTGATAAAGTCCCACCAAACCCCGATAAATGCTCTCCAAACCCCAATAAATGCCCACGAAACCCCGATAAATGCTCATCAAACCCTGATAAATACCCATGAAACCCCAATAAATGCCCTCAAAACCCCAAGAAATGCCCACTAAACCCCAAGAAATGCCATCAAAGCCTGATAAAGTCCCACCAAACCCCGATAAATGCTCATGAAACCCCATTAAATACCCATGAAACCCCAATAAATACCCTCAAAACCCCAAGAAATGCCCACTAAACCCCAATAAACGCCCATGAAACCCCAATGAATACCATCAAACCCCGATAAATGCCTATCAAACCCCAATAAAGTCCCACCAAATCCCAATAAATGCTCATGAAACCCCATTAAATACCCATGAAACCCCAATAAATGCCCTCAAAATCCCAAGAAATGCCCAGTAAACCGCAATAAACGCCCATCAAACCCCTATAGTCCCACCAACCCCAAGAAAAGCCCACCAAACCCTGATAAATGCTCATGAAACCCCAATAAATACCCATGAAACTCCAATAAACGCCCTCAAAATCCCAAGAAATGCCCACTAAACCCCGATAAACGCCCATGAAACCCCAATAAATGCCCATCAAACCCCGATAAACGCCCATGAAACCCCAATAAATGCCCATCAAACCCCGATAAATGCCCACCAAACCCTGATAAATGCCTATCAAACCCCAATAAGGTCCCACCAAACCCCAATAAATGCTCATGAAACCCCATTAAATACCCATGAAACCCCAATAAACGCCCTCAAAACCCCAAGAAATACCCACTAAATCCCGATAAATGCCCATGAAACCCCAATAAATGCCCATCAAACTCTGATAAATGGCCATGAAACCCCAATAAATGCCCATCAAACTCTGATAAATGCCCATGAAACCCCAATAAATGCCCATCAAACTCTGATAAATGGCCATGAAACCCCAATAAATGCCCATCAAACTCTGATAAATGCCCATGAAACCCCAATAAATGCCCATCAAACTCTGATAAATGGCCATGAAATCCCAATAAATGCCCTCCGATCCCCAAGAAATGCCCACCAAACCCCAATAAACGACCACCAAACCCCGCTAAATCACGGGGCCCGTCTCCCAAGCAGAGGCCAGCCCAGCTCAGTAGAAACCATTGAAGTTTATTTGCAGTCACAATGCTTACACTGTATGCAGCAAACACCCTTACAAGTCAACCAGCAATCTGCTCACGCGAAAAAAAGGACCCAACACACAATCGCCAGAGGAAAGAACAAAAAAAAAAAAATTAAAAATAAAAATAAAGGGGGCTCGGGGGGGAGGGGGGGGAGGAATTAAGAGTTAGGTGGTGTCTGGGAAGAGAAACTGAAACCCTAAGGACTGAGCGTCTGTGGGTAGAGCTGAGCAAGAGAATGCACACGACTAGCAGCAACAATAGTGGAAAAAAGTACAAGGCAAACAGGTTCCCTCCCCCATCAGCTTTCCTCTGTCAGTAAATTTTAATACCCAAAAACATTTATCAGGGTGACTTAGAAAAACAAAAAAAAAATGGAATCATTTGAAAGGGGAGGGAAATCGGGAGGTGGGTTTTGGGGGGGGGTGTTAAATACTTCATGCTAGGCAAACCTTGTTATTAAGAACCCCGGGCAGCAGCCCCCGTGCCCCGGCTGAGAACCCACGCTGGGGGCACGAAGCTCGCCCTCGGCCCCTCAATTCCTCCTGTGCCTCCTGCTTGAGTGAAATGGGGGGAAAAATAAAAGGAAGGGGGTCCGGGGAGCGCGTGGTGCCAGCCCCGGGGCTCGCCCGGAGGGGAGGCGAGGGCCCGGGAGGCAGCGGGGTGAGGAGGGGACACGGGGGGCACTGCTACACCGGGGGGGGGACGGGAGAGACACCCACGAGCAAGCACGAATGGAGAAGATCACGCGGCATGGCTTCGAGTTCCTAATAACAAGGGCAAGACGGTAACAGGAAGTCGTGATTTCGAGGGGCTGAATAAGAAAAAATATACATTTGGAATTTTACAATGCCTTTTTTTTTTTTGTCGTCTTTTTTTTTTTTGTTGGTTTTTCTTTTGTGTTTTTTTTTTTCAATTTTTTTTTCTTTTTTTTCTTTTTTTTGCTTCTCTCTACGCTTGTCACTAAATATATCTCTGCACTTTCACACACCCACCCCTCGCCCAGTAAAGCTTCAGGCCTGCAGGACACGCTTTCCTCACTCGCATACACAACCCTCACGCCAGCACCGGTGCACCAGGACTCTGTAAAAATTTCAATCACACTTTTTTTTTTTTTTTTTTACTCCTTTTTTTTTTTTTTCCGTTTTTTTGTTTTGTTTTTTTTTTTTAAACTGAGTCAATATAAACCTTGTTCAAAATGTTATGAAAAAATGTACATGTTTATACAAGGCAGGCTGCAGCAGAGCGCTGGCGTTCCACGCAGACGTTCGGGTAGGGAGACGCTGGATTCTTGCACCTGGCTTTTTGCCCTTCCACCCCCTCCCACGGAAACAGAAGCACCCTGCCCCGGTGAGCTCAACCACCCCTCCTGTTCCCTCCTCCCTCGGGACGTGGAGTACGGCCAAAGCGAGCGCCGCAGTCCAGCCCTGGGGAAGAGCAGGGATTCGAAACGCCCTCCTTTTCTTTCCATCGGAAACGGGAACCCCTCTGGGCCAGGCCAAAGAGATGCTGCTCTGTACAGGTGGAGCTGGGAGCCGTCAGCTCATCATGTCGTTGCTGTTGACTCCGTAGGTGGAATTCTTCATGGAGTCGTTCACCTCTCGCCGGAACGCCGACAGGTTTTGGGTAAACCTGAGGGAGAGGCAGCAGGGCAGCGCGTTAGAGCACGAGGTCGCCCGCTCCTCAGGGGGTTTTTGCTCCCCGGGAGGCTGCCACGAGGTGGGCTGGACACCCCCAGCTACATTTTTTGCATTAAGCTACGGGCTGAGCACAGCCCCGCGGGTTTGGTGCGCACTGACCTGTCCCTGTTCTTGGTCAGGAGGTTGCGTTCGATGCCTTCCATGAGGTTCTCGAAGCAGAGGTGCATCGCCTGCTGTTTCTCCGGAGGCTGGCTGTTCACGATGCTGTTCCTCAAGTCAGAGAAATACTGCAGGAGACATGAGAAGGCCGGGTTAACTTCTAGAAGAACAGCCAGCTTGGCTTTAGGACACAGCAGGAAAGAGGGAGGAAACGTGCTACAGCTCCTGGTGCCCTTAAAAACCCAAACTTAATGGGATTCATTAGAGCTGCTCAGGGAAGGGCTGCACACCCTCCCCTCTCCCTCTCCCCAGTCCTGATTTCCCTGCCCTGCCCACGGTGCTGCTCTGCTCAGCCCAAAGCATCGTTCAGGCCCCAAGAGCCCTCCATCTGCACGGGGAGCTGGGGACGTTTACCTTCTCGTTGAGCAGTATCAAGCCGAGCAGAGGCCGAGACATTGACCACTGGTTCCTGCAGTCCTCAAAGATGATGATATTCAGCACTGTCGACAGCATCTGTAAGAGGGAAAAGGAGGCTTAGAAGCAGCTCTGGCCTCACCAGGACACAAAACGTGTGCTCAGAGCACGGGTTCACCCCCACGGCTTGCTTTCTGCAGGAAGAAAACCTCCTGGCATCACACACGGCTGGCTTCTGATCCCAACCACAAAGCCCAACAGCGATGGCAAGGACTCTCAGGCACCGAATTTAAAAGCCAAGCACATACAAAGCAGAGCTGGTGCTTGTTTAACGCTTCCAGTGTCATCTCCTGCAGGAGCCTCAGTGCTGCGGTACTCCCAGCAGCAGGGGACACGAGGAGGAGCCCCCCCAGCTGCTGGAGAACTCTGCACTGAAGGCACATGGAGGTGGTGAGAGGTGCCAAGATATTTTATTCCTGACACAACCTACCCTGCCCCAGGGCAGCCAGGGGAAGATTGTCTCATCTTCAACTTCAACGGGGCAACAGCAAGAGCTTAAATGCACCGAGAGCATGCGAGCACACGCTCCGGTGCCCCGAGAAGCTCCCTGAATCCACGCTCGGGTGTCTGTGATCCCTTCCGTGGCCTCATTAAGGCAACAACAGGAATTGAAGCCAACATCTAACCTGGTTGCTTTGGGAGATGCAGTTTCTCTTTTATCCTCGGAAAACGCCAGCTTCTGGCCCCAAAAGAGCCTGCTTTACTTCGCATTTGATCTCCCAGCGAGGATGGAGCAATACTAACAATGCTCCCTGCTTTCAGGTGGGAGTGGAGCTGACACTTTGACAAGTAGCAGCGAGCGAGCTCGGCTACTGCTGTCAGAAAGGCAGCGAGCAGCACTGCTGAGAGGCAGCAGGAGGCAGATAAAAGCGTTCTGCTGCGAGGTGTGGATGTTCAGATCCCAACGCAGGGCCCTCTGGAGCTGCAGAAGCAAATCTGTGCGAGCAGCAGCTTCTGGCATCAGCAAGTGGCACACGGAGGTGCCTCAGCTACAGGGTGCGTGGAGGCATACGCTGAGCTGAGACTGATCTAAGCAAGCAGAACCTCTCAGCTCCCTACAGATCCTCTGCCATCGCACGTGCTCCTGACCAAAAAAAAGACAAAACCCAGCAAGCTCTGAGCCTCTCAGAGGCGTGCAGATAGAGGCAGATGGCAGATGTGCTGCCAGCTTGTACAACTCCACTACCAAACTCACCCTGCAGAGGCCTTTCTGAATTCAGGACTGAGCAGTGCCAAGGCAGCACACGCTCCAGCAGGTGGAAAAACTAACCTTCCCCTGCTCCCAACGTGAGAGCTGCAGCACAGATTTGCTCCTGTATGCTGAAGTCTAAGCACAGCCTGGTTAAACACGGGGACCCTGTGGTGCCTGCTCTGCTCCGAGCGCACGTGTACCCCTGAAATGTTCCAAGGTGTTTAAACAACTCGTGTTGTACAGCAGCGGCAGGCTGCATGCTCTGTGGCTGGCTGGATGCTGCCTGGATCCTTTCCACAGGCTGCCAGCACCACCTGTAACTACATTTCTGTCTTTACAGACAGACAAAAGCTCAGTTTTGGCTGCTGAAATGGTGTCCTTGCACAGGGAGAACCACAGCCCTGAAACGTGGCTTTGAACCAGATGATGAGTGTGTAGGATTTTCTGGCTAGTGCTGCACCTCTCCTTGCTCCTCAGGAAAAGCCCGGAGGTCTGGAGCAGGGAGCACGCAGCCCCCGTGTTACATCACGCTGAGACAACTCGGGGCTTATCAGGGAGTTCACCGTGCCGTGCCACAACAAGGCTCTCCCCTCCGCCTTCGGTCTTTACCTGCTGAATCATCTCTGGGTGCTGCTGCATGATGTGCAGGAACCGGTCGCTCTCCTGGGTCAGAGGTGTGGTCCTCTTCTTGGTGCTGCGAGACAGCTGCTTGAAGAGATAGGTGACGATGTGGTCCAAACAGGAGCAGCAGCCTGTGCAAACCATGGTGTCTGCAGGAAGAGGGAAGATGGAGATAGTGGGACGTCGCCAGCGTTTACCTTGCTCAGGGAAACACCACCACTTATCTGGGTCCTTTTAGGGACTAGGCACACCAAGAGCCACCTGATCCTAAAATGATCAGCGACTCCTCACTGACACATCCCCTCTTTCTAGCTTCAACAGGGGTGAAAATCCTTCTCAAACCCATTCACAACATTTATCTCATCTGTTATCTGAAACACCAGGCACTTGAAGCAACCCAAATCATTGCAAATCAAAGCCCTACGAGCGTACCAGAGAGCAGGGGGAGTTACCTAGTGCAGTGAGGCCTTCTGAAATGGAAGAGAGAATATACATGATTACATGAGGCTCCAGACTGGCAATAAAGTTCATGTGGTCCTGGGTGAGAACTTCCAGCAAGGAATAGTAGGACTGGCTGAGTTTGGGATAATCCTGCAGAGAAAGAGAGAAAGGCGTGAGGCCTCTTGCCTAGCCTGTAACCATCAGCTCCTTTCTGCAGCGCCTACCCAACCCACTCGTTAAGGAAAACTGCTTACCGGATCTCCTGGAAGGAGAACAAACAAACCTCTCGCACAGAATAACTTGTGAGCCAACACATTTTTCCCCCCTGTGTCTCCCACCTTTCCAAACAGGCTCCGGCAACAACGGCCCAGCAGGTTCCCAACACTGCTCTATCAGAACATCTTTCCCCGCTGCTTCCCTCACCTACAGAGAGTGTTCACACTGCCTACTGCCAGTGCTGGAGATGCAGAGATAGGAAAAGCTCTCCAGGTGTCTGCTGCAGCCTGCCAGATCACCTACAAATAGGCAGGCACGGTGCTGGGCTCAGCAGGCTGTGCTGCTGATTCTTCCTGCAGCAACCCCCAGATCGGGGGGCTCTCCTGGCAGCCCCTGTCTCAAGATTTTCATTTGAGCTGCCCACGAGCTGAGTGTCTAAAGAGCAATGGTTTGGCTACCAGCACATTGGATTAAGAAGGTGCTGAATGCAGTCACAGAGGCAGCAGCAGCTTTCAGATCCTGCTATGAGACGAGTAAAGAGTTGGGAGGAGCATGCTGCCCTCTCTCCTCAATATTTTGAGGACCAGGATGGTGCTGAGAGGGCCTCAAAGTTCTGCTGTGAAATGGATTACTGCACACGAGGTAGAGATCTTCATTAAGCAGGTTGCACCGAGATCTCTGCCCACAGGCAACACAGGGAAGAGCAATCCTTCACTCGCAGGAAACATTTTGCAGGTAGAGAAGCAGTTATTTTTGGTAACTGCTTTGCTGAGACTTGGAGCGTGCCCTACTGGAGAGAGGAACACCCCTGGGTGCTGGGCTTGCAGCCTCCACGTGGGCCCTGCTGCTGGGGTTCCAGGAGGTGGCACGAGCTCATTTGTCTCTGTGATTAAGTTTTCCTTTACCATCTAATCTCCCAACCCTGCCTTTCCTAGCCGTGTTTACGCTGCTGATCACAGGTGTGGGCTTACCAGGAGGTCGCTGTGCGGGATGGAGAGCAGAAGCTTGATAAAGGTTTGCAAGGCGTTGTCCAGTGCATCGTCCCCGTACAGGCGGAAGACCCCGAAGTTGACGTAGCTCCCGCTCAGTGCAGCCTTCAGCATAGAGAAGCAGATGGAAATCCCCTTGAGCTTCAAGGCGTAGACTTGATCCTTTGGGACCTCCCCAAGCGTTAGGATACGATTTCCTGCACGAGCACAGAAGCGGACTCAGTATTTCAGCAACCACATCCGAACCCCTTCTCCCTCAGGGGGGCAGGAAAGACACAAAGGGAGAGCCCTAAGGAGTGACTGAGGAGTCAGCCACAAGCACCAAAGACCTATTATTTCCCAGGCAGCAGTTAAGGACCCCGTTACAAGTTAAAAGCTCTACTAGGAATCAGGGAAAACATCTGCGTGGAGTTTTGCTGTGGAAACAGGATGCACGCCAGGACTGCTCTCCACTTGCTTTGCAGGTCTGCCCGTGTCACCCCGCAGGCTCCCGCGGGGCTCAGCTGGGTTTCCTGCTCATTGTTGTCATTTTCCTCCTTGTTGGAGGAGCGTGGCAAACACCCTGGTGGTTCTGACTGCCTGCCTACCCGAGGACTTCATGCAGAAGCATCTCCCTGGCTCTGAGCATGCACTCAGCAAGTGATTTGGCACTGCCTGCCAGCCCAGGGTCATTCTCCGAGCTGGCAAGAGCCCAGCCCTCACTCCCCAAGCGAGCAGAGGGGTCAAGTGCATTCCATCCCACCTGCTGGGCACTCACCATACGTAGTTATCATTTTACTTGTTTCTCGGAAGAGCAGGATGCCGTTTGGTGAGGACACATCAAACTGCAGCCGTTGGGACCTAACGGGAAGGCAGAAAATAAATCAGATCTCTAACAAACTCATGGAGGAAAACAAAGCCCACGCACCAGGACCTCCAGGTGCTGCTCTGTGCCTCCTCCCCAGCTCCCCAAACACCCCGCTCTGGTGGAGCACTGCTGCTCCTTCCCACCACCAGGCAGGGCACAACCTTCTCAGGGACAGATGAGCTCTGCTGTCGCAGAAGAAAGGGCCTCTACGTCACGGCCATGGAGGGATATTACAAGTCTGAGGCTGGAAATCCTGGCTTGGCAATGGTCACTAGGCTACTGCACACAAACACAGCGAGCAGCTTGGAAGCCAGCATTGTGGGGCAGGCTGACTGGCTCCTATTCATAACCCGAGCAAGAGTTCAGAGCTTGGCATTTCTTCCCCTGCAGTGAATAGATCTGAAAACTGATGTGCAGCGAGCTGTCCGCTTCACCTTCGGAATAAATGAGTGTATTCCAGGAAGGTTGCTCCTGCTGCAAAGATGCCATTCAGCTGGGGTAAACGCTCTGACAGCACAGCTTCTCAGCAACCCTGAAACGGCTGCGCCTGAACCTCGTGTCCTTTCCACTTGGCTGTAACAATGGTCCCTTCCTATAGGGCTGTGTTCAGCTGGCTGCGGGCCGAAGCAACGTCTTGGCAACCTTCCACTGCCAGATTAGACAGCCTCTGAATGATCTGACTAGCGTCAGAGTACCTCTCTGCTGGCAGAAAGAGCTCGTGGTCTAAAGCAGAAGTGGTCAGCTGGTTGCCAGACAGAGCAGCACTCGTCTGATTATAAAGGCAGGTTTTAAAAATTAACCCAACTCGCCTGCTTCCATCTTATGGCTCCAATCCATAGAAACAAATGCTAAAGAAATTCAGAATTCTTCCTGATCTCGTCTCCTGGTCTCACTGAGTGACACAAGTGTTATCTGGGAGCTATCAGATTTTCCTCCCAGCTGAAACAACGCCAGCTTTGCCACCTCCCACCCTTGGCAGCCTGCAGAGCATAAATAGATGGGAGCAGGGAGCACACAACTGGGCATTGACACCCATGCAGTGGCTGAAGCAGACACAAATCCCTGCCAGCCCGGGGGCTCGTACCTGTTGTGCACCAGCTCAGCCATCAGTTTGAGGACGGGCGTCGTGCAGGCTGGGTCGTGGTACCAGAGCTCAATCGCCCGCTGCAGAATCGGCATGTAGGATGGGTAGCTGCAAGGGGAGAGCTAAGGAAGGAATTTCGGTGCTTTGTTTGAAGAAGAAAGGTCACAACTTTAACCAAAAGGCATGTTTTGGGCGCTGCATCCAAGCCTTGCAAAGCAGCTGGTTAACAACACGGAGGCAGAGCTGATGCTGCTTGCCAGGGTCTGCTTTAGCAGGGACAAATCTTAGGTTCACTGAAGGAATTGCACTTCTACTAGGACAAACCAAACCAAAAGGGTTGTGGACAAAAGGGGAGATGCACAAAATCTGTCAGTGCGGCAGACAGCTGACCTTCACCAGCTAAAGAGAAATCTGGAGTCCAGATTCCATGCTCTTTAAGCAGCGATGCTCTCATCAAGAGGATAAAGACACCAACTACCATGTGGCTTTAGTGAGCAAAACTTTTGTTGCTGCTGAGCTGCGCGTATCCCACGAAAAACCACTGGGTGTTACAAGTCAAATCTCTTCAGGGCCACTTGGAAAACCCCAAGGATTCAGCTTTGAGCGGATTTCTACGTTGACTTGGTTGCAGACAAACAAAGTCAAAGCTATTTTGGGGCTCACAGACAGGACACCGTGTACTAGAAAAGTGAAGATTCCTCTTTTCCCATCGCAGCCAGGATTTAGCAGGGAACACAGAGCATTTGGATGCATTCAGACGGAGCTCCCCCCACCCCAAAGGACAAGGTGGCTCAAGTTCACAGGCAACGAACGGAAGGATACATCCACTCAAAGAGCATCATGAAGCTGGTCTTGGCATTGAAGGCAAAGGCTATTCCCCTCAGGTCTCTCACCAAACCAACCAAAGTTCTCTGCGTTGCAAAAGAAGCGACACGTTAAAACATGACACACGAATGGATCTTTCCCTCCCCGGCTCCACCAGCCCATGGCCACGGCCCTTCCTCCCATCCCAGCAGCAACACGAGGTTTATGTGGTGGCTGCTGATCCCAAATTCGACAGTTCTTCCCCTTCAGTGCCAGAAACCCTCTTTAAGCTGAGCCAGCAGAGTGACAGCACTGGGGTATTTCATTCCCAGCTGGCTGAGAAGCCTCACAGCTTAAATTATGAACTAGATCCCAAGGAATACAGGGAACACCGCTGCTGCCCATCACTCCAGCCATCTACTTGTCCAACTTACTTTTGCCTCTTGTTCATTGAAAGTATTTGTGCTGAACATTTGTGCCACGGTCTCAAAGGCAGCCGTTAGGGGAAGCATGAACTGCTCGTACTGATCCTCATCTTCCCCTGAAATAAAAAAGAAATCAGGAGGAAATAGACTGCACGTCCCTGCAGATCTGCCTGTGCTGAGACACTCAAACACTGGTCACCCACGCAGCTGGAGACGAGGAGACCACGCTTCCAGACAGGTTATTTATCACCTCCAACATCCAACTTGCAGCACCCAAACCACAAAGTCGTCACTTTGCTCTGGATCTCAGGAAAAAACCCTAAAAAGTACCTAAATCCACCATGAGAAGACGCCCAAGTGCAGTGTAGAATGTAGTCCGACATCTCATGTCAGTCAGGTTAGACTGATTGTTAATGCCCAGGAAGGAAAAGTGCTCACTCTGCAAACAGAAGAGAGGACACAGGTTAAAGGGGAACCACTTGCTCGAACAGGCTCCTGCATTAGGGGCTGGGTCAGTGACTGATTCTCCTGTCTAATCCCCATTCCGTGCAGGGACAACCAAACTGTGGGTTGTCTCGGAGCAGGTGCCACCAGAGGGCAACATGCACCGCACCGGCTGCCCACGGAATTTCCCAGGACCCAGTGAGCAAGGAAGCCTTGCTTTCCCTCCAGATCAGAGAAACCATCTGTCCCTCTTACTCCTGTGGACCCTCCAGGTGCTACAGCTGCTGGAAATCAGCTTCTGCAGACAGATCCCTGGTTACCCTGCCGACAATCCCCACGGGAAGAGGCAGCCCCAGGGCAGTTTCTGGACCAGGACATGGGACTGTGCCAGTAAAACGTCCCCCAGATGAAGGAATCCAGTGCCTCGCCCAACCAGTCCACCCAAACCTTCTGGATGTGGTTGCAGGAGCCCTATCACCACAGCATCAGAGCAGTCAGTGACCACATGCTCCTAGAGGCGAGTCCTAAATCTGATGGGCTCTGCTGCTTGCTTCTGATCACACCTTCTGATGGTTTTGGTTTCAAGCCACTGTTCCAGATCCGCACAGGGAGCACCGTGCTAGCAGTGACCACGGAACAAGGCTGCTGTCATCCTCATTGCTGTGAATGACAGCACTCCCTCCGAATCAGGGCTTTTGGACTGAAAGTTGGGCATTAAAATTTGCTTTAAATTTCATAAACAGCATCAACTCTCTACCTGCATGTGCAGCCATATCATCTGCCTCCCACATTTCCCTCTGGAGATGGCTGTCTTTCGGTGAGAGCAAAGAGAGCCCCACGTTAACCCTTCTGGGATGAAAGGCACCACAAAATTACCACCTCTCAAAATTGAAGGGCAGGCTTTGAACAAACAGATGGGACAGAGATCCCATTTTCTAGAGGCTTCCATGGGTGTATGAAAGCATCTGGGAGACAGGTCAACTTCAAGAGGGTGTGCAGGTGTTAAAATTAGGGGATTACCTAAGCTGCAAGAAGGTCTGATGTAGTTCTCTGTGAGACAAGAAGCAGAAGGAGAAAGGACTTACCGTGTGATTGTTCAGCATGAACTGCACGGCGCTCAGCTTCACCAGCTTTCTAACACTGCTGTATGTACAGGCGGCGTTAAGGAAGCAACAGAGTCAGCAGAAAACCTCTCACAAGGCTTGCAGAGCACTTTCTGGGGCAAAACTGGAAGGGAACTTATCTCTATTCTATTAATATGTTCTAGGTTCTCTTCCATGTGTTTCAAGAGCAGCTCTTACCAGGCTGCAGAGGCGTGCAGTGACTGTTTTCATTTATTCTGGCAAGAAGAATAAGAAGGGTAGGCTATGACTGTGAGCAAATTAATGCTATGGATGGTGAGCTACAAAGCAATTGTGATCCACAGTAAAAAATCCTACAGTACTAGAGCCATCCACTGTAACACAGCACCTAAATAAGGCACTGACCAAGCACTTGCACTCTGTTACCTTCTCGCTACCCAAAAGGTGAAGGGGTTCAGGAATCTGTTAGGTGCAGAGTGCTCCTGAGCACCTGGGTTGCTCTTCCCTCGTGCTGCAAGCGTCCTGCACACCCAGAGCTCTTCCCAAAAGGATATCCAATGGAGAGGTCATTGAGCAGCTGCAGTGTCTTGGAGGTGATAGGCTCGCACCGACCCCAGTACTTCAGGTTGGTGATGCTACGGAAGAGGACAACAAGGAGGGGTCAGAGGGGTTTGCTCGGCTTCCCCTTTTGCTGTGCGGCGGATTCTTCCAGGCAAAAAGTCACCCAACATCATCAGCTCCACCCTCCACCGAAACCACAGACATCACAAGCCACAAAATATTGGTATAAAATCACTGTACTTACATTTGGTTGACTAGAAAATTATCCTTCAGATAATCTTCACTACTTGGGTCCCAAGCTACACTGGCCCATACCCAGGCCCTTGGAATTCTGTGGCACTCCAGGGCTGGTTTCTGCAGCAAGGGTAAGAGAATTCTGCGGCAGTGACTACATGCAGACGTATGCAATTCTGCACCTGCACCATCCACTGTCAGCTGCAGAATTCTAGTAGCCCTTGCTTCTTCCAGGAGAGCCACTTCACCCCTTGCGGATGCGCGAGGGTAGGCAAAGCCCCACGAGGGTAAAAGAGGGGGCGATGCTACAGAAATTAAGGGGGGGGGGCAGAGGCTGCACGTCTCCAGGCGCACGGCACTGGGATTTATTCAGCCCTGGAGCTAGTGAAGTGGTTCGAAATGCTGGTGGAGGCTGCCAAAGGCATGACAAAAAGTCAATTGATGGGTTCGGTCCAGAGGAGAGCTGCCAAGGAGCAGGCCGAATAGGGTGTCCAGCAGAATTTGAGAATTTTACAAAGAATTTAGGGGAAAAGGACTTGCGCTACTCTGGTACTGACCAGCACAATTTGCATGGAAAACCTTTGAAAGGAGCAGTCCCCTCCCCAGAGAGCTTTCGTGGCTGGTGATTGGCAACAGTCAAATGAACAGGGCACGAGTACTTGAGGCTGTCCCCTCTCTGCCTCTGGTTTTACTAAGCAGGCACTGGAAAAAGAATCCTTTATCCTGGTGTGCGGCTTATTTTTGTGTCTCCAAAGCCCAGGCTAGATCCACGATGGATAAATCAATCCCGGAGGCTGCGCGTGATTTAAGCCCCTGAGCACAGCCTGTAATTCTGGCGAGCAGCCAGACGTTACAAGCTTCAGACTCAACAACACTCCCTCATCTTCCAGTTTTCCTGGTAACACCTTCAGATAAACCCTGGAAGCTCTGGTGCCTGCAAGCAGGAACACTTACATTTTCCCTATGAAGACGCTCAGGACCATGGTCTCATCATTCAGCCCCAGCACCTCTGAGAGACGGCGGTACAGCTGGAGAGAAAAACAACACCAATTTATAAGCTGCCAACAACACAAGTAATGATCGAGGATTATTTGATTTTCACTCGGCCTCAAATTGCAGCTCCCAGCCCTGGGAAGGTGTAAACTCGGGGCTTTCCCATCCGAAGCAAAACAAAGCACAGAGATGCTCAGTGAGCTGGTGAACACCTGCCCTGATCACTGCTGCCTCTTTTTAAGAAGGTCACTACCCGTATCACTGGTCACAGCAGCTTCTAACACTGTTTCCAGAAGCTGGGCACTTGATTTTCCTAGGGAAAGGAGATGCATAACTGTGCTCCTCCTCCCGCAGCAGCATGCGGCACCTTACTGAGTTTGTCTGGAAGTCTAATCCCCTTGTCACACCGCTGCTCTGGAGTCTCCTGGGGGTGACAAAAGTCCACAGGCTACTGGAAGGGAAGAGAACCAATTTCTGCCACATGGACGTTCCCATTCTTTACATCATTTTTGAAGCATTCTGCATCTCTGAAGATGCAAAAAGGCATTCAGAGTCCAGCACGTTTACAACTACCTCATAATTACAAATATGGGTATTTATCTTCACTTCAGAGCTGAGGAAACAAGGCTCAAATGGAAAGGTTTGGGCTCCTCAAGTGTTTATGTATCAAGTGACTTTCCCGTGTACGTGGGTTTAAGGACTCGTTTGAAGTCACAGAAGGAACCAAGTAGGTAAAACCGAACCCAAATCTCAGGTTCTAGGCTACTGCCATAATCACTGGCTCCTTCCTCAGGCATACAGAGCACAAAGACAGCTCGGGGTTTGCAATAACACTGGACAAACACCTAGGAAACAGAGCAGACAAGTCGCAAATATTTCAGCCATCAAGAAAAGGAAACAAGTAATGCCACCTGCTTTCATTTTTTAAAATAAGTGGGGTTATTGCTGCACCTGGCGTGAAGACACAGAGGGAATTTACCTTGGAAGACTTCTGCACCTGATCTCCAATATAGATCTTGCGGAACTGCTCAAAGAAGCTGAGCATGGCAAGCTCCAGCTTCTCGTTCCCAGCCTGTGCCAGCCGCGAGTCCGTGAGGTTCATCAGCTGCAGCACCCTGGAGAGGGGAGGGAAAAAATCAGATGTCACTGCTGCTGGCCACAGGGAGAGCAAGGGGCTTCTGGCACACGGTGGTGCTTCCAGGCTGTGTGATTTTTACTTTCTGCACTGTTTTGGGGCAATAGCTGACAAAACTGACAACAAAACGCTGAGTAGGGTGCATTCCTTTTTTTTTGACAGAAATACAATATAAACAGATTTCTCTGAATATCTATCATATTTACTGGCACGAATTGTTACTGAAATACATACAAGATTTCACTATTTCCCCCTCAATAACTCATCAGCTACTTGGGAAGCCAGTGCTGGATGTTATTTGTTAGCCAGGGCTCACCAACAGGCCAACTCCCTTACTTTCACAGGTTAGCTTCTCCTTCTACCCTAGCTTCCAGAGCACAGCAATCAGGTTCTGGACTAAGAGGCATTCGGTGTGACTCAAGGTAGTTCATGCACAGTAAGCTACATGTTCCCACATCCACCTAATAAGGCTTGCACTGCAAAGGATTTACAATCCCCCAAATCCATCAGGTGTTAGAAGACAGCATAAAGTTTTAACAGCTATAGAAAAACTGTAATATTTGGGATATATTTTAGGACAAAGCCCATTTTGGATTACTAACGAGGAGAAAGACTCCCCCCCACCCCAGAAAAGAACCATCGTGCATTTAATTCTACTCCAATGCATGCATTTAAGCCCAGTATAAATTCCTTTTCCATGCTCTTCCCCTCTCATGGTCTTTCTTACAACCCAGACTTCCCAATTTAGTCAAGCTACAGCAGAAATTCGTGTGGCTCTAGCCAGCTGGCTAGAGCCAATGTCTTCTCTTCAGGATGGCCAATTCTGCATTCTTTTTTCAGTGAAAAGAGGGGAAGAGCATGGTGGCAGCTTCACGATAGCAATTCTTCGACTTCAAGAGTGGTGCAGCTAGAAAACAGTCAGTATCCCTACCGACAAACCAACTCGCCATCCATCGCATCCTGCTCATCCGTGCTGGCGAACGAGACCCTACCACCAATCACTGCCCCGATAATATAGACGAGCCACGTCAGGCGCCCTGAAACCAACAGAGGAAATCAGAACCAAGCACGTCACACAGTACAAGGAGGAAGCTGGGGAGATTTGCAGTTCAGTTTGGCAAAGATGGGATGCCCAAGGATTATCTTTCTGCTTTCGTGCCACCGAAATCACTCAGTTCTCCACTTGGTGGAGAGGAGGCACGGCTTTAATGGAAAAGGAACAAGAACGCCAGGTCTGCCTGCAGGATTTTCATTATCTAAAGCTGTTCCACTGCAGAAAGCCACTTTTCTTGCAAAAGTGCATTCTGTGCATTTAAACCCGTGGAGCTGCCAGCAGGCAGCGTTGTTCTTTCACCAAGCACATGTGGCTGATGGAGAAGTCAACGTCACACGGCGTTTTGCCCACACAATATTGCACTGCGTTAGCTCAGACACTATTGCTGATGTGCCCAATTCCTGCAAGGAAGGATAAGCCAGCTAGGTTATTAGAGAAGGGGCGTAACACAGCTATACCTGAGCCTCTGAAGGAACTGCTTCTGTAAAATTCCTAAACCAAAGAGGTGTGCAAGTACAAAACCTGCATGCAGAGCCCACCCAGCGCTGCAGACAGACACTCTCCTTCAGACACTGGCACCAGCTGAAAATCCGGCTCCCAGTTATTCATTATCGACCACCAGCTGGAGGTTTTTGCTGTGTAAGCAGTGGGGAGGTTCAGATGAGCACCCCACACCCTCTCTCAGCCAAAATCAGGTTGGGCAGGTGGTTGTGGACAACCTGTAGATTGGGCAACATCCTCCTAACTTCATCTGAGAGACTGGTCAAGGAGATGACTCAATAATTTCCCCCAGGAGTTGTGCAGTCAGCTGCAGGACAGCAACAACAGCTTCAGCCAGCGGTGCTGTGTGTGTTGGGAGTGTCTGTCCCCAGCCAAGGACACTCAGCACCATAAAGCACCTCCCCAGGGGAACACCTGCAAGATCTGGCTCCCCGTTGTACGGTGTTCACTAGGAACGCAGGCTTCTGGAGCAGTACTGTGGAGGACGGGCAACCCACTGCAAGCTTGCAGGTCGTTGCTCCCCAAACGAGCTCACCTTCTTGTACAGCAACATCCATGGGGCTGGCGGTGGCGCTCTGCAGCAGTTCCTGGTAGGATTGGGCCGACTGGTCGAAGAGCTGCACGAGCAGAGCGCAGGTTTTCTCGTACTCACACCGGCCGATGGTGGAGAGCTGATCCAGCTGCTGCTGGACAAGGCCGGTGTCATCCAGGGGATCCTCCAACCCATCCCTGTGCAGCAAGAAAGAAGATTAGAAAAGGAATTAAAACGCCAAGACGGCCTAGCCCGTAACATAAGCTTGTTTCTGTCTGGCTGGAGATGTTTTTCTGAGGCACACAGCAATTCCAATGAGGAAAGTCTCTGCCCCTAGCGTTTGTCGTGATGGAGAGCTACAGGCTGATGTAATAATCTGACCATTACCGGAGCCATAAATCAGAAAAACATGCGTGGTTCAGGTGGAAGGGCCATCAGGAGCTGGGATGAGTAAGCTCTCCTTACATCGTTATGTTTATCCAGATCTTTGAACAGAATGTGCAGAGCCAAGAGCAAGTTCTCTGTCTGGCTGTCTTTATATAACAAAGCTTTCCATCTCAATGCTTTAGTTTCCTTTTCCTCTAAATACATTAACCTCAATACTAAATGCTACTGTGATCACCAAAACTAAATAAACCTGCTGTTCCACCCATGCATTGTTAGACAGCTAAAAAGGGCTAAGTCGATCTGTCTTCCCTTGAAAGAGGCACTCACAGATTATTTTTCTATACTTGACCACTTGTTTTCATCAAATACACACAAACACAAGGTGGAACTCATCCCACACAAATACAGGCACTGCAGCAGAGTCCTCCAGGCTTCCTTTACACTCAAAGGAGGAAAAAAAAGAGGTACTTTTAGGTCTAATTTATGCCATCCTGCAGCAGATACCTAGGAATTAAGTGAATCATTTTGCATACTTATTCCTCTCTGTTACGATGGCAATTCAGAGTGTAAATGGCATGCTGCAGCTGTATAACACTGGGTGAGATGAATTCCGCCCATCTCCGAAACCACTCGGATCAATCTCAACCATTTTCGACTGACTAAGGTCTAAGGAAAAAAAGAAAGCTGTAAAAAAAGCACACATTTTCTTTTGTGTAAGACAGAGAATATGCAATCTAGGTAAGTCTCCCTGAAAAACCCCTCAGTGACTCACTAAACTTCCTGCAGTCACATCCATTTTGGAAAGACAACTCAGAGCAGAACAGGCTGGAGCCTTCTGCACCAGGTTCTGGCGCCTGCAGCAGAAGCGCTGCCATCTCTCTGCTTCCCTTACCTCAATATGATGTGCACAGATTCCAGTCTGGATGTGATGTATGCTTTTGTGACTTCTGGTGTGTATGTTTCCAGCATGTGAGGCTCTGTGGCTTTCACGTAGGGCACCGACGCTGCCAGCCGCTGCCACAAGCTCAGGAGATAGTGAACGCTGTTGGGAGCAAACTCCCAGTGCTACCGAGAGCAACAGAAAGAAAAAAGAAAGGAAATCAGCCACTTGTGACTTGGCTATTTTATGCACATTGCTTTGACTTACACAGCACGTACAGGGCATCATCTAAAAGCTTTAGGGATGCGGCTGCCAATTTTAACAATGAATTTCAGCACCTTAGTTCAAAGGGCAATCAGTAAGGAGTGAAGGATGCTGCAGGGCTGAGCCAAAAGTCTTTGGTCCCAAAGTACTGCTGAACTCATGCTGCAGACAGCTCCCCAGACAAAATGTATGCTTTAAAAGCATTATCCAGACACTGACTTTGTCAAATTTTAACATTTACATAAGCTATAACATTTTTTAGCCATATTCTGTGCAGTGGTGTGGTTACAAGCTATACACTACTGGAAACCTCAGTGGGAACATGGCATGATATTCCTATTACTAGTGATGCTGGCAACTGCATTTTAACAGTGAAGCGATACTTAATTCTAAAAATAAGCCGTTTTTTTAAACAAGTTGTGATTTTTTTTCCCCCTGCTAGGGCATGGAAAGACTCTAGAGGCATAGCAACCCTGCCTTCCCCCACACACTGTTCTTGTTCCATTCAGTAGGAATGCACAGTATAATCAATGCTACACTGCAGGATTCTGTCACAGATACCGCAGGGCTTTTTTTGGTTAAAACAAACAAAAATCGACAAATCTTCTGCAAAATAAGGGGCTAAGAATTGACAAAAGGGTTATCATTTTGTTTTAAGAGACAGCAGGGGGAATAAACACCCGCTGAGGGCAGAGGATTGTGTACCTGTAGGCTGGTCACGGTGAAGTTGGCGATGAGCCGGATGACCTCGGGGTAGTTCTCCACCTTCACCAGCTCTCCCAGCTGGTAATTGCTTTTCAATCGTGCCAGCAATCGGCAGAACTCATGGTAGTTATTTGGGTCTGACAAACTCTGAGAGGAGAAAAAAAGGAGAAGAATTTAGAAACAGCAACAGGAAGGGGCACGGATTTATGGTGGAACAGTAGAGAAAGGAAAAGAGCAGCAAGCTGTTGCAGCCTTCTCCCAGTGCCACAGCTGGGATGTGCATTAGGAAGTATTTTTGGTGAAGAAACTTGATGCAGAGGAAGCAGAGAATCCCACTGACTGCATCCAAAACACTCACCTGTGGGTTTTCCAGTATTCGTTTAACTCCATCAACAAGGTGAGATAGAAACTTTGCTCGTTCTGCATTGTTGAAGAGGGATCTGCGTACGGAGGCTATCTGCACTAAGCAGGATAAAACCTAAAAGGGGCAAGAAGAAAAGAGGGAGGGATTAGAACACTAAAATGAACACCAGATGCTTGCTTTTCATGACATAAATCATTTAAGTTCCATGCTCATGCCACACGTCAGCTCCTTCAGTCCAAAAGAGGACTTGAAACAACAGCCATCATCTTTGCAATTCTGTGCAGTCTGCATAAAAACGTAGATACAAATTACAGGAGGGATAAAAGCACAACACCCAGAGGAACAACATCTCTGTCCTGACAGTCAAAGGTGTGTTGCAAACTCTGCTACATGCCCCTAAAAACATTGAGATTTATTTGAATGAAGAACACAGAGCACAGAAGTCTAAAAATATGCTAGCAGAGGAAGGAAAAACGAGTCAATTTTACACAGACTTCGAAAAGCATTCGCAGATGATATGCAAGCCTCTGAAATTTAATTGAGAGCAAATTCCAAAGGTACAGGTGCAGGAGTGAATGGCAGGAAGGTGAACGGGGCCACGAATAGCAGAGAGAGGTCAGTTATGGTCACTGCTCTGCAATCCTTATCAGGAGGCAAAGCCCTTTCCCTCCGACCAGCGTAACAACTACCTGCCTCACCCTGAAGCCCCTTGTTCTTGGTGGATCTTACATTTAATGATCAAAGACTCGGGACAATTAAAGGCTTAATTGCTTCAGATTTCTGTTCAGTGACAAAAAAAAGTCTCTCGTGAATATCTGAGGCTCTAAATTCAGAATTAGCAAGTAACCCTTCCACGTAATGAGCAGTGCTGAGAGTCTCAGTGGAAAAAGTTCTTCTGAAGGACCCTTCCCTTCATAGCCAAAGGGCATGTTTTTGTTTTAACATCAGTTATGAAAAATATTTATCAGCTAGACAAATGCCCGGCAGGCAAACTCTTTTTTTTTTTTCCAAGAAGAAATAATAAAACTTTTAGTTCAGTTGTGCTGTTGGCCATTTCATCCAACTGGGACATGGCCTCGTTTTAAAGCGTGGAAAGAGAATTATGAATTACATTCCTCGCTTGTGCTCCCAGGCTTGGTACCTACTTGCAGCACGGTTTTAGGATCAGCTAAGTGGTACTGTGGAAATAACAAGCTGCAGCTCTCAAAAAGGGCTTCCTGGCAGATTTAGCACAGACTCCAGGCTACGCAAGGATAAAAGCAGCAGACTGGACTTCCAACAAACAAGCTGCTCTCAGGTCGCTTCCAAAACCTGCAGGTGCATGAAAACCAGCAGCAGTGGCAGAACCAGAGCAGCCTCCCCTTTGTCAGGGGATCACAGGGCAGTGCCAGCAAAAGAAAGGAGCTGTCTGAAGCCATCCTGTGACATTTTAACCACCTGTAAGCCTCCCAGGTGAATCCTACAACACCTTCTGGTAGTGGAATCGGTGAGGAACGTAAACACTAGACTTACCAGAGGAGAAAACGAAGGAGGGATGGAATGATAGAGGTCAAAAAACAACTGAAGGGTCGAAGAATCCAAGAATGCTGAAACAGAATGGAGCACTTTACTGACAACGCATCCTTGCACTGCTTTCCACACACCTAATGCTCATCTGTCCAGATTAAGAATGGTGTACGTACTCGGCACATAAAGGACTACACTCAAAGAACATTTCCAAAGGATTTTACATTTTTACATAATTAAATTGGCTTTCCCAGAAATGAACTTAACCCGTTGGTACTAAGATAAAATTACAGGAGAGTATTTTTAAAAAGCAATTTGTAAAACTGCCTGCAAAATGACTGGTGAGAAAAGCAAAGACGTAAAGAACAGGTCCTGAGTTACTATTTATATATTTTTTTTATATATATATATAAATATGTGTGCGTATTTTAAACAATTTACTGTTTCTTGAATTGGCAGGTTAAAGACTGAAAGGGTAAAGGAGCATTTGTGCAGTTCATGATAGGCAACTCACACTGGACTGCGTTTGTAAAAGCTGGACTTTACATCTGGCATCGTATGCAGAAGTTTAAGTAAAGAGAAGGCTTTATCAAGTCAGCCCAACTTCCAGCTGATACGCTATAGATTAGCCCTCTTCCTCCAGCAAGGTTACCTGATCTCCAACTGGTTGGGATCTGCACTGTGCAAAGATCATCTGAGGACTCATCTGTTGACGTGCCAATGAAATCAAAGTTCAGGCAATTATGCGTGAGCTTTAGAAGCTGCATAAGCAGACCGTGCTGGCTTTCATCATTCAGGTTCAGGTTCTTCCCAGAAGCCTGTAAAATACGGTGGATTAAAGAAGTGAAAGTAAAAAAAAAAAAATCAAGTGATGGCTCAGAGTGAGGCACTAACTCACATCAACAGGATACAGCAACCCTAAGGATCATATGCCACAGGCACCAACCCAAATTTTTATCCCATATTTTTACAGACATGTATTATCTACATGCTTTGCCTTTACGCGAGATGGATAAACTCAGTGCTTCCTTCTTCACTTGGTTTGCACCACACAGCAGAGAGGCAGCCAGGCTTGCCAGCTTGCACTTATACCACGAGATTCACGAGATAAGGAAATTCTTATTAAGGTTAAACAGAAGAATACATTTTCTGCTTGACAAGCACTTCACAGCAGGGAATCCTGTTGCTCCACCTAACCCTCAGATGGAAATGAGCACGCTCACTTCTGTTGCACAGCTGATCTGGGTAAGCCCTGCTCCAGTTACAGCGCTCTGCTGGGGACGGGGAGAACTTGAATTCTCTCAAGTGACACAAAGAGCTCAATGGCCATGAAACACGAGGTCCTTTCACTGCAGCTAAGATGCAGCACTGAGGTCTGCACTCCAGGGCCAGCCTCTCTGTGCTTTGTGTCACTGCTCTGGGCCTGAAACAAAGCAAACTTCTCACTTAAGTCTACTGCAAATAACATCTTGCATCGCACTGACACTGCCAAGACCCGTGCCAATGGTCACTGGAATGTCCTCCTCGCCCCCTCCACAAAGAGGGATTCTTCTGGGGCTGCCTAGCTGCACGTGTTTTATGGCTGCTGCTACAAACGTGCTCAGTTTGTAGCAGCCCAATCCATCACCCTCCCCACTTCAACGGATCACCTTGGAAACTTCTGCTTTATATAGAGAAGAGAGAGAGCTACCAGGAGATAAAAGAACGAACTCGGGTGGTTGGTGTTTAATCACAGGAAACAAGGATGCTGCAGGAGACAACAGAAAACATTCCCACCTGCCTTAGGCTGCTGCATCCCAAGAAACAAAAGCAGGAGGATTGAGGGTGGAAAAACAGAGGCTTCTTCCTGAGCCAAGCTGTGGATTTCAGCTAGAGCTACACGTATAGGGCAGCAGAAGTGCAGTGCTGGGGACAGCAGGCTAAAAAAGCCTGGCTCACGCCTCCTGGCTGAGCACAAGCACTTGGGGGAGTTTCTCCAGCCAGTCTGGGCATTTCTAGGATGCTGCCCTGCCATATAAATACAGGCAAGTCTGCACCACAGTCCTTCCCCCAGCTGAGCCACCTCCTCAGGTGCTTTGTTCCACAAAAGCAGAGGATTCCCATTACTTCTGGCACCTCTAATTGATCATCAAACGCATCCGAAATAAGCCATCGAATTCAAGTTACTGGAGCTGTTATGGTTCAGGAGGATGCGTGCACAGGGAACAAAAAGCAGCAGAACTGTACAAAGCCTTGCTTCCTTTGTGAACCAGGATAAAAAAAAAGAGATCAAATTACACCCACACACCCACCTCTATTACTGAGGGAACCAGGGCTGCTCATTTTGAAAGATCTTTAAAATAAAATGTGCTTTTCACTCTTGTGTTATTTGTCCAATTTGACACTTCACTCGGCTGGAAGGATAAAAGTTAAACTAATCCAACCTGTGCAACTGCTGCTACGTTTACTGGAGTAGGCTCTCCCATAAAGTGCTGCTATAGAAGGCACCCTTAGAACCTTGAGATGAGCTTCTTAGAAAAGAAACGTGATGCACGAGCAAGAATTTTCTTTAGATACTCTGCCTGCTAACAAAACATACGTGTGCTCCTGCAGCTGGAATATTGTCATCTGCTTCCAAGGTAAGTTTTCTGAAAGCAAGTCAACTCGGTTGATAATTAGCATGAGATAAAAGCATGGTGAACGCAGAACAGCCGAATATTTATCAGGTGTAAGAAGATCAAGGATGATCTTCAGTCCTCTCTTCACTTACTAAACACATCTTCACAAGTATTTTTCTTCTCCCACCTATCTGGGTTTTAAACCAAAGTCTTATTTTACAGGAAACCTCTTGGCCAGTATTGTAAGTCATAGATACCTTGAAGTGTAAAACAAGCACCTCATCTCTCTCCTGATTTTTTAAGCCAGGAAAGTTTAACCCAAGCCTCATGGTGCAGACACATACGTTCAGTCAAAATCTTTGAAAATATTTACGATATCTCCATATTTGTGTGTTGTTTCTTTTTTCTTCTTTAATATAATCCTCAAAGTTTTCCTGAACAGCAGCTTCAGGACATTGGCTTTTAAAACAAGAGTGCTCATTCCAAGAGTTTTATTACAGGTAACTTCAACCCAAAGTCTGACACCCCACCACGCAGCCCCCAAGAGAGGTGACAAATGACAGTTTCCTTACCTGTTTCAGTAAGTTGCATGACAGTGTGAAAATATCAAATAAAGACGAATCTCGGAAGGAAGAGGCTATTTTCCTGTGCTTGGTCAGTGGATGAGTAGTGTCAGCCTGAGCAGAGAGAAAACCAGCGCTTAGAACTGATGTGCAGAGCTGGAACAAGACCGCAGAACATGCAGGAACCCTGTGGAAGCACTGGGACATCAAGGTTTCCCTCTCCAGAGTGAGATTACACCAGCTGGCTAAACCAGGGGGACGTATGATCACTGTGGCATGTGTTTTGGCTCCTCCACTGCCCTCAACTCTTCCACGGGTGACAGCACACGGCTGGTTTACGATGGAACGTTCCACCTAAAATATTTACAACACGGTTCCACTCTATTCCTGACAGAAAGCAGGTTTGCTCTACTCTCAAATTCATTTAAATCTCTTCTAAAGAGAGATTAAAGGGAGTGTTTCCAACAGAACTTAGTCGTTTAGAAACTTGAGCACTGCTTTCTGACGTGCTCTGAGCTCTGGAGAGTTAAATCCTACCTGAAGCCGTGGGGCAGACACACGGTCACCTACTAGCAATTATAAGGCCACTTACATTGCCCCTCCTGAACCTGCACAGAGGAGAAGAAAACTAGAAGGAGAGTTAACCAGTGACAGGCAGTTTGGACTTTGTCATTTCTATTACAAACCCCAGTTCTGGACCTCTCACCGTATCAGAATACAAAAGATGAGATGATTTAGGAGGCAAATACACACCAGGTTGCTTTCCAGAGGGTAACAGAGTCTTACAGCGACTCCATCAACGCATTCTAACCATGGGCTAAGGCTCCTGAGAGCACAGGTTACGTCACCTTGGAGGCTGCTTGCTGGATTGAAGAGCAAAATGATACTCTGTCTGTCTGAACACAGGCTGGTAAAATTCCACTCGCCCAGGCTGAGTTATTTGAAGGGCAATCAGTTACTGCAGCGCATCTGGGATAGAGCATGAAGGGCTTAGAGCCCGGCAGAGATGCACAGAACTTGGATCTTGTTTGTTTATGCCTCTGTTTGCAAGGAGGAGGACGGAGGCAAACATCCTCATCTTTTGTGTTATCGATGAGAAAGAGAGGGTCTGCTCCTAACTGAGAGCTGGTGGCAGATCGGAGCTGCACCTAAATCTGTCAGATGATTTCTTGGAACTGAATTATCAGTCCTCAACTGATGCGATTAGATTTCAGGGTCTTTAAGGAAAGGAGTGCTGTTTGCTGTCTCCCATGGTCATTACAAATCTCACATATTTCTGGGCTTGCAACAAGCATTTCGCTTTTCTTCACGACGAGACCACATGACATAAATCAGTGAACTTCTACAATACTCAGCACACCTCCAGGCAAGTCTGTGCACTACGTCAGGAGGAAAACTGGTGCTCCAGAACAGCAACTAGCACACTATTTCGTGTGTGCTGAGCTTTTAAAGCGTGAGCGTTAGTACACAAAGCTCTAGCAAACTTCACTCTCGTGCAATTTAAAAAGAAGTTTAAATAACCAGAAAAAGCTTGAGGATAAGCCCCAGAAATTATTATTTTTTGCTACATACGTGTACACGACCCCACTCTGATGAGTAAGCACGCTGGCAGAGCTATTGTTTTGCAAGTAGTGGCAGTTTGAAACATTCCAAGATGAGTCACTGCATCCAGCCCCGTGCAACGGCTGGCACAAAGTGCATTTAGGAATGAGTAGTAAACTGTGGCAGATCTAATAGCCAAAGTATTTGATCAAAAATCTCTTCCTAAATCTTTAAATTCACTGCTTTTTTTTAAAAGTATCAATCTGAAGAGGCTCTGGAACTGAAATAGGAGTGTTTCTGCAATAGTTCTGGTGTGAGCAGAAGTTGTAGCCCTGTACAAAGATGCTGGCAGATGAATGCTAACTTACAGGGGTAAGCAGACTTGCTTCCATCATTTATGCACTGGAAGCAAAGGACCCCAGCTCTCTGTGGAGATGAAGTGAGGATGGACGAAAGGCTGGGCAAGGGAATTGTCACAGTAAGGAGACGCGGCGTGACAGGGAGGAGGGCTGCAGGTTTGGATTTACTGATCAGGCCAGGCTTAAAGAATAAAAGCAAATTTAGGTCTGAAACGGATGCAGAAGCCATTCAGATTACAGTGAAGGGCTTGGGAAGCTCAAGGATGCTGAAATTCATCAATTCCAGCAGGAGAAATCAGTGTTTTGGCCTGGCCGGGACAAAACCTCCTCCAGCATCTCCATTCCTGGAGCTGTAAACGATTTGTAATCATCTTTCCAATCCCACACAAGGATCTCTCCATTCTGATGCCAGGATTAGTCAATTTATCAGCAAAAATAAGAGATCAGCCTCCTTAGTAAGATATCAACTACACAAAAACCCGTTCCTCTTTGCAAAATTAGGAGATAATTGTACAGCTGGTAACCCGTACAAACTTCTTAGGGCAGTGGTAGCCATCAGTGGTGCTATGACAAAGGCTGTGTCACTGATTCAGAAAGTGAGGTAAGCACCAAGAAAAGCCACTTATTCCAGTTTTTAAGATAAATACTGGGAGGCTGCATCACATCAGAGGTAAGCAGCCTGCAGAGAGGCTCCTGCAGCAACAGCCAGCACCACCAGGTGCTCAACCCCGACAAGTTTCTATTGTCTGAGGACTGTCTGCTGGGAACACCATGAAATTTAGTGCGGGATGAAAAGGCTGCTTTAAAAACCTCCAGTTTGACAAATCCTCTTTGTTTTATCTGCCTGGTCAGGACCGAGGAGGGGATGCTACGTTCACTTCTTGGCAGAAGAATGCTGCGAGGTGAAACAATGCACAGGGGCTGACAACTGGAGGTGCTAATGATGCCCTCATGCTTGGGACTTGGTCCTCACTAGGTAGGCTTGACTGACTGTGCAGCGTTGTTCCCTCCTTTTTGGTCTCAGAAGGTTACATCCAAGCATGAGAGAAGATGGAAGATGCCAGTGAAAAGACAATTCCTCAGGACAAGAGGTTTCAGCATCTTACCACACAAGTAAATGATTGTGTAAAAAAAAAAAAACAACAAAAAAACACAAAAACCCCACAGCAACCCAAAGCGCCTACTACACAACACCCCCGTCCAAAAACAACCCCCAAAATAAAAGCAAACAATGCACAGACACAGCAGGACACAACAATATGAATGAGAAAATTGGACACTTACTTCACTGAGGAAGGCTGTAGCACTTACTTGATTAATTTCATTAGTTAGTTGGGACAGGATTGTCACTCCTATGATGCAGTGCTCTACACTATCCTGAGGAAGGAGAGGACAGGGAAAGGAGTTAGTGGTGGGGTGTTTTCTTTGAGCTTCGCAGTCGTTCAATGGCTTTTCTGTTTGGAGGATTTCTAGACATGTTTCTCTACTAGAAATGCTTTATCCTTGTAGTATTATGAGTGGGAAAAAGCCTCGGAGCAATACCAAACAGAATTTAAATGTGCTTTTGAAATGCTTCATCCTCATTAACAATGCAAAGGTTTCTAAAGAATTTGGTAACACGAGCGAACAAAAATAGACTTTTAAAATTGCTTAATCCACATCTTTTCAGGGTTGGGATATAGCACAAAAATTTGTTTACTTGTTAATCTTCTTTTTAAAATTAGTTTGCTTAATTTTAACAGAGGCTGTGGTAAAACATGCAAAAACTTCTGCGGCTTCCCGATGGTCCAGATGCCCCACTACTAAAGTTGCCAGATGAAAACTCTGGGAAATAAACTTTTCTTTTTCAACTACAGGCCTTGAACAATACGAGGAGCAGCTGACCAAGATTCGCCACACACCAGCCCCACGACCCTAGAGCTGAAAGGACACCCTATCTCCCAGTGAAGGGAGTCCATTCTTCGCAGCCCTTTCAGCCTCTGGCTTCACTCGAGACTGCCAACAAGGGCCCGATTGTGAGATGAGTCTGTTACAGACACCTCTTCACTCGAAATGGCATTTAATTTATCAAATGGTTTAAGAGGAACAACCTGTATTGTTCCTTTGCCCCAGTTTCTGTGCTGTAGCTAATAACTGTGGTTTTTTTTTTTGTTCTTTTTCTCCTAGTTCAACCTTCTGCTCGAATTGCCCTGATCTCTTCTCCAATTCCCAAGACTGAACTCACCTGAAACAGGGAAATTCAAGAATATTTAGGCTTGCAACCTTGGCTACTTCTTTACGGCAGCCATCTCTTGATAACAGCCTTAGTACTTACATGGTATCTACACAGAAGCCACTGGAAAACCTTGCTGAGCCCATGGCTGAAAAAAATGATACATCCTCCTGCCCACTAGTAGCCCCAAGAGGTAACTTGAGCACACAGGAACAGAAGGGAGCATGATCTTTGAATCATTTAACACCTTTTAGATGCTACTCACTGCAAACAACTTAAAATTCTCAGAATTAAAGCCTTGTGCACAATGTATCTCCTTTTCCACGCTTGGAATTTCTGGTTATTTCATCCTCTTTTGGCGTATTCCTCCAACTTTCTATTTTGGTTAAAATTTCGGAGCAAATAAATCAGCATCCATGCTGTCACAGGAATTGCTGATCTCTCTGGAACCAAGTTTCAGTTTGGGGAGAGCTGTTGATAGGAATAAATCATTCTACCTGCACACTCCTTTGGGTCGGGAACAAACCAGCACGTAGATCTATGAAACCACAGCCAAGACTTCGAAAGAAAGTTGTTCACAATACCATTTGTGGAATGGGCTAATTTTAAGCTACATTTTGTTATGGTAACTCAGATAAAAAGCCGCTTGCATGACGTATCACTGCAACAATCAATGAAAGGAAGTCAGGCATGGCACATGCTGCTCTTGCAGACAATAAGCCCGTGTGTTTACCATTTTGCACCGCTCAGCACGGTGTATTTGAGGGCTTTAGAGGAGAGTTGTGCAACTGGAACACTAAACTACTTTTCTCATCGTTGAATACTAACGCTGGCACTTTCCAGAAATAAATCCCTGCCCCACCAAGCTTTAAATTCTGGCAACTGGCAGGATAGGTCAGTTTTGAGCTTCTTAGCCATAGGAGTCATTACTCAGCCAAGGACAGGAGATGAAATATTGGACAGAGGATTCTAAGGTGCAAAACGATAATTGAAAATACATGAACTTCCACATCCCACAACACGTGTATTCGTCTTAAATCCTGACCTGTAAAAACCTTGTGACGTCTGTAATCACGTTCCTGAAGACATATTCATCCTTCTGACAGTCAAACCAGCCCAACTTTGTGATCCTGGCATACAACTGGATTAGTGCCTGCGTGACAAACGTTGCCAGCTTTGGCCTAGTGGCAAGGTAGTTGAGCACATAGTTCCCTGAAACACAGAGAAGAGGTTTAGCTGTAGACAAAAACACTGCAGCTGGAGCCGAGAGGTTAACGCTATTAGGAGAAAAGTATCTTTCTGAAAGCTGTTTCAGAAAAAAATCCAAAAAACAATCATCACTGCAGACAGATGAAAACGTTGACCTTCTATTTATGCCTTTCTTTAAGGCACTGGAGCTGCGGGACAAATCTGGGATGAGGTCAAAGACAGGTATGAGCTCCTCCCCAAAACCTAACTAATTCTGTATTACCAGATTAAATCCAGCCCTCTGAATGCACGTGTAAATAAGAAGAAAAGCTGAAAAGGTTTACAAGACCTCTCCTCAGGGATGATCATTTATCACATCGCTTCTAAAAATGAAAGCAGGCTGAATGGCATTCAGACTCCTTCCTTGGAGGAGAGGAAGCATCAGTCATTCTCCAGGAAAGAGTGCTGTGACAGACCGACTGCTCCCTTAGGAAATACTCTCAATGTTATTTCAGAGAGCCATAAAGGATTTTCAGTTTTGAAAGCATGTCCTCAGAAGGGGAGAGCACCATGCATATTTTACCTTCCCCAAGAAACGTTACGAAGATTTATTCACAAGCCACAGGGCTGTCGTTCCCTTACATCTGGAAGAACTCTAGGTCTTCAGCCTTGAGCTCTGCTAGCTAATAACACAGAAGATGACACCTAAGAAAAATGTTTCTTTTCACTCCATACCTTGGGATGCCCAAACCACTGCAAAACACAGTAGGTTGCAGAAAGCCTCCCACTTGTGGCTGAAAGTGTGTGCAATAATCATTAGCATTCATTTGGTAAGAAAAATTAAGTCTTGCACTTACGAATATCTATTCGCTGCTCCAACGGTAAGGGGTTGTTTGTGCGTGACACGAGCTTCGTAAGGCATGTAGCTGCCAAGAGCTGGGAGTAGGACGACTGTGGAGAAAAAAAAGTCATTTATTGCACATTGCAGAACAAGGAGATCAAGCAGCAGTGGTGAATGTTGAGCTAACTGCTCGCTGGAAAGTCGAGTTTAAGACATTAGTTTAAGTCTAAATCCTCTACACAGTGTTTATTCTGTTTTTGCAGACACTAAAGTAAACCAAAACACTCAAAGAAAGTGCTCAAGAAAGGAAAAGCTTATGAAGATAGGAAGATAATGGAATTGAACCCAAGCAGAAGCAGAACCCGAGCAGAACAAGGCTGGCTCCAGGAGCACAAAGCAGGACAGGCAAGAGCAATTCCTGCTGCACTGTGGGGCAGCATCTCTTACAGGGTATTTATCTGAATGGAATAACTTTGGGAAAAACAAGCACTCCTCCCTGCAAACAAAAATCCTGCAGGCTTTATTCTGGCAGCTTTCAGGTAGCCCTGGTTCCCTAGAACTGCAAACCTGGTCAAATTGCATGAAGTCAGCTAAAACATCATGCCCAAAAAAGACTATTAGCACTCTGAGTCATAGCAGTATGATCCTATGCATTAAGAAGCACTTATGACTTCCACCTGATTACTAAATACAGGTTAAAATGTATTTCTTATGGAACAGCACACGGACTGGTGAACTGTCACCTAATTCAGGGACACAAATGGTGGCATTCAACCACCTAAAACCCCTGGTTGCAGCCGATTCCACCAATTACAGCCTGGGAAATGGCAAGGGTTTTGTAGGCTAATTTCTGTGATATGTGGTGTGGAAAGCACAGCATCCAGGATGCAGGAAATCCACTTATTCCAGCGCTTCCAAGGACCGTCTGGTATGGAGCCAGACTTCAGAAACTTTCCTAAAAAAAATCATTTCTCTTCAGGTAAACTGATTGCTTAGCTCCCAGAAGAGTTTCAAATCCACTTGTTTTAAATTGATTGAAGTTCACATTTATTTTTCACTCCAAAGAAATCCAAAAAACTTATAGAGAATTCCTTATAATAAAAAAAACAACTCTGCTTTGTACAAGTTTGCCAAGCCTGTGAAGTGTCACTCTTCTCCCCCTCCCTTCACCACCTCCTCCTCCTCCTGGAGGACTGATTCTTTCCGACACTCTGCTTAACGTCTCCTATTTTTGTGACCAAGCTGATCGATAGGAGAGCTGGGCGCACGTTCTGCCAAAAAAATCAAATCTTGAAAGATCTCGTGGCAAAGCAATTCAATTATTTCTGCTGGAACTAAGTAAAAATCAAACGGTCACTTAAAAAGAAGAAAAACTTTCTGCTTTTAAGTTAGGGAGGATTTACTGCTGGTGGATTCCTGCATCCTGCTGCTGGTGGATTCTGGTTCCTCTCCGATCCCACACTTTCTTTGGCAGAGATGCCCACAAACAGAGATAAAAGCCCTCGAGTGCACTGGGTGTGCAACATAAACCCTGCACACCACACCTGGGGCCAGTGCCCAACACACCATGGTCCATTTTGCACAGTTTTTTTTTGTTTTACATACACTCCCTCTCTCCAGAAGAAGCTGGCACTTGCTCAGGCAGTCTGGGCTGTTGGTGAACTCAACCAAGGCTTTCTCTGCCTGGAGCCGTGTCGCAGTGTCTGTGGTCTCATAGAGCTGCTTGCACAGGTTCTCTAGCTGGGCTAGGCTCTGGAACAGAGAGAAAAGGGAATTAGAAGCGAGGTTTCACAGCTTGTTTATGCAATAGTTTGACCCAGGTTCGACGCACGTAGGCACACGTGTCATTTTACCCTTTGTGAAAAGGAAAACACTTGACTCACTTTGCTCCTGGATCTCCAAAATGTATTTAACCTGCTAAATTAGAAGCTTGGGAACTTTACAGCCACCTTTTTACGCCGGACAAAGCACCTCGTTGCCTCCCCACCACCGCCTGGCCCTAGGAGAAGGAGCTCGTGCCCAGGGTCTGCTCTCATCCTGCTCGATGGCATCACAGCATCCTGAAAATCCCCCCTCACTGCCTCGTTTTTAATCTCATACAGCAGCAAAGCCCTGCTGAGCCCGGTTTGCATCCCCTCTGCAGGGCACCGTAACAGATTTCAGCATCCCAGGATGCTGGAAGGAGCTGACGTTCGATCTTCTCCACCACACACGCCAGAACGACCTGAAGCAGAGCAGAATAAATGAACGAGGGGACGGATGCCAGCGAGCAGCGTCTCCACGAACATGTCAGAAGGAAATAAAACCACCGGGCGGCTGCTGTGTGCTCAAACCACTGGAAAATATTCGCCATAAACCGTGATCCAGGCAGATGGTTTCCCCCAGCGGAACCTGAGGTGTCCTAGTTTAAGAAGTGGCTTTGCAGATGGATGCGAAGCCTCCCCGGGGTTCTGGCTGCTCGGTGAACACGCAGGTATTTTTCATCCCGGGTTTCCAGGGGTAGATCATTGCAAGAGTACCCGAACTCCTGTGCTTTGGGCTTCTTTGGTTGGAAAAAGGGATTCCAAACACAGCCAGCCCTGCTGCCAGGACGACCGTCAGACAAGAGGGAGTGTTATAGGAGACGCAAGCAGGGAGTTTCTGCAGAAGTTTCTGTACCTTGCGTTGTATTCAAGAGTTTCGTTGGGTTTAAAATGTAATTTCAGGGAAAATGGTGCCCTGTGAGCTCCGTTGCTCCCGAAAAAATAATCGATGTCCCGAGAACAGAAGCAATGGGGAAGGGGAGCCACCTGGACAGGAGCCCAGGAGCTCTCTTTTGGGGTTAACGCCGCCCCAGAAAGCAGAAACAGCCTCAAGGGGCTGTTTAGACAAAGCCCAACTCCATCTTTTATAAGGACTGCAAACACATCCTTCTAGGAGCACGCAAGCATCCTTCTAGGATCCCTCTGGTGATCTCTGCCTGGCTGTTTTTTTTCCTGGAGGGATCCACAACCTGTGATAACAACTGGGACCGGCTCCCAGCCCAGGGCAGCGAGCAGGGCGATGGATTTTTGGCCCCCAGCCTCGTGCTCAGCAGTGCAGCAGAGCCGAGCGTGCCAAGCACCACGCAGACGAGCTCAGCGGGCACCGGTTGGCTTCTGAGAAAACCCCAAAGCCAAGGATTTCAGCTCCTTTTTCACAGAAAAATCTTCCCTAGGTAATGAGCACGTTTGGGGGACAGAAGTCGTTCTGCTGGCAGCGTCCTCTGCAATTAAAGGCTTCCAGAAAAGCATCACAGCATCCTTCGGTGGTGTTTTAGCCCTGCTGAAAAAAAAAAAAGGACAAATAAAATGGAAAAAAAAGAGGAAAGTCCCACGGATGACTCCACTCTTTCTGCTGGAAAGGGAGCTGGGAAGCTGGTGGCTTACAAACAGCTCGCAGGGAGGCGTCAGCTCAACAGCAGCAACCGAGAGCGGAGCTGACACCTCAGGAAAGAAAATTGTGGTTTTTTTTTTCTTCTTTTTTAAGAGCTCTTTGCACCGAGTTTTACACCACCCTGATTTAACTCCTCGAGCAGCTCAGGCAGAGGATTGTTGCTCCGTGGCACTCGTCCTGTGTCCCCCTGCGGGCAATCCTCCAGCTTGCTTCGTGCTTCTTCCTCGCGGTGTCCCCCAAAACGCAGCTGCAGGGCACTGAGCATCTTCGGGCTCATGAAGAGAAGTAGCAAAGCCTACGAGGCCGCTTCAAAGGGCAGTCCTGGGGTCCAAACGCAGAGCTTTCACCCATTTTTTGGGGCTGTGAGGAGCCATTTCATACGCTGCACTCCAACCGAAGCGCTCTGACGGCAGCCTTCAGGCACACCTCCCGGGGACGTCCCACCAAGAAGCTGATTTTCTCCCGTCCATCCCGCTGACAGGCAGAGGCGCTGAGCTGTGGCCACCCCATTTTGGGTCTGCAAAGCTCCATTTTCAGCACATTTCAATATTACAACGATGAAAGCAGCCGATTCCCTTCTTCTCCACCCCGGGGGCAGAACTCGAGCCACCTTCGCTCCAGCATCCAGCTCCCAAATGCCACAGACGGTTGGGGCAGCACGGAGGTGGGGATTATTTCACTACAGAGACCACGCTGTCCCTTCTCTTCCAGCCAAGATAAAAAAAAAAAAAAAGGCATTTAGAGTAACGACTGTGCAGGGCAAGAGCCCTGCGTGTTGTAGATAAGGACCAAGGCATGAGACAGCAGAGCACGGGGCACGCAGAAACGCTCCGGCACCCCGCTACGGGTCTAAAAGGCGAGGCAAAAAGAAGAAAAAAGCACTAAAAGCAATCACAAGTAACCCAAATTCGAGTTATTCACTCTTTTCAGGATGAGCAGCTCGGGAAGTTTATCAAGCAGACTTCGGGAGCCAGCTGGGAAGCTGGGTGCTCGCACCCAGGGGTGCCCAGGCAGCAGGAGAGCCATCGGGGCTGCTCTCCAACTTCACCCCGTACCCAGGCTGAAGAAATCCAGACCCAAAGGATCCCAACACTTTTTCCTGCCATACAGGGCGGCTTTTCCCACACAGCCTTTTCAGCTGATGTTACAGAGATCAATTATTAACTTCACATCCACTATTTTAACATTAAATGCAGTTTGGGATGATTTTACCCTCCGTTTCTCCAGCCAACCTGGGTCGAGAAAACAACTGACTCAGGGTGCCAAAAATAAAGGAGAGAGAATCTTCCCTTGTAGGTCAATTTACCGCGGCTATTTATAATGAAATATTTGTGCTGCTGCAAACGGAAGTCAGACGGGTTTGTGTCCCTACCAGAAAACAAAAAAAACCCCAACAAAAACCCCCTCGGTTTGTGCTCCGTCCCCCCAGGCTGCAGCGCAGCCCCGCCAGGGCAGGATCTCCACCAGCACAACGCAAAATCCACAAGATTTTACCCAAACGTGATGGTTTTGTACGCAGAAGCAGCGTTTTTCCCACCAGCTCTGGTTATCAGAGCCTAGCCAGCCTGAGGAACGATGAGCACAGCTTCCTCTCCCTGTCCTCCTGGCAGCAGGAGCTCGGAGGAAGGGTTTTGCTGCAGACCAGCGTCCTCCAGAGCCGCCGGTTGTCTTCTCCGCCGGGCTCAGCACCATTTGTTCTCCTCCCCGGGTGAGCAGGGACACCTACGAACCCTGCAAGATGTTGCTGCTGCTTCCTTTAATGTCAAATGCTGGGAAGAATTGAGTCTTCCCCTCTCTGGCATCCCCTTTCTAAGATCTCTTGCCCACCAAAAGTAGCCGTGAAGCTCGAAGCGTGGAAGAAAAGCAGCCCATCAATCTCATTTATGCTACAAGCTGCAAATAAAACTCAGCGCTGCTCCGTGTTTTCCCCATGGTGAAGATAAACAACGCGTGATCATCTTTAAAATGATAAATACCACGAGGAGAATAACAGCTACCTAAAAGGAGTCCCTGGGGGCCGGCTGGGGAATTGATCTTGTATTACACGGTTGCTTAAGCAACGCTCTTTACATCCACGGGCTGCAACGAGCTCGAGGCAGGTTTAGTTGAAGGGAGTTTGCCTTCGCCACGCTGACAGTTCCCATTTCAGCAAATTGAGGAACCGCACGCCGTGCTCGGCACGCTCAAGATGGCAGAGCCAGAAAGGAGAAAGGAGCGAGCCCCGATGGCTCGGGGGAGGAGGAGAGCGAGAGGCGAGCAGGTGCTGACACCAACTGCTCCGTTTTAGGTGTAAGATCGACCCAAACTTCGCTGCTGCCTGCTGGTTTTTATCCCGAGGGATGTAAGCTGCTGTGAATCCTCCCGACGCACGTTGTTTCCACGCCGTTCCTTCTTCCTGCCTTCTGGTTAGCGGCTCGCTGAGCCAGGGATCCTGCAACATGTTCCCTGCGGTTATTTTCAGCACACTCATCCCTTCCCGTATCCCCCGTGTGTTAGAATCCCAGCCAGACCTGCTGGGAAAGCAGAGGGCACTCCACGAGATCTGTGCCTCCTCCATCACCAGGAGCACACAACGGGCACCAGAAGCGGAGTCATCGCGGTCCCACCTCCATCCTTGGCACCTCCGGGGGTGGGAAGGGGCCACCATCCATTCCTGCTTTCCTTTGGTGGTTTTAAGGCCAAGAAATGTGGATTTCTGTACTTGCCATATGCCTACGGACTCCTGGAACACGCACGTGGAGTTAAATGGAGCTGCACGAGAGGCAGGGGCTGCTCCAATGCGGCACCTGAAGCCTGGGGTCCGATCCTGCGCTGGGTTTTGGTGCTGCAGACAGGAGCTGGCTCTCTCCACTCCCTCGGTGAGACAAGGAGGAGGAAGAAGTGGCTCAGAAGCACTGGGATTTCACAAACGCAGCCGTGCAACGAGGGACGCGTCGCAGCAGTCAAAGGGCCCCGGTGATTGAAGAGACTGAGGCTCAGAGAACGCCTCGGGTCGCTCGATGAATGTCAGGTATTTCAACCAAAAATAAAAAAGCTTTTAAGCTGAGCGATGCAACTGTTAACTGCCAAGGACCAGGACGATGCGCTCGGTAAGTGCTCATCGCTGTAAAATCAAGGTCTCATGGCTCATCACCCTCATTTGTTAAGAGAATCGGAGCAATAAATCGCCCGTTTCCATTTATCCTCCTAATAACAGCCAGAGCAAACTTACTCCTGCCCCTCCAGCACAGCTCGGAAAGTTATTTATTGCAGTGGTACTTCCAGGCAGCTCCCCGAATCTCTCCGGGTATCAATAAGGAGCTCTCATTTCTTTCTCCGTGATGAACGGGCTTCAAGCC